CCTAAGCAAGCGGCGGAAACAGCAACCGGGGTGACATTATAAGCAACGAACATGAGAAGTTCCCACTTATAAACTTGCCACTGGCTGTGTAGCTCCTTCCCTCTTGAGTCGTTGATGCGGTTTTCCCATTTTTCCTCCAGAGCGGATAATTTGACTTGGCGGATACCCTGGAGAACCTCGTTGATGACTCCCATCTTGCTGTCACGAGACCTTAAAAGACCTCTTTGTTGCTTCGAAAACTGGCTGACTGAGTAAAAGTTTCCAGCAGATACAAGAAAAAGTACTAAGCCACCGACCAGTAGGCACTGAGGTCCAAGCAACCGGCCAATCGAAATAGCCGCAATAATGAGTTTCAGTGGTGCCTCGTAAAGATGAAAGCCAACGGCTGAAAAGTCAGCCACTTTCTTTGCATCCACAGCGACCAAGTTCATGGTACCCTGACTAGATGGGCTGGTGGTACTGGCACTCTGCGAATCCGTCCCGACATTGTTCACTGCACGACAACGTAACGCTTTGTCATAGATCACTGTTGATAGCTGTTCCTGCAGCCTCACTGCAATCAGATTGGATGAGACATAGAGGTTCCAATTTTCAATAAGAGCGGACACGATAGTCGATGCGCCCAGTCCAAGAACAAAAAGCCATAGCCAAGGATCATCAGGGTCGTTTTCCAGACGCTGCAAGATTCCCAAGATAAAAAACTGGGGCACGAATGCCATGGTCCCATTCAGGAAGGTCAAAAGGAGTTGAATGGATAGGGCTTTCCGATGACTGAGGACAAGGACCTTCCAAAGGCTTGAGGTAGAAGCCGTGCATTGTTGGCTAAAAGCGTGAAATAGCTGAGGTGAACGGCTGTTGAACTCGAGCTCAGGCAGGTGGCTGATCTCCAGCTCATCTTTCTGACCCGCAGAAAGCAGCTGACCCACCCATCCGAAGAAAAGCTGGTCCAAGAAGGTTGCTGATCCTTTGCGGTCCACCACAGTCCCATTGTGAAAAACATCCGGTCGACGAGGTAATGACGTTCCAGCAATGCAGGCGCCCAAAGCGGCGCAAGACTGGCCAAGCAGAAAGAACCAAGACAGGAAGGAAAAATCCAATGCCTTGTAACATTGGTACTGATCTGCAACTAGAAGGACCATCATGGCGATGCACCCGATGCTTGTTTGAATGCCGTGTCGGAACCGAAGCGTGCATTCGTCTTCCATCCAGACCGCACATGTACTGAGGGCCAGGGTTCCCCAGGCTCCAAGTCGCATCCATCGTGTGAAATCATCAGTGGAAGCAGACACAATGCTGAACACAACAACTTCCGATAACGATAACCAGACACCAATTCCGGTTCCGATTGCAAGCGCGACGCGTTGGGGTTTGTCGGAGAATTCTTTGATAGATTCTGGTGTTGCAATTCCATCGCGGTCTTCATACCCATCCGATTGAAACATTGTGTCGAGGGTCAATTGTCGATGTCGCAGTCGATTCACGATGGCGATGAAGGCCCTTCCTCCCACCAGGGCCGCCACACCGAATCCGAAAATGTTGGCCGCGAGGGGGAGCCCCTCGCTTGTCGTCTGGGAAGTCATCTTGCTGTGAGACTACCGAGAAGAACTCGGTAGCAGTGTCCCGAGCGAGCATCGTTGAAGAATCGAAGATTAGACGCCCAAGCGTCTCTCGCGCGGCGATGGCAGGCTGCAGGATTAATATAGGATGGCCGACTCGTGGTCGTCGCGTCGGCGGAAGCGCTACAGTGGATCTAAAGTCGGAGGTCGGGTTTGATTTGGCTGCCCGGCTGACGTACCACTCGGCGCAATCCCCCCACTTTGGCTGGGATTGTGTCTCTGGTTGGTAGAGGCAAACCAGGTTTGGCTTCATAATTTTATCTGATTTGGGGGCATTTTGCGATTGCTACTAGGGCTGAGGCTAGTCCTGCATGTGGCAAGTTGTGAATTCAAAGTTATGTAGTGGGGGTTACCATTGTGATTTGCTGGGATGTGGAGGGATGATGACGACGGCATGTCAGGCATCCAGGTTATCATGAATCATTATATGTCAACCTCCAAGATAACATGAAATCTGTCTGATCGAGCATGAAGCTGTAAGGAGGGCCATTTCTTGTCGGCGAAAGAATCCTGAAGCGGTCCGGCACGTGGCCAAGCCCGAGAAACCGAGCATCGGCCTTCGTTACTCGAACGGGCAGGTACCACCAAGTCAGTAGTTGCACAGTGATGCCACTGGGAGTACACAAGTCTATACTTCATTGCAACACTAGCCACTCTTTCTGTCTTCAGTCCGGCAGGAAGGGCTTGATGTCCGTGCTGAAGTGCATTTATAGAACCTCCATCATCCGGGGTCGACTCGCCCTACCGGGTCCCGGGAAGCGTGATCCGTGCCGGATACGGCTGAACCCGGGCGCTCTGTGGCATAAGCATCCTGTTCGGATTACCAATGCTGAGAGGATGAAGTTGCAAAGGGACTAACAATGCCATTGGTTACATACTGGTATATAAGCAATAAAGTTTCAATAGTCATTTTGCAATTACCAACGTCGTGCTTCATTGACACTGTCAAATCACTGTAACATCCACAAAATGGTAGTCCTCGCCGATATCCAATCCTCCAATGCCCGGATTGCTACATCCCTTCCCCAGGGCATGGTAGCTGTCTTTGTCGGAGCAACAAGTGGCATTGGCGAAGCAACCCTCAAGCAATTCGCTAAGCATGCTACACGGCCCCGCGTCTATTTTGTCGGTCGCAAACAAGACGCGGGTAACCGTATCGTCGCCGAATGTGAAGCCCTGAATCCAGAGGGGGAATATATCTTCATCCCCGCAGACGTGAGCTTGCTCAGCAATGTCGACGAGGTCTGTCGTAACATCAAGACCAAGGAAAGCACTCTCAATCTTCTGGTTCTCACGCCGGGAATAGCGGCTATACATAGTGGTGGGTGATCTCAGCGAATATATATCCCGGACCGTGGCGTGAAAGTACTCCGAATGTACGACTGATATCTATTCTGCAGAAACACCCGAAGGACTTCGCAAGATCACCTCCCTCCTCTACTTCGCCCGCATACGCTTCATCCTAAACCTCCTCCCTCTCCTCCAACAAGCCACCAGCCTCCGCCGCGTCATAACTGTCGGGGCAGCCGGATCCGAAGGCCCCATCGACACCACCGACTTCGAAGGCAGAAAGGTGTCAGCCCCCTTTTTTCGCGGGCATATCACGTCATTAACTACGGTGGCTCTGGAGACCTTAGCTGAGAAAGCCCCAACCGTATCGTTCATCAATACTCACCCCGGAGCTGTACAAACCGGGATAACCAGAGAGGTGGATAATCTCCGTATGTGGATTGTCTGGCTTGCTCTCCTGCTGTTCGGCCGTTGGGTCTGTATCCCTGTGATAGAGAGCGGAGAGAGACATCTCTTTGTGGCTACGAGTGCGAAGTATCCGGCGCGGGATGGGGACGACGGGGTGCCGCTGTCGGAGAGTGTCGTGGTTGCGCGGGGTGTGGATGGAAAGTTGCGAGGGGGTGTTTATTGTGTTACCTCGGATGGGGAGAGCTCGGATAATGCGATTGAGGTTCTGAAAGGCTTGCGAGAAATGGGCATTGGAGAGATTGTCTGGAGGTATACGGAGAGTCAGTTCAAGCGGATCACCGGGGGGCAAGCAATATAATGCAAGGTGTGGCACGATAATTGTTGCCGAGTGTTGACTCTATATCATGTCTAGATTTATTGCTACCGTGAATAACAGTTCAGATGGCATAAATTGATGACTTCAATATGAAGTTAAAGAGGGTTGTATCTTTGAATCACGTGTAGTCTCGATCAGGAAGGACCACGTGATGACGTCATGTGCGTGACTTTCCGGATCAGGTAATTCCGCTCTTTCTCTGTCGTCAACTTTATTCTGCATCTCCATAATGGCTTCTCTTATCACCCCTTTGATCGAAGGAGATTATGTAGAGGCACTTCGCAGCTGGTGGCACCTGCATCAACCCAAATGACGTCTGCAGACACAAACTTCTTATCGGACCAAACTGAACCACGGCCGTAGCCTTGTCCTTGGCGCATGGTCTCACCATACTTCCCCTGGAAGTGTCGGCCTCGAACCCAGCTTATCAGAATCAGAGTCGGTCACTCGCGGCTCACTTATAACCTACTACTTTGTACAAGAAAGGCTGTTGGGCCAGCATGTCACGGGTGGGCCCGAAGTCGCCGATCAAACGCCGCCATCGGTGAGTGGAAGAGATCGTGCAAGGAACGGGTCCGTTTCCACCCACCCAGGTCGCACAGCGTGAGGTTATGCAACCCGCCAATGAGCAGCGAGGAGTGCCATCTTGTCGTAAGGACCTGCCTACTCTTAATGCCTCTTGCAGTTCATCTGGGCACCTAATTGCTCAGGCATCATTCAGGTCTGTGGGGCGGGCGGACGGCGGGCAACAAGCTACTTTGTACTCTGCCATGGCATGAGCTGACTGGATGGCAATCAACCCGGTTCTAGTGTCTTGCTAACAAGGCGGTATGTTGATGATCGCCTCAACGCGGCTGATTTTTGCTGGTATCAATCTCGAGAGAATATTTTCACCTACCTTACCTAGACCCAGACTAGATCTATCAGCTGGAACTATGGATGAAACGTGCAGAATCTGCCAAAGGGCTAGGTGTGGCGTGGAAGAATCGAGGGTTTGGGTGTGAACCCACCAATGGTTGCAGTCGGTCGTTCCTTGGTCAACCTTCTGTGACGCAATCTTGGCGAAACATACGATATAACCCCAACGAAACCACCCAAGTATAAGATATCCATTTTCTCCTACAGCAAGCTAGTCGACTGCCATTGTACAAATCCCGACTGCTTATCTTGCTGCCATGGTGCACCCGGTTAGGTCTCTCAACAAAGAGCTCGATCGTAAGTGTAAATGGAATAAGTAATGTTTCCCGCTAACAGCTCGTAGAGGTCGACACCGAATCGAGAGGTTATCGATCGTCTGACACAACGGAGGGCGGATCTTCCAAGGTCGAAGACGGTGATGAGCCTATCGAAGAGACCTCCAGGAGGGGCGTCTCTCGCAACAAAAGTCATGGAACTCAACGCACAAATTTCTCGCGAAACAAAAGCCATGCCAGTCACCGCACTGGCGTATCTCAAAATCAGAGTTATCGAAGCCAGCCTCCCGCTACCCTGAGGAACCAAAGCTATGGGAGTCAAGCACAGTTCTCCCTGGCAGGTCCGAATGCGTATTATGGACCACTACCTCAACAGGGCGCCTACATGCATCCGGAGTATCAGTCATTTAATCCTCAATACGGAAACATGCAAGGGGACAAGCCTGTCTGGAGTCTAGCGCAGCCGCTGCCCCATGTTGTCCGAGACGGAATGCGGTATGGAGCCTTGCCGGAGGATCGAAAGGAAGAAAGAGACGAGGATGGACGAGAACGCCCGCCTCCAGCGTCAGAAGAGCCGCCCACGGATATTCCGAAGACGGATGAAGCTAGAGAGAATGGCGAAGAGCCCCAGAATGAGATGGGATTTTTCAATAAGTGGTCCAAGATTCGATATTATCTGAGGGAGCCATTGGGCGAGTGGTTGGGGGTGAGTATTCACTTGGACTATCTATTCTAATACAGCCCAAACTAACACACAATCACCAGACAACCATCGCCATCACTCTCGGTCTCTGCGGCGGGTTGTCAACCTACACATCGGACGGCCAAGCCGGCTCATGGATGACCCAGAGTGCCTGTTGGGGCTTCAGCTTCATGATCGGCATCTACATTGTTGGTGGCATCTCCGGTGGCCACCTCAATCCCGCCATCACAATCTCCATGTCCCTCTGGCGAGGATTTCCCGCCCGCCGATGTGTTATTTACATCCTCGCTCAGCTGATCGGCGCCATCACCGCCGGCGGATTCGCCTACGCCATTTACCACGACGCCATCGTCAACCTCTCCGTCGAGACCAACCTCCCACAAAGCGAAACAACAGCTAGCCAAGCATTTCTAACTCTACCAAAACAATTCGTCAGTCCAGCTACTGCATTCTTCAATGAGTTCCTAGGCACCGCTATTCTCGTCGGAACCATCATGGCCTTGGGTGACGACACCAACGCCCCCCCAGGAGCAGGAATGCAAGCATTCATCATCGGCATACTGATCACCGTATTAGTCCTTGCCCTAGGATATAACACAGGCGGGTACGTACCCCCTCTCTCCCCCACCCCAGAAGCCCCGACGACTAATAATTACCAAGAGCATTCAACGGCCCCCGCGACTTCGGCCCCCGGCTCGTCGCCGTAATGGCCGGGTGGGGCGGACACCTCTTCAAAGAGTACCATGCCTGGTGGATCTGGGGCCCTTGGGTCGCCGACATCTTCGGAGGATTGTTCGGGGCGTTCATCTACGATTTAGTGGTGTTCACTGGTGGCGAAAGCCCGATCAATTACCCGCCGAGGAGACGCAAGCGCGCACTGCTGATCAAGGAGAAGAATCTGAGAAGCAAGTTGCGTTTTGGGAGGAGGAAGATCGGGGATATTGAGAGGGCAGTTGAGGAGAACCAGGATTGATTTTGTGAAATTGTATGTATTAGAATGTGGTCTTACAGTTGAGCATGCAGTATACGTGGCATCGAATTAGCCTGGAGTTCCGTTTATCTTGCATTTGGAGTTACAGAAAAGTCTTTTATTTCCAATGTTGCCTGGTTTTGTAGAATATAATTAGGCATAGATTAACATTTGGTTTTAGAGTGATAAGTATGGTAATATCCCACATCTCATCCGCATATGAATAGCATAATAGGACATTTTAGCTCAGGACCTCGCCCGGCAATGCATACCGACAATACCTGAGGCTAGGTATATAATGCAATAATGACATTCTTCCGTATTGTTTAAATGAGATGCATAACGGAAATCTAAACTACCTCACAAAGGAGAATCTAAGAGGTTTCGCTGCCTCGTCATCTACAAGCTAGACAATAGGGACGATGTTTAGTAAGGGACATATTGAAGCCGGATTAGGTGACTACAGTTCGAAATATATCAGAGGAAGTATGATCAAGCAACGTGTTTTTGTTTTATTTCTAGCGATCTCAAAGCAAAAGTTATCCGCCAATTGAATTGAGGACAAGATATGATATTTGATTTTTGTTTTTCCCTACGCAAGCAAGGTACTACGGTATTGAATATCAACACCTATCTCACGCCACCGCAGCAGGAGCAGGAGCAGCAGCAGCATTTCTAAACGCAACAAGCACATTCGAAAACTCCCAATACTCCACGAGCTCAGCCTCCTCGCCAGCCGTCCTGCCCATGGCATCAGCCCCATCAGGCCTAGCATCTGGGTCGACGCCACTCTCCAAGAAAAGAAGCTGAAGCCGTGCAAGCTTTTCTTTGAGGAATGCCCACTCCTGGGGGTTCTCAGCCATGCGCCGTTCCTTGGCTTCCCTATACGTATGCACCAGTGCATGAAGCGGCGTGCCCATGGCTGTGACAACTCTCGGATCAGCACGGTACTCTATTAGGATGCGGGCTAGTTCGAGATTAGCTATGCGGGCAGCGTAATATAGGGGAGTGAGCATGCGGGAGTTTGGCCGTGAGGGGTCGATGCCGGGAGTTTTGAGGAGGATAGTCAGAGCTTCTGCGTTTTGGCGGTGGAGGGCGAGAAGGAGAGGGGTTGCGTTCTGGATTATGGTGTTGTTCTCGGCGTTGATGTGATCGGCTAAATCGGGGAGTATGTTTGGGTGATCTGCTCGGACCCAGACGAGGTTTCGCAGGACGAAAAGGTCAGGGTTGACAACAGCGCAGTGGATCGGGGAGATGGGAGCGTTGCGTGCCGCGAAGATGGCGTCCCTGAAGTATTGGTCGTGGACTATATGGCTAAGGCGGTTCCATAGCTGCGATCGGAAGAGCTGATTTACGTCTTCGGTTCGCATGACGTTCGGGGGTGTCTCGTAGCTGAGGATGGTTTTTAGGACCCCGTACTCATATCTGTTCACGCATAGGGCAATCGGAGTGGTGCTGTCTGCAAATCTAGTGTCCAGAGTTACGGGACGGAAAGGGTCGACGCCGTACTTTTCCTTGAATTCAGGGTTCAGGAGGTATTGGGCGATTTTGCTTTGCTGGCGTAGGATGGCCGCACCCAGCACGGTCAGGTTGCTGTGCATAATATCGTTGATGCGGAACCCTAGATCACAGAGAACCTGGATCGGCCTGACTTTGTTTTCAAGGATAGCTTCGCCAATGGTGGTCCCTTGGATTCTGCGCGTGGCATATTGGGCGGTCACTCGATTATTGTTGTGGACCCTGGGATTGTACATCAATTGATCTAGAAGCGGAGCAAGCCTGGCTCGAAGAGCGTTATAGAAATTGAGCCGGGGAAGGTGTTTGACGGGAACTCTATGATCACGGCATATGGTGCATATAACCTGTGCGAAGTTCTCGACAGTCAAGATGTTATTCGAAAGTGCTTGCTCGAGACTCGTGCGGAATGGTCCGAGGTCATGAGGTAGGTCTTCGGGTTCTTCCTCTTCGGAGTCGTACTCGGCTTCGGCGGCGGCCTCCTCTGCGGACCCCTGCGCCCTAGCATCCTCCGCTTCAACTACATCAGCTTCAGACACGTCCACCTGAGACTCCTCTGCTGCTTCGGGCTCCATGGGGTCAGATCCAGACATCGTTGACGGTGGGAGTTCAGTTAGTTCAGATGGCGAAGGGTGCGCAACCATGGGAATCTCGAACACTAAGCTATGGCAATCGCGGATGTGAATTTCGAGGAATTGTCCAGTCAATATGACATGACGGGTGCCGCATAATTCGCAAGAAATAAATTCCTTATGGTCCCCCATCGTGTCATATGCTATTTCCACGTATGTCCAGCTAATTGCATGGCCGTCCCCCTCTAGAGAGGTCAGAGGCCTGTGACGGCAACCAGGCCACATTGGGCAGTCGATGATCGTATGATGCTCCTCGTTGAGGGCTCTTCTTTCCCTGAAACGTCTATTAAGGTCATCGAGATTCTGTTCAATGTGCTCGTAGAGAGCATCCCCATCGAGCTCAGGGTGTTCATGGTTGCAATAAATGCAGTGAAGGATGATAGGATTCTCTTGCTCACTCATGATTGCTGAGTCGAAAATCAATTTTTCTTTATTTTTTTTGGTTTGGTTCAGAGTTACTGTGGTTTTACTGTAGCTGAGAAAAGATATATCAGTAGGATCGATGTTTTCGTGACTGATGGTGGAGAGAAAAGCAATGGATGCACCTGCCATTGGGGCTTATATACTTTCTGATACCTTTGGTGAGATGGTATTTGCCATCCTGGCATCGGTTCTTCCCACATGCTGCTGTCGCTATCTACCGATCTGCTGGTGGCTTTCTTTGAAGGAGAGTGAGGGATCAACCGAGCCTTGGATGGGGCTTACCAGTATTGAATGGAACTGACCGGTCATATGCATGTCCTAAGTGAGACGTACTGTTAGGAAATGGGCTGAGAAACTTTCATATAGATTCAGTCATTCTCGTCAGTAACTATTGCGCGCCTTGGGTGAGGTTAAGTGATAGCCTTAACCCGTATCATGTTTTCAATATAAACCATTTGCTTTTTTCCTTCCTGTGTGCCCCCTTTTTATATCATCTTTTTTCCTCTTGAATCATAACCAATTGTCCAGTCCTAACCTGCCACATGTCTGTCTGTCTCAATATAAGGCAGTTTAATAGTATGTGTTGGCCATGAGTATAGTCCTACTGGACGTTCACAATACGATTAGGCCCTGCGGCTCTTCGGGAGTATCTGGTAGATATGTCCCCTCGGCGCTTTCAGCACGCGAGTGACCAGTCTCCTTTTTGATGGACGGCGTGTATTTTGCAATATGCAAATCGAGTGTGTGTGCGTGTCGGTTAAAGCGGCACGGCTTGAGGCCCCGGCATCCCTCTTTCTGACAGAGGTGGCCGAGGAAGCATTTGGTAGATCGGCACGACGGGCCCGTCTGACATGGGTGCTGGCGGAGGATATATTTCATAACATCCAGCGAGCTTGGATCGAGACGGCCGTGATCGTATTCACAGCTTATATTGCTGCATTCGCCACCGAGATGGAAATTGTTGCACGGCTTATGGATTTTGGCGCGGCGAGTATAGACTTCCCACGCATCGTGGGCGGGGATCGGACAGTATGTGTCAATGCGATCTCCGGCCAAGTTTATGGGGATATAATCTTGCCACATAGGATCGAGGTGGGTGACAAGTTGTGAGGCATAAAACTCTTGAGTGCGTGCACTCGTAGGAGATTCCCTTCCTGGAGGAGAGGGGGTATTGTCGGATCTAGAGAGTTGTTGACCCTGCGGTATGTGAGCTTTGTTGCAGGTGTTACCGTATCGGCAAATACCCTGGAGAACATTAGTTTACATGCAAACGATGGCACATGGATTTCCACACACACACCTTTTGAAAGTGTTTACAAATTGGTCTAGAGGATGTGGACAACGAAGGCGTATGGTTGGAGGGGCTCCCAGTTCCACCAATAGGTGTAGACATGAAGAGGGCGGGAAGCTCCCGCACCGGGAGGCCTAATCTTTCATATTCGCTGTGAAAGTTGGCAGCTTTGAGGAGAGTGATGCGATCAGTCCGGCCACGATAAGGTGTCAGTAGATTAGAATAACCGGAGTCATGACAACCAGCGAAGAAGATGTGTTTGCACTGGCTATTATCGGCAAATAAGCGGAACATTTCTATTGAAGTCAGCTCAGAACCCTCCGGCACATAGAGTTATTCGTACCCCTAATCTTATAGTCGGCTCCCTCTTTCTTATCGCCCGCATCCACGAAATCAAAGAGATCCTCGGCCCGGGTGAAGCTTGCCGTAAAGGGCGACAGAGAGCGGGCTTCCTGTCCCACAATGCCGGAGCGGGCTAATGACTTTGACAGTCCAAGCACGTTTGCATAAATGCGTACCATAACACGGCATTGGTCAGCCTGGTGGCCGAGTCGATCGTGGAGCAATTCGCGGATGGAATCGTTAAGAATCCGGGCAGCCGTAATGCCACCATCGGCTCCAGCTTTCAGGAGATGCTCTTTAAACTACGCTGGAGTTAACTATGACCTTTGACGAGAGTCCGGGATTACCTACGAGATAGCCATCTCCATCGACGAGGACCAGCACGAAAGGATTCCGCTCCTAAGTCACCGTCAGACCTGGACAAAGTACGTACTGACGGATCATTCTGCGTACCTGTCCCCTAGCCATGCGCTTGTACTTCTCTCTGGCTTCCTTTTCCTCCTCATAGTCGCTTTTGAGGTTATTATAGTTCTCTAAGAGCTGGCGGAACTTTTCCAGGAGATTCTGGACATCGGCATGGTGTTGCTGGTTCTGCTGCATAATGGTTGAAAGATTGCTATCTAAGGCGAGGATCTCGGAGTCGCCAAGCATATTGTTTGATTGGGGTATGTACTAATGTTGAAGGAATAAGGTTGTTTGTTTATCTTGTTTTTCTTGAATGGGACACTGTCGCTAAGGAATACCGTCGAGGGATTTGCGGAGACCACCATGGGTGGGTGGCTGCGTATCCCGAAAGATAAGAATGGATAGGTCGACTCGCATTCACTAAAAGACGAGGAAGGAAAGGTAATGATAGGTAGGTGGTGAAGGCTCCAAAGGAATGGGCAAGTGTCGGCGAGAGAAAAGAGGAAGAGAAGCAAGCAGCGGAACTAGTTGGAAACTAGTTTCGTTTTGTTGTGTTGGCCGTCGCTTACCCGCTGCGGTACCTGCGTTTATCGATAAGCGGTTACCTGTTTCTGGCAGGCGGTGGAGGAGCTGTGCTGGCGCGGGGTTGGAGACCATACCATTTAGGGTATAATGTGAAGGATTCATGCTGCCATACTGCACTTATGCGCACGTGCAATCTCATTCTGAGATTGATCATTCACTATATCCATTTTTGGAATGGATTACTTGGGAAGTAAATGATCTAGTCAGCAGTGAATCAGCAGTGCCGGTCACTGCAGTTGGAGGGTGAAAGACATCCAACGCTTGTGCACTGTTTCCTGCAGCCATCCGAGTCTGTTCCACGGTTTCACCAACCATCTGCCCCGACGTGGTTCAACATGCTTTGCGCAATAGGCTATACTATCTTAGGAGATCGGTATGTCTTTATGTCTGTGTACAGTCTCTTGCTTATGTGGCTGTTCAACGTACTATCCCACTCAACACTGCATAATCAAATACAATGGTGTTGATATTGCTTCGCGGTTGCAGACATAACCACCATATGGCGCTCCAATATAGGACGACGATAAAGCCACCATATAATCATTTATGCACTCTGCAAGGGCCACTAATTGCTAGCCACGGAACCTAGACAATGAGAAACAGCACAATCCCCAACCCTACATCGACCACAGGGCCAACGTGTACAACTTCCAGTCCGCCATTCCAATCATCCACTTAGAACTACATCTCCAAATTCAGTCTCACCCGCCACTTCCACCACCTCTACCATCTCCATCATCTCATCTCAACCCATTTAACTCCTTTTCTCACCCCCCTTCTCCCCCCTCCCGAAAACCATCTCATCCCTCCCCCAAACCAGTACCACCGCCGCCCCTACGGGCCCAGCAACAACCCCCAACAACCCCACTCTCACCACTAACGACACCCATTCACACCACCCCATTGCACCACCTTTGTCCATCTTCACCGCATTCCCGTATAGCCTCCACGCCCAAACCACCATCCCTGCCGACCCAATCAAGTAATCCCATCTCAGGAACGCATGCACCCCGTCCGCAATACTAGCCACCTGTATAACAGGCGATGTCCACGGCGTGGGGATCCCAAACACAATACTGGGATGCAGGGAGGTACGGTATTCCGGGGAGAGGATAGAAGGTGCAAGGAGGGTAGATAGTGAGACAGTAAGGGTGACGAGATGGGAGATGAGGGAGTGGAAGAAGGTGAAGGCGTAGATAAAGCGTAGGGAGGAGAGGTTGTGGTTCTTTTGGGTTGGTTTAGGGGTAGATGTGAATGGGGAGAAGAGGGTGTGGGAAAGGGTGAGGAGGATGGAGATGTATGCTGGGAATGGTTGCCAGAGGGCGATGAAGAGTTGCTTTAGGTCGGTTGTTATGGTTGAGGAGAGGGGCAGGACCATCAGGGCGCTTGGGAGGATGTAGGAGAGGGTGAAGATCAGGGGGAGAGTAGTGAGGATAGTTTTGGGGATGTAGATGTTAGTTGCTGTGGGGGAGGTGGAGGTTATGGAGGTGGTGAGTTGTAGGGCGCAGTAGAGAGGTGCTGCGAAGGCGAACGTTAGGGTTTGGGCGGAGAGACCGAATACTAGGGGACTGGTGGTGAGGAAGTTAGCTCGGTACATATAGGTAGATGGAGGTGGACATACAATGCTGCTAGTGTCCAGGCATTGCCTTGCCGCCATGACTCTAGGGTTATCAGGATCCAAGCGGAGCCAAATGTTCCTGCGAATCCGAGGGTGTGGAGGGTCAAGGCAGGGTGGCTTCCATCGGTGGTGGGCCAGAAAAAGGTGGTTAGGGTGGTGAGCAAGTGGTCCAGTTGAGGGAAGCCAGTGTAGACGGTTCGCAGAGGTGCATCGCTGCCTGGGAGTGTTTTGCGCTCGATGCTCTCTCTGGCTAGTTCGAGGAGGCCATTGGCGTCGGCGTAGTACCAGATGGCATAGAGGGTGAAGAGGCTGAGGGCGGGAAGGATCAATTTGACAGACATGATGCTGTGGGTGTTGATATGCCTGAAATAAACGGAGGATCTCGTTGTTCTTATATGCTTATAGTGATACTGTTATTAATATGTACAACATGTAGATCGCAGACCGAAAGGGCAGCCGTTGCGAGCAGCCGATCGTAGATCTGCGTCTACCGAGGCTGTCATCGGGAGCCAAATCCGGGGCTTCACATGGCAGTGTATTACATTGTCTCAACTCTGTCCAACCAAGGTGGCTAAGTTTTATGATGGAGGATAAGCAGTAGGTCACTTATGAATTGATCTACAATCATACTTTTAGTAGTGGTCAATGCCGGATTCCGACCCTATATACTATGCTTCGCGACACTATCTTAATTGCGATCAATGACTCTGTTTCTAGCTGTTACGAGTCAATAAACAGCTTAATCAATATCGAAATGCTTATCATCATCCTCCGACACAAAGAAAACCTACCCTGTATAAATAGAAACACGACTGCATCTGCGCATTCCCTCATCAACAATATCCTCCATGATGAGACTTACACACCACAAACCCATACCAACTACTCACCTCAAAACAAAGACAAACAACCTCCGGAGCAAACCACCCCATCAGTAAGCCGTCAAACCCAATCTCCCTTCCCGCTCTACCCGTTCCTTTATCTACATCATCCAAGCAACCCAGCTACCCCGTTAACCTCACATCCGCCGACCACCGAACCCCTACCCTCCCAACCATGGATCGCCCTCCCCATGACACCATCACTCTTCTAACCACCACCAACAACAATAAATACACCCCATCTACCACTCCAACAATGCCATCTCTACACAAAAGCCCCCTTCTGTATCATCCATCTCCACCAAAATGCCCTCTCCATCCCCCTCCAGCACCTCCTCCCTATCCAACATCCCAACCGCCCACGCGAGCTTCGAGCCCGTCCGCACCTCCGAAACCCGAACCCTAAGCCGGCCGCAAACCAACATCGAGGTCTCGCGCATCGAGACCCTCCGTCTAACGCACGAATCCACCGTCGGGTCCAAGGCGCCTCAGACTCCCCGGGATGAATGGCTACCTATGGGTGGGGGGAAAGAGTTTCCCCCGTCACTACCGGATCCGGATCGCTATGTAGTCGAGTTTACGGGTGAGGGGGATCCGATGCATCCGCATAATTGGCCGATTGGGACGAAGTGTGTATTTTGCTATCTATGTATATATAGAGGGATTTGGTGAATATACGCTGACATGGGAATGGAATAATATAGGATCCTCCTATCAGGCATCCTAGCTTACGTGACGTTTACTGCGTCGTTCGCTAGCGCGATATTCTCTTCAACGGTTGGGGCAATCAGTCTTCACTATGGAATCAGCACCGAGGTCGCGACGCTCGGTGTGACGTTGTATGTACTTGGGTTCGCGGCGGGGCCGACGTTCTGGGCGCCTGCGTCGGAGCTGTCTGGGCGGCGGTGGCCCATCACGGCTGGGGTATTTGGGTATAGTATCTTTACTGTGGCGACGGCGACAGCCAAGGATGTACAGAGTGGCTCTGACCGCGGTCTTTGTCGAAGGATGGGTCTTTCTGGCCTTGACGCTACTGGGGATCCGCCAGTGGTTGGCCCGCGCGCTGCCTGCGTCGATCAAGCTGGCAACCGGAACGGGCATTGGGCTGTATCTTACGTTGATTGGACTGACCTACAGTGCGGGAATCGGGTTGGTAACAGGCGCCACGGACTCGCCTATTGAACTGGCAGGCTGTGTGGATAGTCTCCGCGATGCGACGACCGGCCTCTGTCCGTCGGACGCAAAGATGCGCAATCCGACCATGTGGATCGGGATATTCTGTGGTGGAGTCCTGACAGCTCTGCTGATGCTTTATCGGGTGAAAGGCGCCGTCATTATAGGAATCCTGCTGGTGTCCATCATCTCGTGGCCGCGACCGACCCCTGTGACGTATTTCCCGCACACTGAACTGGGTAACAGCATGTTTGACTTCTTCAAGCAAGTCGTTACCTTCCACCCGATCAAGCATACGCTGGTCGCACAGGACTGGGATATCACGGGGCACGGATCGCAGTTTGGGCTGGCCTTCATTACCTTCCTGGTTGGTTGCATGATGTCACCCGCTAAAAACGGCAAGCTAATCCATGCAGTATGTGGATATCCTCGATACCACCGGCACGCTATACTCCATGGCGCGATTTGCCGGGACGGTTGATCCTCGCACGCAGGATTTCGAAGGCAGTGCTCTGGCCTACGTAAGTGATTTTCCCATGTGTTGCGCAACCTTGACTGACTAGTCAGATGGTGGACGCCATTTCCGTCTCGATCGGATCCCTCTTCGGCACGTCTCCTGTCACGGCATTTGTCGAAAGTGGCGCCGGAATCTCCGAAGGCGGTAAGACCGGGCTCACCTCCTGCATGACGGGCATCTGCTTCTTCATTGCCGTATTCTTCGCCCCGATCTTCGCCTCCATTCCCCCTTGGGCCACTGGCTGCACTCTGGTGATCGTGGGAGCATTGATGGTTAAGGCGGCGGCCGAGATCAACTGGCGATACCTTGGCGACGCGGTGCCCGCCTTCCTGACCATTGCCATCATGCCGTTCACCTACAGCATCGCTTACGGGTTGATCGCGGGTATTTTGAGCTACATCACGCTGAACGGCATCATCTGGGCGATCGAGAAATTGACGGGGGGACGGATCGTGCCCCCCAATAAGGATGAAAAGGAACCCTGGTCGTGGAGGATTCCGGGCGGATTCTTCCCGCCCTGGCTGCGGCGCGCCGTTCGGGGAAAGAAGGACTTCTGGCGGGAGGACGAAAGGGATCGCAGCGTGATGGATGGGGGATCGGTGGAGTCACAGGATCGACCGGAAAAGCAAGACGTGGCGGCCGCGAGCAAGGATATGTAGACTGTAATTAAATCGTGATTCGAGCTCATCGCAAGCTAGCTGTAATATATACCGGAATTCAATGCCGCGCGTGACTGGATGACGTTCGAAGGGGACGAGGAGAGGACTGTAGTACACCAATGATAGGCGCCTGGGAATGTTTGTTTGTCGGTCGCTGGCCGAAGGGGCAACGTGGCCCGGAGGGGGTTGGGGTTGGGAACTGGCAACTGGGAATTGGGAGTTGGGAGTTTGACTGTTTGATTGACGGTCTGCTGGAACCATGTCAACCAGAAGAGTTAGCAGGAAGATGTTATAGACCAGGGTACGTAGTGGACGGCTTACCCGAAGGAATTGAATTCCGGTCGCACAGGCTGGCGGAAGGTGATGCGGGAGGAGCAGTCTGTGCTAGAATGGAATGGTTCTCCTCTTGCCTTCGGGAGGCACTCAAGCCACCGTGCGGATGGTGAGCGGGAATGGTGATGACGCTTGGAGAAGAATGTAGGGGAGATGAGTGGAGGGGAGAACCGAGATGGCAGATGGCAGATGGGTTGGGGTGGGGTAGGGGGAGAGCTGATCAGAGGGACTAGTTAGTGCTAGTCAGTAAGTAGTAGATAGCAAGTGGTGGTGGACTACTACTTAATTAGTACTCCGTACTGTAAGTAGTAACGAGATAGTTAAGTGAAGAGTGTGAGTGTACTCAAGTGGATGGAAATACCACTGGATTACCAGTAAAGCAGTGGATGGTACCTGGTGAGCCGCGCCAATCAGTGTCTTGATACGGTAATTCCGGGCGGGGAAAGGTCGGTGCATACCCGGCACCCAATCAGCACATGGTAACACCAGAACAGCTGGAGCTGGAAGTGACTTCCAACCAGTCACGCTTCTTCTTCTTCTCTTCCCTGCCCTCTTTTTTTTTTTTACCCTCAAAAAAGTTCCAGCCCAGCAACTGGCATTGACCCAGCCTGGTATGGTATCTACTACTGTATTAGCAAGTAGGAGTTAGTAGGAACCAAGTAGTTCCTCTCCTTCCAAGTTCAATCATGGTTCCCATGCTTCAGCTCCTAGCTTTTCCCTCGCCCCTTCGTCAGGCTCTCCTCTTAGTCCTTCCCCCCTCTCTTCCTCTCTCTCTCCTCCCACTCTCCTTCCCCCCCTCCCTTCTGCCTATTCCCCTCTCTTTTATCACCCCTTGTTCGTCCTCCCCTCCCTCACCCCCATCCCTCCACCATGGGTGAGCACCATGGCCGATACTAAGTCGCGCCCTTTGGCTCCCGCCCCGCCGGGTGCCAACGCCGCTCTCGATGCCCAACAACGCAGGAAAAATGTAGGCACCGCCTGTGCCGCCTGCAAGACTCGAAAGCTCAAGGTATTTTGGCACATGGCGCATGATGTGCAATCACTCCCCAACATACTGATGTCCCCAGTGCACAGGTTCCGTGCCCTGTGCGAACTGCGTCAAGAGCAAAGTTGAATGTACCCTCGACCGGAGCGCCGATAAGCGTCGTCGCGGCGCCCTCAAACGCAAAATCGATCAGCTCGCCGACCAGGAGGACCTGCTCGTCCGGCTCGTCAGCGTTCTCCGCGAGAGTGGCAACCGTCGCGCCGTTCCCTTGATCAACCTCATCCGCAGTGACGCCTCGTTGGACGAGATCCGCTACTACATCAACCACCAGCTGCCTCGTTTGGACCTGGCCCAGACTCCGGAACTAGTCGAAGTATGCCAGGAGGTGAAGCAACTCCAACCGTCTGAGGCGCGGTCCATGCGGCGGATTCTCGACGCCAAACGGTTATCCGACATCCCTCGCTTTCAGGTCCCCGCTCGACCGTGGACCACCGTCGTCTCCGATAATGATTTCGTCTCCCATCTTATCTCGCTCTGGTTCACCTGGTCGCATCCCTTTCGAAACTGGATCGATAAGGAGTTGTTTGTGCGGGACATGCAGGCAGGATCGCTGTCGGCTCGATTTTGCTCACCGTTCTTGGTCAACATAATTCTGGCGGATGCTTGCGTACGTTTCTCGATATACTTGCTAGGCTCATCTAACCGCCCCCAGGCATATTCGGATTACCCAGAAGCATATGCGAGACCGGGAGACGCGGCTTCGAAAGGAGCCCGCTTCTACGAGGAGGCCAAGCGTTTACTGGACAAGGAAGAGGGGCGGATTACGCTTCCGACTGTCCAGGGACTAGGCGTATTGTGGGCATGGTATGCTTCGTGACATTATAAAAGAGTCCTATGATACTGACTGTGTAGTGCTTCGATGACTGGGCGAGACCGACAAGGGTGGATTCACCGCGGCCAACTTGCCTATGCCATCCAGGAACTCTCGCAAAAGAACTCCGTTCTAGCGTCAGATGCCGATGAGGATACGCTCCGCATGGTTCGAGTTGTCAACGGAACCGTCTGGGGTTTGTTTAATGTGGCCACGTAAGCTTTTGCGCAACCCTTCCGGGCGAATCGTGCAACTAACCCGTGATCAGGAGTCACACCTTGGCCGACAAGAGCCGCCCCTTGATTAAGCCGCCGCAGCGCCACAGTTTGCCCTTCGTCAGCCATGAGGGCGACTCGGACGAATGGCGACCGTATCCGGACCACACCGAAGGAACGGAGGGGCATTCGGTCTGTCTGTTCAGCGCGCTTTGTGGCTTGAGTCTGATTGCGTACGATGTAGCGACCTTCTTCCACCGAGAGGCGCCATCGCGCCCACGGGCGGAGACAGAAACGAAAGTGGCCGATCTTCATGAGCGTCTTCGCGTCTGCTCCGATCGATGGCCCACGTGCTTGAAGACTAAACTTGAGGCTCCACATATCCTCTGTCTACAGTAAGTCTGGATGATTGAATTATGAGAACCCCAGTAACCGGAATAGTATGTATCACCATGCGATCATTATGAGAATCTACGAGCCCCTGAAGGAATATTCCACCTTGCCCGCCCCAACGATCTCGCCTGCGCGCGCCCGTGAGATGTGTTTTTCGTCGGCACGTAATATTGCCCACCTGATGCGGATCCACCGTTCTTGCTGGGGTCTCGACCGCATGCCCGTCAGCAACATCCAGTGTATCACCGAGGCCTTGTTCACATTACTAGATGACTTGGAGGAGCCCAACAACCGTGAGGCATTTATCACCCTCAGTATCGCGGCCAAGGCATTTTCGCGACGATGGGATTCGAGCCGGACCGTCTTGGGCACGCTCCGCACGACCGCACAGACGAAGAGGCTGGCACTGCCCAGTGAAACAGACTCGCTGTTTACCACCCTGGTCGCACCGCCAACATTTGGCGTGCGCGACAGTGTTGACCTCCTGGATGACAGTGAGGAGGCGTAGAACCAGGGTTGATGCCGTAGGACAGGCTAGGCATCCAGAACTGGCACTGCCTTTTTGTTGGACTCACGGCGCTAGACCCTCAGGGGATTTTTGCAGGGGTGGATTGCTACTGAGTGACATTACGCTTACGGCGATGGTCTCAGCGTGGCTTAGATGTGTGACAGGCAGTCTGCCAGCCTGATGATGCTGCTCGTCTGAGGGACGACTGGGGGACGACGGAATTGGTTCTTATCCGTGATAGAATATAATACCCATAGAACCTGCAGGTTGATGCAGTCTCCGACAAAGCGTAAAATAGGAAGACGACAGGCCCCCCCGACGCTGTCCATCAATGCCAGCTCGCGACACCAGGCCAGGCCTCCTGTGCAACTTAGTCTAATCACGTGGCCTGCTGACTGCCGCTTGGGCCGCCGGGCAGACAAAAAGCCGGTTGATGGTTTCCCTCTCCTCCCCTGTAGATACATGGGCTGTGCAAAACAGCACTGCAACTTCCATCCTATCAATGTCTGTGGCTTCAACTAGACTGCAGTGCGACTCAAAGATTTCTCCCACAAGCCTCACCACAGCGGTTGGGCATCATGGTTTGACAGATGTGATTACGTGCCCACCGCGGCGGCTAATAACGCCACTAAATCCAGCCTCGTCGATCGCCAGCTATAAATCCTCCGTCGGCCGTCAGCTGCAGCCAACTTGTTAGTCGGACGGTCGCCAATTATGCTAGTATATGGGCCATCTTTCCGGCCCGTCTGACACGATTAATGGAGAAGCTTCGCACTAGCTCCACGAGTACAATGCCCGACGGCATTACCATCTATGAGCGAGGTGGGTTCGTGTCGGCTAGCCGTGGCCATAGCGCTGATAAGCTCAGGAACCGGACCATGGATGGAAACTGGGGCGTCCTTACTAGACTTGGACCTCGAGGTATGGGTCCCGCTGTGCCCCTGATGACCGGCATTGACGATAGCAGCACCCGAAAAACTCGTTGCTTATGTAGGGTGTGCCCTCATTGTCGACATGAGTTTTCGTTAATCTGTGTAGAATCTCAAAACGCCAAACGTTGAATGAGACGAAGTATCTACGCCTCTTTACGGATGAATTTCAGCCTGTTATTAGCAAGGACATCAACGGGTCCCTGTTCTGTGATGACATTTTGGATGAGAATGACAAGCCTATCAAGCATGGTTTGTACCCACCGGGAACCAGGTGAGCATTGTTAACAAGTCGCTTAGTCTCGTGGGCTTGTTATAAGATAAAACACGTCCGCGATCCTCATACGTATGAATGGATCCAAACTACCGCCTTTGTGACCTGGTATCCGGAAACCCAAATACAGGTGGTCTTCATTGTCGATCATCCAGAACCGCCCAGTGACCTGGTTGCCATCCTACCCACGACTCAGGCAGACAGCAACCCTTATGTTTGGCACGCTGTGATTGCGACCACCATGATCGGTGTTTATGATAATTCTTTCTGGGCGCTTCGAGATTTAGTCCGGACCACTGAGAAGGTATCCTTATTCCCATGCATACTAGCATACAGTATACTGAACCAAACCTAGTCAAGAGTTGATGTAAACAGTCTGACCCCCGACTTCTTCCCTCACTTGCACGATATTGCACGGCATGTCTTTCACTCGAATGAGACCCTCGAGGTCGCAGAACATACCATGCAATGCTTGGTGGAGGAGCAGGCGCGCTCCTACGAGCTGTACCCCAATGTCAACAAGGGCGAATGGCTCCAGACCAAACGAAACCTACTTCGACGAGCCAAGAACTTTCACTCGCTGAAGATCCGAAGTCGATCGCTCTCGGAGCGGTTACACAACGAGATTAACTTGGTGTGCTCTCTGCCTACCTCCGTTTCATGCTTATATCTAACACTGGTAGGGATTCAATCTTGTCTCCCAACGATTCGGCCACGACGCCAAGTCCGACAGTGCCATGATGCGGACGGTTGCGATCGTTAGTATGGTATACCTACCGGGGACATTTGTATCGGTATGTCACATGCTTGAAGGTTCATTAAATCCCTCAATGCTAAGGAGTGTAGGGCTTATTCGGAACGAATTTCTTTGATTACAATAATGGAAAGGAAGTCATGACCAGTTCATTCTGGATCTATTGGGCCATTACTGTCCCTTTGACTCTGATCACAATGTTTATCTGGGCCTGTTGGCATTATTATCCGAAGAAGAGGGTGGTGGGGGAGGAAAGACAACGAATGTCGACCTTTGTTGACGGGAAGGTTTGATTTATTTGTCTATCTTAGACACAATTTACGTGCAGATGTGATATGAGTTACGAGTATTTTCGGCATGAGGTTATGAAATCTACGATGAGATATCAAGCACATCAAATCAATAAGAAGATAGGTCTTTCTCGTGTTGTCTGAATAGTCTCTCCCGAAGCATGTTGCCAATGTCTGCTGGCATGATATTCTCCGTTTCCCGACTCCTCCTTTACCGTTGCAGAGTCTGATTTGGTCATGTTTGTTTATTGATCTACATTGTCTGCACTATTCACTAGTATCGGTATCCCCGCGCCGATCAGCAGAGTCGAATAATTATTGTCCGAAAATCCCAACATCCAACATGCATAGGCCTACTGTCATGTCTAATCATCCACAGGATTAACTCGCATATTTGAAATCTTGATGCTATTCCCAGCTCAATTATATATTTATATATTTCAATGTTACCATATATTATATGTATACATTGATTGAATGGTTGGGCACTGCCATAGATCTTATTTATGCTTTCTTTGGAATTCTTATCTGATTTCTGACAGCCAGTAGGAATACAGGTCAGAGAATCGTGCAGTCTATGTTTATTCTGGGTCTAAGATTACCGGGATGGATCGATTTAATTCATTGGGTCTTATTTTTGAGGCTATTCTTATCGGAGATCCTCCCGGCGCGGAAAGGAAAAAAAAAAAGAAAGAAAGGAAAAGAAAAACAAATTAGGAAGAATAGGGTTCATGTATTACAGAATTGGTTCGGGAAAATGAAAAGTAGGGAGGAAGAAAAAGAAAGAAAGAAAGAACAAAGAAAAAGAAAAGAAATTGAGTACCAAGATACCAAATACACTTTTAGGCGGAAACATACAATCTCAAGATGAAATAAGTCAAGTGAAGATAAATAATACACTGTAGCGGACAGATATAGTGGATCAAAAATTCAAGATCATAGCTCGAAGAAATCGAAACTTATAACAACTGAAAGAACCAGATAAAGAGACGCATCGGATTGATATTTCAAGTGGGTAAGGTTAAAATTAGCAGCGGTAGCAGAGAGCGGGCGGACAAGCACGCCTTCTAGTAGCCTAATATGATATACTATATATTAAACTAGCAGACCAATATATAACTGCAGACATTGCAGCATGATGCAGGATAGACACATTGACCCACATCCCACACCCCCTCTACATCACATTCCTGATCCTTTCTAGCTATTTCATTTGCTCTGTTACAGGACCCTATCAACTACTGATGGGACATATCTGTCCATCTGCTTCTTGGTGGCCGCGATCTAGGCTTTCAGGTCTACTCTGTACTGGGTAGTGCGTTTACATCTTACATATCGATTGTTAAGTTGCAGATGAAAGATTTGGACATGAAAAAAGTAAATAATAAAGAAAAATAAGTAATTGATTAAATAATAAAAAAGAAAAGAAAAGAAAAGAAAAAAAGAGCCTTTCCTCGCCTTGTACTTGAGTAAAAATCGGAGCATGGAAACGTTAGTAGAAGGAATGTGAACAGTTAGGGCAATCTATCTAAGATGCAACGAACGATCACAGTCAAGTCAATAGTATAATACAACCCTACGCATCCCCGGCAGCAATCCCCCGTCTCCTGGTCTGCTCAATCACCTCTGCCGCCTCCTTCATCGTCGCCACGTCCCGCGGAATGGTATGGCCCTTGCCATGATCAAACATGATGGCCGTATCGGGATCACAAACCCCATACAGCGCCATGGTGCCATCCACGTAGGGGTCATTCGCCCCGATGATATGACACGTCGGCACTTCGATCATATCCTCTGTCTCATCCGCCAGACAGCCTGTTACTCGATCGCCGTCAATACGAAGGGGAGGCCAGCCTGCTATGAAGACCCCGTACTGAAACCAGCAGATGATGCGTTAGCGTGATGTGGTAGTGATTGTGTACGTCTATATATCATATTCATACCTTAAGCTGTCTCTTCCTACCCTCCTCCTGAACAAGTCGCTCCTCTTCAAGCAACAAAGTAGCAGCGACTGTAGCGCCCTCCGAGAAGCCCAAGACTCCCTGGTTCAGATATCAGTATTTGGCAGCCATGTTGCCTCCAAAGCGGTGAAGGGGAAAGGGAGGGTCCCAACATACGTCAATTTCCGGATGTTCATCCAATATCCCCAACAGTCTCTGCAACGCCTCTCTCACACAATCGGCAGACATCATCTCATGTTCGTGGGTCAACACCCGCATGGTATCTTCGGCCGTGGCTCCCCTCGGGAGCTGACGAATCCGCTCCATCACATCGTCGGACCGCCCAATCCCATCGTATTCGATGAATCGGTAATGAGGCGGTGGGCCGAAGTAATCCTCGCTTCCTGGTGGAGGCGTGGCGGGATGACCGCCATTAATGTAGTGGAAGGTGGTATCGGGGTATAATGATTGGTAGGTACTAACTAGGGGATGGAGTTGCACTTGGAAGTTTTGGGCGCTGCCGAAGCCGCCATGTAGACAGAGGATTGTCATGCTGGTAGTCTAGCTCTGAAGGGTGATTTGGACCAGGAGTGTGGAAAGTTGCAATGACGGGAGAATGGGAAAGGTCGCCGCGGGGAGGTGCTACTTGTGAGCTATATATACCGCTACTACCATTTCAATTATTGGAGTTGGGGGCTTGCAAAGATGATGCACTACACTCGTAGTCCTAGTAGTGACATGTCTCTGTCATTATCTAGAATCTATAAATTCTCCATCTCACCGTGCCTTGTTTCTGTTTCTTTTCCTTTCCCTGGCACGACTCGATAAACCATGTCACCCACCGCAGATCAATCATGCCCGTGGGTCTATAGAATCCACAGAATAGGAGTTCGGGACATCTTTATTGATAGTACGGAGTACGGAATAAATACTCCGTGATTGGCGAGGGCTACCGATCGCAGCAAAAGGAATATTTCCTAAAAAGCAAAAACAATGCGACTGTACAAAGTACGTTCCCCGAAGCTTTCTCACCCAGTCCATAACTGACATGTTGAATAATCCAACTTGGGATAATGTGATTCATATAATCGAGCCTGAAACCAAAAATGAATGCTGGGCCGATGGGCGGTTATTTGGTGAATTAAGAAAGGGGGAGAAAAAACAAAAAAAAAAAAAAAAGAACCAAAAAAGAGGGAAGCTAGTGTTTACATATTGGACTCGGCGCTGGATGGTTGCAACAATTGAACACCATGTGTGGTTCTGGAACGATCACTCCCAACAAACAATCCGATTAACTATTGAACCCGATCGGCATTGCATTGACCGCTTTTTCAGGTCTGCTTCCAATCTGCCTTGGCGTAGTCTGCACTTGACTTTCACGCTTTGCGGACTAAAGGTTGTCTCGAACAAGCGATATCACAATGGCCATAATAGGCAATTGATGAATAAAAGACATAGGAGAAAAAGAAGGGGGGAAAATAATACCACCCTAGGAGAATTTCGAAATCGAATCATGCCCACGACTCTATCTGCTTTATCGACTCTAATTGATACATCCTAAACCTCCGAATTAATCGAGAAAAGGTAATAATATTTTAATTGATCAATGGATTAAACTACAATAAAATTGAATAAAGTAAATTAAAAGTAAAAGTGTCAAGGTAAAGTAACTAATGGGAGATTTTTGTGTTATCCAGCCGCAAATAACCGTATTTTCAGGTCAGGTTATGCAGCTGCATGACGCACGAGCCCATTGAAATATGAGTCCAAGGCCTCATATTGATCCCGATCCAGCCGAGCCACATATCTACTAGATGCGGGTGGAGGAATACAGCACCAGCACTAATCCCCAGTCTATACACCCCGTGGCTTTTAATTCCAATTTATTCTTCTTTTCAGTCCCAAATGTAGATCTAAAGACAGCTCACAAACTAGTCAGAACATGCATAACCGAGCTTCCGCATGTGGGTCCCCGATCGTTACCAAAGACAATATTTTTCTTCTCCTAGTCTCTGCTGATCGCAGCAGGGCCTTCTCAATATGCCCATTTCCATGGCTTGTGGGCATGATCGCCGATGTCAGCGTGGCCCCAAACAGCAAGTGGGACTAGGATGACGGGGGATGGCATCGTGCACATGCTGACCTTGGACCAAAATCTGCAGGGAAGAAAAAGAAAAGAAAAGGAAAGATAACCAACACCATGATATGGTAGGAAGGACCAGTCAAGCAGTGTAAATGATGTTCTTTGCTAGAATGGCTGAAGGTAACATATAAATAGCGAGAATCCCTCTAGAGTTGGGTCCTTTCGACCAAACCCTTCTTTCCTTAAATCTCCTCTTTTCCCTCTTCTTACTTCCCAGGCCTAGTAACCTCAGATACAGCCGCCATAATGACTATCACGAACAGTTCGCAGGCGCCGATTGCAATTGTAGGCATGTCCTGTCGCCTTCCAGGCCAGGTTCGTACGCTTGATGACTTCTGGACTCTCATATCTCGCGGTAGGGATGCTTGGGGCCCTATCCCTTCTGATCGCATGTCCAGTGCGGCCTACTACCACCCAGATCCCCAGCGAAAGGGCTGTTTCAACCCCAAAGGGGGTTATTACCTTCAGGAGGATTTCTCTCAGTTTGACGCTCCGTTCTTCCACATAACGCAACAAGAAGCCATTGCCATGGGTAACGAGCCCCATCTGTCCCTGAGCAGTACCAGATAATTGACAATCACCGTAGATCCCCAACAGCGACTACTACTCGAATGTGCCTATGAAGCCCTGGAAAACGCCGGTTTTCCCCAACAAGCCACGGCAGGCTCGCGCATGGGGGTCTTCACGAGCCTTTGTTCATCAGACTACCGTCGTGGTGCTTTTCGCGACCTGGACTCCGTTCCCATTTTTGACGCCACGGGGAATCAGGAATCTATCCAAGCGGGTCGCCTTTCCCATTTCTTCAACCTCCGTGGCCCATGTATGGCGATCGATACGGCCTGTTCGTCCAGTCTCTATGCCCTGCATCTGGCGGTGCAGAGTATTCGTTCTGGCGATGCGGATTCAGCCCTGGTTGGTGGAGCTAGACTGCGTTTGCAGCCAGATGAGATGGTTTCAATGTCGATGATGGGGTAACGACCACTCTATATAGGTCCCTTAACGCTATACGATAGATGCTAACGAAAGCTCGAACATCCTTACAGTTTATACAACGAGCAAGGAAAAACCTTTGCATTTGATGATCGTGCCGTTTCGGGCTTTGCCTGCGGTGAGGGAGTGGGCTGTCTTGTCCTCAAGCCATTAGACCAGGCCCTGGAAGACAACGATCCGATCTATTCAGTTATTAGGAACACAGGGGCAAATCATGATGGTCGAACTGTCGGTGCGTCCACCACCCTTTCAGAAAGCAAAAAGCCAGCTCGCGTATTCTTCCGCGGTGACAAGCTAAAGCTAAACTTCGGCAGGCATGACGAACCCCAACGGAGACGCTCAAGAAGAACTCATGCGAGAAGTCTACGCCCGCGCCGACCTCTCCCCGATTGATACCGGATTCGTTGAGGCGCACGGCACCGGAACCAAGGTTGGCGATCCCATCGAAGTCGGCGCCATCCATCGGGTGTTTGGAGATGGCCGGACCAAGCGGGCACCGCTATACCTAGGCTCCGTCAAATCCAACTTCGGACATCTCGAGTGCGCCAGCGGTATTGCGTCCGTGATCAAAGCGTCTCTGATGCTCCACCGTGGCTTCGTTCTTCCCAATGCCAACTTTGAGCGCGCCAATCCCGCCATCCCTCTTGACCAATGGAATATCAAGGTGCCGACCAATCTGCGCCCCTGGCCCCAGGGCAAGAAGTACATCAGTATCAACAACTTCAGCTTCGGTGGCTCCAACTGCCACGTCGTACTGGAACGGCCTCCCCGTTCGCGCGGCCAGCCTCCCAACCCCCAACACGATGCGCCCCAGCTCTTTGTACTCAGCGGCTATGATGACGAGGCTGCGAAACGCATTGCCAGGAACCTCACGTTCTACTTGGAACAACATCCCGGTGTCTTCGAACGGCGCCTGGTGCACGATATCGCATATACACTTGGCGAGCGACGCTCTCACTTTCCCTGGCGCGTTGCTGTCACCGCTTCATCTACCGCGGAACTTGTCGAGACCCTGAATGGGCCAGCGAGTGTCCCTCAGCGCGCCCGGCTGGAGGCTGGCTCTGCACCTGTTATTGCCTTTGCGTACACTGGACAGGGCGCACAATGGCCCCGCATGGGATTGGAACTTAGCGACACCCACCCTATTTTTGCTGCCACCATGGAGGAAGCAGCACGCGCACTGGAGGATCTGCGAGCGGATTTCTCCCTGTTCGAAGAGCTGAAGCGTGAGGCAGCTGACTCTCGCGTCAGTCAGCCCCAGATCTCTCAAGTAGTTTGCACTGCCGTGCAGCTTGCCCTGACGGATCTTTTGGCTTCCTGGGGCGTACAACCGCAAATGGTTGTCGGCCACTCCAGCGGAGAGATTGGGGCGGCCTATGCGGTGGGTGCTATTTCCGTGAGCGAGGCCATTGCCCTGGCATATCATCGGGGTCGACTCGCTGCCCAGGTTCGAATCCGATTCCCAACGTTGAATGGTTGCATGATGGCCGTCGGAGAGAGTGCCGATGAGGTGCGCAAAACCATCAAGCAACTTCAGCTAGGAGAGGACATCACTGTCGCTTGTGAGAATTCACCTCGGTCCACCACGGCGTCTGGAGATGCCACTGCCATGGACCTTCTCGCAAAGGAGCTGGAAGCGCGACAGATCTTTCATCGGAAGCTTATGGTCGACGTTGCCTATCACTCTCCCCACATGCAGCTGATCGCCGATGAGTATACCAGCGCCATCCAGCAGGTCGCACCATCCACTAAGAGGGAGAATGTCCAGTACTACTCCTCGCTGTTAGGTGAAAAGATCGAGCAACCCGGGGCTCTGGGAGCATCGTATTGGGTTGATAACCTGACGCACCCGGTCCGATTCTCTACCGCGCTGGGCCAGCTGTGCGCTGAGTCCAGACCCGATATCATCATTGAGATCGGTCCGCATTCCGCGTTGCAGGGCCCGATCAAGCAGATACTGCAGGGCATCCAGAATACGCACACTCAATACTTTGCCTCCCTTGTCCGCAAGGAGCACGCCACTAAGGCTGCTCTACAGCTTCGCGGGCCGGTTGTTCATGGCCGGCCAGCAGCTGGCTTTCCGTGAGGTTAACCAAACTCACCTGGATCAGTCAGTCCCAACAGTGTTGCCGTCCCTGACGCCGTATCCCTGGTCTCATCGCTCCTACTGGCATGAGAGCCGCATCGCCGTCAACCACCGACTGCCACGCTTCCCTCGTCACGACCTGCTTGGACGATTGGAAGCCTCTACCCGCGAGGATGAACAGCCCGTCTGGCGCAATTCCGTGTCTCTGGACAGCGTGCCATGGCTCCGCGGTCATCGTATGCAATCCATGACCACCTTCCCAATGGCCGGCTACATCAGCATGGCCGTCGAGGCGGCATCTCAACGGGCTCAGCTCAGAGGCCTCTCCCCGTCCCAGATTGCCGGGTACCGGCTCCGTGAGTTCCATGCTTCCTCGGCGTTCACCCTGGAGGAGAACGTCGAGTACGAAACCTGGCTCTCTCTGAGCTCGTTCACGGAGGGCACCCGCTCCTACTCCAGCGAATGGGACGAATTTCGTATTGCCTCGTGGGCGGCCGGTCGGGGTTGGCGTGAGCATTGCCGTGGTCTCGTGGGCATCCGGCGCCAGGAGTCGTCCACTACTAACCCTGTTAGTCAACGCCGGCCGTTTCATGCTAGCCTGGAGCGGCGTGAGGAAGCTAAACAGGGTGACCACCGTCCTGTATCACTAAAGACTTTCTACTCAGACCTAGAGGGCCGCGGAGCCGGATACAGCGACGCGTTCACGCTCGATTCAGACAGCGGGGTGACCGTTGGAAGAGCAGGCGTCGGGAACAGCTGGTATGCGCGCGGAAAGGTTACAGTTCCCAACACCGCGCAAAGCATGCCCTCAGGCCATGAGACCCCGTTTATTGTGTCTCCTGCGTTCCTGGATCTATTTTTCCAGTTGTCCTTCCCCGTTTTGCGGGCGGACTCTGCCAACATTCCGTGCCTCTTCATGCCGACTTCTATCCGGGAGATCAATATCGCAGCCAATTTCCCATCGCAACCGGGAGAAACGGCGGAGGCCCTAGTCAATGGACTGCCGGCAGATTCCTCCCGTCCTCGGCCATTGGACTATACCCTTGATGCATGGTCTCCGTCTGCGTCCACAGAGCAACCCGTCCTCACTATCCAAGGGTTCCGAATGACCCCTGTCAATAGCGATATGCTGATTGACACCACCCCGTATCCGTGGTGCTACACTGTACAGTGGGAGCCACTGCCTTCTGCAGGTGAAGCAAATGGCACGGCCCAAAGTGTCCCAGAGAGTAATGGACATGGCGAGACGAATGGCAATGGCATTGTGCATGCGAACGGCAATGGTGTTGTGCATGGCAATGGCAATCACAATGCATCTAATGGAAGCTGCCATGTGTCATCAGAAGACGAGTCAACCGTCATCATCATCACTGAGAGGCCCAGCTCTGATCCACTTATCGCCACTCTCCTGACAGCTATTGATGCCTTCACGGGGTACAGAACCACGGTCGCCCCCCTCTCTCGCGTCCAGATCTCGTCCAAGGATCGATACATCTGCCTGGCTGAGCTCGATACTCCACTTCTGCAGTCACTGACCCCGGAATCCTTCAAACATGTCCAAGAGCTCCTCGTCACGTGCTCCTACTGCCTCTGGGTTACCTCCGGCGCATACATGGCTGTCGATCATCCCGAGCTAAACATTGTTCAAGGTCTGCTGCGTTCTGTGCGTTCAGAAACCGGAAACTCAGCTGTCAGCCTTGACCTGGATCCTAGTTCTCGCCAAGACATCGCAGGTCGGGCTCATCTAATCCTTGATGCCTTCAAAGCGTCCACCAACGCTGTCCAGACAGCCGCCGATGACGAGGAGGAAGCGCCTCTATCCGATTATGAGTTCACCGAAGTCGGTGGACGCCTGATGGTCCCTCGCCTAGTAGAGCATTCAGAATTGAACAATACCGTGTTTCAAGAGACACACCCATCTCTTCCGTACATTCAGGACTTCGAACAAGGAACGGATCGCCGACTCAAGATTGCCGTCGGCACCCTGGGCGCCCTGGACTCACTCTACTGGACCGATGATCCGGCCCAGCCGCTCGGCGCCGACGAGATCGAGATCAAGGTGGCCTGCACAGGCGCCAACTTCAAGGATGTGGTAATTGCCATGGGCCAGGTCGCCAGTCCTTACTTGGGCATCGAGTGCAGTGGCACGGTGGCGCGCGTCGGAGCCAAGGTCAGTTCCCTCAAGCCCGGAGACCGCGTATGCGCCATGTCCCACGGCGCGTATAGCACCTACGCGCGGTGTCCGGCAACCAGCGCGGCTGTGATCCCAGACTCAATGGACTTTGAGACGGCAGCTTCCATCCTCGTTACCTACAGCACGGCTTACTATGGACTTGTCGAGTTGGCTCACATGGAAGATGGGGAAAGTGTCCTCATCCACGCCGCGGCGGGAGGCGTCGGTCAAGCCGCCATTCAGCTGGCTCAGCTAATGGGAGCCGAGATCTACGCCACGGTTGGTAGTGAGGAGAAGAAGCAGATGCTGATCGATCGATACTGTATCCCGGCGAGTCGCATTTTCTATAGTCGCAACACCGAGTTTGGCCCTTGTGTCCGCGAAGCCACGGGCGGACGCGGCGTGGACGTGGTTCTGAACTCACTGGCGGGCGATTTCCTGCGCGAGACGTGGGATTGTCTGGCTCCGTTTGGACGGTTCATTGAGATTGGAAAACGGGATATTACTTCCAATACTCGGCTGGAGATGGGCAAGTTCGAGTACAACTGCACGTTTTCCTCCTTGGACTTGACGCTTGTTGCGGACCAGAAGGGCAAGGTCCTCAACCGTGTATTTACCGCTGTCATGAGGATGTTCGCACAGGGAAGACTGACCCCGGTATATCCAGTGACGACGGTAGGTATCGCGGAGGTGGAATCGGTGCTGCGCAAGTTGCAGAGTGGCAAGACGACGGGCAAGGTCGTAGTGGATCATCGGATTAATGGGAAGATCAAGGCCACACATCCCCTACCGTCGAGTGATCTACTTTCACCGGATGCTACGTACATTGTTGTCGGTGGCACCGGCGGTATTGGCCAATCGATCACTCGCAGAATGGTTCAGCGCGGTGCTAGGCATATTGTCCTGCTCTCTCGCAGTGGCGCCGTCACGGAAGCCGCCCAGAAAATCATCAGCGACGGCCAAGCCGTGAATGCATCGATCCAGATCAAAAAATGCGATGTGTCCGAAGTTTCTCAGGTCAAGTCACTGATTGCAGAACTACAGAAAGAGCTACCACCAGTCCGGGGTGTTATTCACGCGGCCATGGTCCTCAAGGTACATCCATCCTCTTCCCCCCTCCCGCCCCAATTATCCTCGGTTTCAAACCCCATGCATCATGCTAACAGCGATCTTAAATAGGACGTTTTCCTGGAGCAAATGACATTCCCAGACTGGGAAGCCGTCCTCCGTCCCAAGGTCGCGGCAGCCTGGAACCTCCACTACGCGCTTCTCCACCAACCACTGGACTTCTTCGTCATGCTTTCCTCCGTGTCTGGCATCGTCGGCAGTCGCGGCCAAGCCGCCTACGCAGCGGGAAACTGCTTCCTGGATGCATTGGCACGCTACCGCCGCCAAAAGGGCCTATCCGCCGTATCCATTGACTTGACGGCAGTAGGCGACATCGGGGTATTCTCGGAAGCAGCAGACAAGAAAAAGGCAGAAGTGCTGAGGAACCTGGCGATGAGCAACACAATGCGAGAAGTTGAAGTACTAGCTCTGATCGAGCTCGCGATGAAGGGCCAGCAAGTCCCAGAACAGTGCATCACCGGTGTGCATTGGCCTTCCTCCGCCGCAACTCCGTACTATGCTTCTGATGCCCGCTTCACCCATCTTGTCGAGACCGCGAAGCAGGAGGAAGGCGCTGATGCCACGGCCCATGCCGGAGCAACTAAATCTCTCTCTATCACCCAGCAAGTCCGCCGCGCCGCGAACTTGCAGGAAGCCCTCGATGTTACGGCGGTCGGTCTACGTGATAAGTTGGGTGACATTCTCATGCTTCCCCGAGAAGTGGTGGAAGCGCATACGCAGTCGACTCCCATTGCGTCGTTTGGGCTGGATTCATTGAATGCAATTGAGCTGAGGAATTGGATTGGCAAGGAGCTGAAGGGGCATTTGCAGGTTTTGGAGTTGTTGTCGGCGGGAACTTTGGGGTCGTTGGCGTTGGTGGTGTTGAAGAAGTCGAGTTTGGAGGGGGCGTGGAAGGGAGAAATCCCTAACTAATCTCAGTTTTGGTAATGTGGTTATTTTAGTACTCTTATCCTGGGAATGCATATCTTGGGGTGGGAAGCTTGAGATTATGATAGCATTTAGAGGTGTCTGGCTATTGGTGTGTGCTCTGTACTTGGATTATGTGTCCTTGAGGAGTGTTGACAAGGTAGTAATCTGATATACAGTTATAACGTCTCACCCAGCATTCCATAAATGGAATAGTGATGTAACTAGTATGTACTAGTACTGTCAGTGATAGAATACTGAAATACATCATAGAAATGTTTGGGAAAAAACACTACCTCAGGCCGGACTACACATCGGGTAACAAGTTCTAATATCAACCGTCTGAACTGTGAGTGCTACCCACCGTGGCCCAAGTTTAATGGCATCCAGGCTGCCCCCAGACATTCGCTTCCATGTATTTTGAGTCTGGAGATAAATTGCGAGACGGATTTATTGTATGCCGAATAACTCACTCCATTGTATAGTATCCGGATATTTGTCGGTCGTCTTGGAAAGGTAAAATTGTTTATGGAGTGGCTAAGTTAAACAAGTAGTAAAATAACGAAGCATTTAACATGTACCAGCATCATTGGTCTAGTGGTAGAATTCATCGTTGCCATCGATGAGGCCCGTGTTCGATTCACGGATGATGCATTCCTTTTCTTCAACTTCTTTTTCTTCTTCTTCCCTCTCACCATTTCCATCCTCGTTTGAATGGAACTTCACTTTCTTTTTAGTTGATTTCAGATACCGAAGCTAGAGCTCTTCGATAGAATGTTGCAATACTTTCCGGAAAAAACACATGAGCCCCTATCCTGAACCGTATCCCATGTCCGTCCTGCTTAATCATGCATCCTAAGTTATCATGCCACCATTCCCCCCAGAACGGCAGTGGCCTGATGACTTGCAGATGCAGAAATGCCTCGTATCGAGTCTGAAGAACTGCACGTCCGAGCCACCCCCGCAGGGGGGAGTTGCTAAGCTTAATAGCGTGGTTTGCAAGACATTCTCCCCTGATCGTCGGAACCCGCCAATCGGTAAATTTCAAGCCCTCCGAATCCCATGCGGTTAATAGCTTCCCCTCTCCTCCACCGGAGATTGTCCCTTGAGAGAATGCGCCATGATTCTACACTCAAATAAGAGTAAAGCGATTTCTCTACCTGCCTTCACCATGATGCACATCCATCATGCGGTCTCTGCAGGTTTTCGCCCTGGCAGGCGTCCTTGGCGCGTCTGCCCTTGATGCCGACTCTATCCTGAGCAAATACTTTGGCAACGATGCTCCTTGGTATAGCGATCGCATTCCCCTCTTCGAGACAGATCTCTCCGACATTCAAGATGTCTACTATTACCGCTGGAGCATTTTCCGGGCTCACCAGCGTGACCTTGGCTCCTACGGCTATATCTCCACCGAGTTCCTCAACGACGTCAGCTGGCAGGAAGAACCTTATGCCCTGCTGATTGATGCCTCCAACTTCCATCTGCGCGAAGGCCGCTGGTGCCGCGACCGTCGCTTCACCAGCGACTACTCGTCTTTTCTCTTCGGCCCCCATGGCGCCCCCTACCAATTCTCCGAATCCATGGCCGACGGCGTCTGGCAGGCCTACCTGGTCAACGGCGTCGCTGACGATGCCACTCCCCTGCTGTCCTCCATGCAGACCGTCTACGCCGGCTGGAACTCCACCTCTCTCGGTGTCGGTGGCTACGACACCTCCAAGGGCCTCTACTGGATCCAGCCTCTGACTGATGCGACCGAATACACCATTGCCAGCATCGACGCCTCCGGGGGGGAAGACGGCTTCACCGGCGGATATGCCTTCCGTCCCAGCATCAACAGCTACCAATATGCTAATGCCCTGGCTATTGCCCACATCGCCAACCTCACCGGCGACACTACCGTCCGCGAGCAATACACCCAGCTCGCAAGCGCCCTCAAGACCCGTCTCCAGGACGACCTCTGGAACAGCACCTTCGAGCACTTCATCGACCGGTACAAGGAAGACAACGACTACGTGACCTACTGGGACTTCATCCGCGGCCGCGAACTTGTCGGCTACGTCCCTTGGACACATGACCTCCCGGACGACAACACCACCTACGCCAACGCATGGACTCACATCCTCAACTCCTCACAGCTAGCAGGCGAGCACGGCCTTCGCACCAACGAACCCAGCTACCAATACTACATGGTCCAGTACCGCTATGACGGCTCCAACCCGGAGTGCCAGTGGAACGGCCCCGCCTGGCCCTATCAAACCACGCAAGTCCTCACCGGCCTCGCCAACCTCCTAGACCACTACCCCAAAACCGCCGCAACAGGCGTCATCACCACCACAGACTACACCAACATCCTCCTCCAGTACGCCAAGCTACACTACAACCCCGCCCGCGGCGGTGTCCTTGACATCGAAGAGGACTACTACTCTGACACGGGCAGCCCTATCGTCGGCCTGCCCCGCTCCCCGCACTACTTCCACTCGGGCTTCGTCGACCTCATTCTCTCGGGCTACGTGGGCATCCGACCTCGCGCGGACAATGTCCTGGAAGTTAACCCCCAAGCGGACGCTTCGGCAGTGAGCTACTTCCGCTCCGAGCGCATCATCTACCACGGCCACGAGGTCGCCGTGCAATGGGACGCCACAGGCAGTCGATACGGCACCGTGGGCCTTCTCGTCGAAGTCGACGGCGAAACCGTGGCCACCAGCAAGACCCTCACCCGTCTCACGGTTGAGTTAAGCTCCGCTTCCGCCCCGGCAGTCTCCCGTCCCATCGCCGTCTCGGTGCAACTCGCCGCTGATAGCGAGTATCCGCGGGGTAGTGTATCTGTGGCAGACGCCGACACGGACGCCGTGCACTCAGCCATCGACGGCCGGGTCTGGTTCTATTGGATCGAGGACGTAGCCAATGGGTGGGATAGTCCCGTTGGGAATGGGACGGAGGTGTGGTACCAGGTGGAATTTGAGAATGCGACCAGCACAGCAAGTGCGGAGATTGCGTTCTTTGCGAATAGTACGCAGGGGTATGATGTGCCGGGGAGCTATCGGGTGGAAACGAGCGATTCGACGACCGGGGAGTGGAAGGAGGTGAGCAATGGGAATTATAGCTCGGCGGTGGCGAATGGAATAACGACGGTGAGCTGGGATGAGGTGACGACGGAGGCGTTGAGGTTGGTGTTCACGCCTAAGACGGGGGAGATGGTGCGGTTGGTGGAGTGGAAGGTGTTTGGGTAGTGGCAGAGTACTGGGGTTGGGTATGGGTGTGAGGGATTTTGTGTATGTACTACTAGGGATTAGTATAGTTATATTGAATATTATTATTATCCCGACTGGAATGGGGCAGGGGCTAGATTATCTACTGGTAGATATGCTGCCACTTGGCTGCATTGTGATTCTGGTTCAGGAGGGAGAGGTGGTAATAGTATCCACCGTCGATTAATCTATATCCGAACTTCAACCACGGATCAGATATTCCTGTCAGCCAACAGTTGCCATGAAGTGCTGCGCAAGCATTTTTACCAAGAGGGATAAATTTTCAGCAGGAACCACTGTACATGACGCTCTACATGTTACGAAAAACTGATCCGACGTTGTAGGTAGAGAGAGTAGATGGTACTACCACATTCACACCGATATGCATCTCAACGTCCGTATGACCAGGCACACATGCAATATACCTCGAATTCTGCACAATATCATCATTAATGCTTCTTGTCTCACTTTCTTCGTCCTCAAACATGTTTATGAGAAGTACCAAATATTCCCTCGTTGCATGTTACTTAATTTGGTTAGTACTACTGACCAAACTGGCCAATCACAGTTGACAAGGAGCATATTCCCCCTTTCAGAATGCCGACATCCGACTTACGATCCAAAATTACCCAAAGCAGTAGTATACTCTGATTCAGACACGTTGGATCTTGTCCTCCTTTGCCCCACTCCACCGTTTCATTCTGATTCTTGTTTTCTCTTTGCTCGGGAATAACACAGTGCTCGGTCTGCCGTGCTTACTGCTTGTGCCCAATGCCGGCTACATAGTGTATGTGGCGGATGATGTCGATGGTGGGTAAGTCATACATGGGATATAGTATGATGGGGTTGCATAATCCGGAAGAGGCAATTCTCTACGACGGCACCACATCCTTGGTCCGGATCATGCAGGGTACGTAGTGCAAGTAAGCCGAAGCACAAGACACTAGAAACTAACAGAATTAGGCTATCACTCTTATCTACGTACTAGAACATCGCCGAGACGGAGATCCCGCCGCCACAGAACGGACCGGAAACTTTGGTTTGCTAAGCTTTTGGGGGTGGATGGAGTCCGTGGTAAATGGATGGGTTTGCCAAGGTTCTTGCTCTTGTTCTTGATAATGAGATGAGGTTGAGATTTTGGTATTCTGTGTATCTCTTTCTTTTGTTGATAGGTCGGTTGGTGGTGTATAATTGTAGTGATTATAGTTGGAGTCTTCTAGTTGATGTTGGTAGCTAATATAGCCCTGTCGGTCCTTTCTAGAACTGATCGGCGCGTCACTGCAAACATGCAGACACTGCTCCACCGGCATAAGTCAGTCTAGTGTCATTGTTTGCCTGGATAAACGGCTCCCTCCCCTGGCCACCACCATGTCAATTTCTGCTTTGAAATCGCGCACCCAAACGACGTCTGGATATAAATACCTGGCAAATTCGCTCGACTTCTGGTTGTATCCTCATCATCGCATTCTTGTTCTGTTTGTTCTTCATTGCTCACCATTGTTCTCATCGCATATAGACTTGCTATTTCCAATTCATACTTCCTAAACTCTAATACTATTTACTACAACGACTACTACTACCATGGCTACCACCCCCGGACAACGTCTCTTCCCTGTGGTCGTCGACCACCTCGCCCAGACCAACCCAGCTCAGCGCATCGGTCTCATCCCCAAGGGTGCTGATGTCTCTGATGGCTATGATACTGTGACCGTCCAGCGTCTGGCCCGCGCGGTGAATGTCTTTGCTTGGTGGATTGAGAAGCAGATCGGACGCGCCCAGAAGCCAGAGACCATTGCTTACATGGCTAGCAATGATGTGCGATACTTGATTTTCCTCTTGGCCGCTCATAAGACGGGATACAAGGTATGTCTCATCTGTTGTATATTACATTCATTGTCTAACGGGACAGCCCCTCCTCCCCTCTACTCGTCTTTCCGACGACGCCTACCAGCACATCCTCAACGCCACCGACTGCCACGCCTTCTTCTACACCCCCGAAAAGCAGCGCCGCGTGTCTGAAATTCAGGCCTTCCGTCCGGATACTGCCTTCCATGAGGTGCCCTCTATCGCAGAGCTTTTCAGCACCACTGCTCAGCCCTACCCCTACACCAAGACCTACCAGGAAGCGGAGGACGATGTCGCCATCATCATCCACAGCTCCGGCACAACAGGTACCTTTCCCCTTAACCCTAATCCCAACACCTCTAACAGTTGTAGGCATGCCTAAACCCGTCCCCCTGACGCACGGCTTCCTCGCCACCCTCGACTACGGCGCATACATTTCGCGTCCCCAATCCCGCCAATCCACCATGTTCAACGACCTCCAGCCCGACACCCTCGTCCTCTCCACCACCCCCTTCTTCCACCTTATGGGTCTGCTCGCCTTCGCCGAATCCCTCTTCCACCACATCCCCTTTGTCGTTCTCCCCGACAAGCCTCTCTCCGCCGACCTCCTCACCTCCGTCATCACCGCCACCAAGCCCGCGGCCGCCATGCTGCCCCCTTCCCTTCTCGAAGACATGTCCCACGTCCCAGCTGCCCGCGCCGCACTCAGCACCCTCGAAAATGTCTACTTCGCTGGCGCCCCTCTCTCCCCGGAAGTCGGCGATGATCTGTCCCAGCTGACCAAGATCATCACTGTCATCGGATCCAGCGAAATGGGCCTGATCTCCTCGTTCGTGCCCCAAGGCACAAATGTGTGGGGCTACTTCGACTGGAACCCCGCCTACGGAGTAGACATGCGACATGTCAGCGACGATATGTATGAGCTTATCATCCCCCGCCGCGCAAACAGTCGCCGAATTCATGGCATCTTCCACACCTTCCCAGACCGCTCCGAGTACCGCTCCAACGACCTCTTCACCCGACACCCCGAGCACCCTCACCTGTGGAAATACCACGGCCGACTTGACGACGTGATCGTTCTCAGCAACGGCGAGAAACTGAACCCCGTCACCCTGGAGAAGATCGTCGAGGGGCACCCGCGCGTGCAGCGGGCTCTGCTCATCGGCCAAGCCCGCTTCGACACGGCCCTCATCATCGAACCCAACAGGGCTCTCGAGGGCGAGAACATCGACGAAAAAGCCTTTATCGAGAGCATTTGGCCCACCGTGGAGCGCGCGAACGAAGCCGTCCCCAAATACGGCCGCATCGCAAAGACCAGGATCCGTCTCTCTGACCCCAAGAAGCCCTTCCAACTGACCCCCAAGGGCACCACGAAGCGCCACGCCGTGAACAAGGACTACAAAGACGAGATCGACGCCATCTACGCAGCAGCCGAGGAAGAATCAGCCGCCGTCGAGCTCCCTACCACCCTCACCACCGACAACCTCCGCACTTTCGTCCGCTCCCTCATCGCCAACCTCCTCGACCGCACTGACCTCCGCGACGACGAGGACCTCTACGCCGCCGGCCTGGACTCGCTGCAAACCATCCAGCTCGCCAAAACCCTTAACAAGGCCGTCGTCGCCGCCGGCTACCCCGCCGGTCACGACATCTCCCAGCAGCAAATCTATGCCAACCCCTCCGTATCCCAGCTCGCTGCGTACCTACACGACCTAGTGACCGGCAACCTGCGCACAACGACCATCTCCCGCGCCGACCGCATCGCCGCCACCATCGACAAATACACCACCAAGCTCCCGCGCCGCACCACGCCCGCCGTCCCTGCCCCGGCCAACTCCACCGTGATCCTCACCGGCTCGACCGGGTCGCTGGGAACCTACCTCCTACACAGCCTGCTCACCGACCCAAAGATCGCAAAAGTCTACTGCTTCAACCGGTCCGATGCGGCCGAGCGCCAACAGCGCAGCTTCGCCGACAAGGGTCTGGATACTGCGCTGCTCAACCCCAGCCGGGTGGAATTCCTCACTGTGTCATTTGGCGCGCCCCGCTTCGGCCTGAGTGAGACCAAGTACGCCGATCTCCTGGAGACCGTGGACTTCATTATCCACAACGCATGGAAAGTCAACTTCAATCACCCGCTGGAGTCGTTCGAGGACCCGCATATCAAGGGCGTGGTGGAGTTTATTTCCTTCAGTGTGAGGAGCAAGTACAACGCACACTTGTCGTTCGTGTCCAGTGTGAGTACCATCGGTGGATGGACGGAGAAGTTGGGCCCCGTGGTGCCGGAGACGCCGGTGGAGAGTGTCGATGCGGTGCTGGTGCAGGGGTACGGCGAGTCGAAGTTCGTCGGGGAGAGGTTGTGTCTGGCTGCGTCGGAGGGGATGGGTGTGCCCACGACGGTGTTTAGGGTTGGGCAGATTTCCGGGCCGACGACTGAGAAGGGCATGTGGAATTTGGATGAGTGGGTGCCTACGTTGGTGAAGACCAGTAAGGCGGTTGGAAAGGTGCCGGCGGATTTGGGTGGGTATGAGGTTGATTGGGTGCCTGTTGTAAGTTGATTGATCCCATTCCTTTTCTATTGTTTTGGTTTGACACAAAAAGTCTGGATGGATGGATGGATGAATGCTAATATGGATATGGATAGGATACCCTCTCCACCATCACCACCGAACTCATGCACACCCGTCGCCAAACCCAATCCGCTACTCCACACGCCGTCTACCACCTTGTCAACCCCTGCAAGACTCCCTGGGCGACCCTCGTCCCCGCCGTTCAGGCCAAATACCCCGGTATGCAGACGGTGCCGCTAGACCAGTGGCTGGACGAGCTGGAGGCGATCAAGTCACCGTCGGAGACCGAGGTGCGCGAGAAGCCCGCGCTGAAACTGCTTGATTTCTACCGCGGACTCGCGGGCGAGGTGCTCTCGGCCAGTATTAGTGTGGAGCAGACGCGCGGGGGCAGCAAGACCATGGAGGGATTGGGGGCTGTGACAGGCCAGTTGATGGGGAATTGGTTGGGGCAGTGGGATTTCTGAATCCCTTGCTGAGAGGAAAGCCTATGATTATTGTGCTGTAAGGGTTCATTATGCTTTGTGATTGGGTTTATTTTAGCGAATGATAGATTTGAATTAGATAGACATGCATAACATTCCTGATGCTTGTTTTAGGTTTCGTGGTGATCGTTCCTTGTTTTGGGTGCGATGCAGGTACCCCTGGCGTGATATGTCTTGCTTGATAGCAACTGCTGTAGATAATTGAGGGTACTTATAGACTAGCCCAGGCCTATATACTCCCCCCAGCGGCCGGTTCGCTTCGCTATTTTCTTCTTCTATCACACCATCATTCCATTCTTCTACCACATACATACACTACATCTCAACCACAAAAGTAACCAGCTCCTCCCCCAACCCCAATACATACACAATTAACCATCCACCCAGACACACCAGAATCCCACCCAAAATGCATCTTTCTACATTGCTCCTCCCCCTCCTCCCCACCGCCGCCCTCTCCGCAATCTGCTACCCCGAGACCGGCGGCTCGAACTGCGCCTCGCTCCTCAGCATCAAAGAATTCTACTCCCTTCAATACTGCACCTACCGGTGGAACGTGCTTTACGGCGACTGGGACCACTTCGTCAACAACGCGACCAGCCCGACGAAGGTGCACGCCAGCGTGGGTAAGACGGGCGTGTTTGATAGCTTCGAGGACTGTCTTAATGGGTTTGAGGATGTCGTGGAGACCTGTCATGGTGTTAGTCAGGGTGGGGTTATGACCAATGGGAATGTTAGTCTTAATGTGCATTTTTGTGATTGGTAGAACTTGCCCCAAGGGCGAACATGGGGGATAAGATGGTTGTTATGATTATGAATTAGTGATGTATGGGTGAAATATGATGGATGAATAGTTAGATAGATGGATGAATGATGATATGTTATATTCACATATTTATATATACACGACAGCCCCGTTCAGTTCACCATGTAGAGCGGTGAGAGAAGACGGGGGATGGGGATGGAGATGGGGAGCAGTTTAATCATCGTTAAAATCATAAAAACTGTTTCCGTTCCATCCATCCACGAAGCTGTAATCCGACAATGGCGTCGTGCCGTGCAACGTCTCGTAATGCTTCCTGCCCTTGCAAGTAGTATTCGCCTTGCAAGTGCCGTTCAAGATACTGCTAAGATGAAGCCCCGCAGCCTGGCCCTCGAACCAAGCTCCATGCAAGAACCCAAAGTAGGTTGGACTGGTTGCCTCACCGGCAAACCACAGTCTCCCCGCATTGGCACGCAGGTTCTCATGCATCTCCAACGTCGTGCTGGGCGGCCAGTTCGAGTAACTGCCGTAAGCCCATGGCTCCAGGGTCCACCGCGGGTACATGAACGCAATCGGGTCAGGGATATCCTTCTCCGGGAACATCTTGCGCAGGACTTCCATCACCTCTGCTTTGGTCTTCTCGTCGGACTGGCGTTCGGCGCGCCAGGCGAATTGCTCCGTCACGGTGACGAAGATGATGTTGGAGCCCGGGAAGAAGCCCTCGGTGCTGAGGGACTGGAAGACGGGGTAGTAGCCGCGCATGTAGGGGTCCGCGTAGAGGAAGTATTGGGTGTCTTCGGGCCAGAAGGTCTCGTTGAACTGGAGGAAGATCTTGGTGTAGGTGGCCATTGTGAAGCCTTCGATGGCTTCTTTCTTCCATTCGGGCAGGGACGGGGTGAAGGTGACGGCGTCGTGTTGCAATACGCCCAGACTGAAGGTGCAGATGGCGTAGGAGGCGCGCACGCAGGAGCCGTCGGAACTGTGGACGGTCACACCGGAGTCGGAGTAGCTGATGTTGGTGATGTGGTTGTTGAGGAGCAGGCGAGTGTCGTTGGGCTTGAGGAAGGTCGACGCCATGCCGTGGATGATGTGGCTGTAGCCGCGTTGGTCGATGACAAAGTTGTCTTCGTCGCTGAAGCCGTTCACGGTGAGGTTTTGGCCTGCGACGCCGAAGATAAAGGAACTTTCGAGGGGCGTGTAGGCGTCTTCGAAGTCTGTGTTTGGTGGCGGTTAGTGGTGTATACGTGTGTTTGAGATAGGTGGGTTAACGTACCCCATGACCACCAGTCAACGGCTTGTGCTTCCATGTCGTCGACCTTGGGGCGCCAGCCGGCGAGGGCCAGTCCGGTCTGGGCTGTCTGGTCCTGCAGGTTGTCGAGGAGCATGACGCCGGCTTGGGCGGCGGCGGTGTCGTAGATGTCATCCCAGGTGTCGATCAGGTGGGAGTAGTCTTTGTAGCCGTGCTGGTTGTAGGTCGACACGTTGCTGTAGTTGGAGTAGATGGTGGAGAGGTTGTAGACTTGGGCCTTGAGGGGGTTAGAGTAGTGGTGTGGTGGTGAGGGCTGGTGACTTACCAGTGTCCAGACGGGGTTCTGCGGACCCCCAGGAGTGCCGAGTCCTTGGACCTGTGGTTGTTAGCAGTGCAGCATGGCGACTTCAATAGATGGCGTACCCAGTTACAACCCATCTCAATGATGTATGGGTTCCCATCTTTGTCCTGACCGAAGGGCTTATGCCAGGCGCGACCGCCGATGGTGTCGCGGTATTCGAGGATCATGAAGTCATCCATGGAGGCATTGTGCAGCGTTTGCTGGTGACCTATGAGCATTTGGAATTCCTTTTAGGAGCGACAAAACAAGTGACCTACAGCAGCAGCAATACCAGCCATTCCTCCACCACTGTCGGAGTTAGCTTAGGTCGCACTTCAGATACAATGGCAGTCATACAGAATAGCAACAGTGGTCTGCTTGCATTGTCCCTCATCGCGCGCATGGGGAACAGCAGCGCTGGGCAGCGCCAATGCTCCAAGAAGAGCCAACAATGAGAGCTGCATGATTGATGCCTCTCAATTCCCTACCGTGCCTGCTAGCTAATAAGCAAGCAAAAGCGAGAGGCATGAATAAATAGTACAGCGGAACGGGCTGCCGAGGTCGGACGTGACGGATAAGAAAGGCACCGATGGGGCAAGTCCATGCGGGTCTGATTGTTATCTCAGCTGAGCTCCGCACAGGAGGAGCAGTTCCGCAGGTGTCTGCTTTTAATCTATTAGCTGCAACTATAAGGATACTAGCTACGGAGTAGTTGGGGATATTGATGTCCATTGGCCCAACCTCCGCTTCAGCCGTCGGCGATAAGCAAACAGGGCGGTGGGACCAATCCCGGCGGGTCGGCGATCGTAGCTATTGCCAGTCACCGATCCCTGCAATGGTCTTCAGCTGAAAGAGCTAATGCCTAGTGAGGAGTAGCTGCAGTAACCAGGTACCAAAGTGTCAAAATTTCGAGGTCCAAACCCCGAGTCGCACAGAAGTGGCAAGAAAGTGGAAGTGTCGAAAAGACATGTTGACTGCAGGCCTGGGTCATCTCAACCCGGAAGATGAAAGATGATCTGTAGCATATCAGGCAAATAAACAAGGAAGTGGGGTTAAAGTAAGGCGGATATTGAGGGGTAGAAAAACTTAATCCCGATCACTAAAGAGGAGTGAAGAAAAACAGAAAGAAAAAAGAGAGTGCATCATCCGTGAATCGAACACGGGCCTCATCGATGGCAACGATGAATTCTACCACTAGACCAATGATGCTGCTGCTAACCAGTACACCATCTGATTCGCTGATGAAATTTTCTTTCCTTTTAATTATTATGAGCTAACGCTATCCACGGCAATATTTCCGTATAGAAATTAGCACACGACAGGATATTCAACCCATTACTCACTGCTTTAATTATCTTAACCTCATTCTGTAGCATTTCTACTGAGAGTTATAACTGCTGTAAAGCCTATGCTTGTTGTTTACCATGTAAGTATTACTCATTTTCTCATAGCCATCGTTGAATATAGTAGCAGGCGTCAAACAAATATATACATATATTCAATAGGTCGCCGCAGACCATTTTCAACCCCAATAATGAATATGTTTGAATCATAACAGATTCAAGCACAGCAGCCCGGATGATGCGATCTGCCTGTGTTTACCGCATAGGTTTCTAGCCCGATGTCGAAATCAGGTTAGTGTCAACACATGGAGCAATGGTCCACAGATGCAACAAACTCGATATACCGACCCAGATTGCTTGACTATACACATCCTACCCTAACTCTAGAAATATAGTTACCTATCGTTGTGTACCTGTTGACAATCTACATGTTGACCTCAATAACTATGTGATGTGCTCGATTTTGTGGGAGGTGCTTCTCCACATAATAGCCTACCGTGGAATGATATGACTGACATCATGACTCGTATGAAACAGCCATTTTTCGCATTACTTATATTGCTTTGCTATTCCGCGATGTGAGTTAATCATGCTGGTATACCGCCAGCAAATGGACAACCCGCGGCAGAGTGCCCTGTTCCTGCACTACCATCTACTCCTCATAATTGCCCAAACGCGACATCGATGACAAAACGGTCGGTACCAGCTGGCCACTTCTCTGGTCAAACGAAGTGATCTATAACGTCACCGCAGGCGGCTCCCCCATCCGGGAAGAGATAGTGGGCCATCAGTTCAGAAGGTCAAGGTTTGGGGAGCAGTTAACCCAACCCAAGGGGTCCGTACTACCTCGAGAGTCTCACCACCTCGACAGGGACCATTGGCAAGACCGAGGGAGAAGAAGCCAAGCTAGCACCTGTTGAGGTAACTGAAAAGGATTTCCCTGGGACTGCTTCAGGAAATGTTCGGGACCCCCCAATTCAGCTGAACATGCTTCCTGCCGTGCCTCAAGCTGGAATGCACAATAACCACCTCCAGGTTGACGATTCGCCAGGCACTCATTCATTTCTCTCTATTTGTTATCCAGGCTCTCTCTGCACTACGGCATTTCTTGAAGAGCTGTCGTTGAGCACCGCAACTGCCCGCACTGATCGAGCTGGGCCTGAGTAGAAGAACAGTCGTTTGTGAGCGGAGTAGGCTGTGGCTACCGAGCCTTACTTTCAATATCCGATTCCTCCCTGACTACCAATCCGATTTTCCTCACATGCATGCCAAAGTGAGATCTGAAAAGCCTGCAAGCCCCTCTGACAATGACCAAACTACTGCTCAACAATCAGTGATACCTTTGCATTGTGCGGCACATGCATCCGGCGCGGCTGCATTGGTAAGTTGCGCGAGACGGTTGGGAGGAGCATTATTCCCGCAGAAGTATCTGATATTGTATCCATCACCATACTTCTCCGTCTCTTGTGGTGGGCTGCCACAGATAAAGTCCTATGGTGATCGTGTTGAGCCACGGTCCACCAATAGTAAATCGGATGCCGACAGTAAACAAAAAGGCGCTTCGTGAGGTTGATGAAACTTCCACTGATCACGCAAGGCCACAACAACCGAGATTCACTTTGTCGTCTTCCCTCCGTAGCACTGGGTGCACTCTGAGTTCGGTATTTGCGAGACCCCTCTTATGTAATACTGGAAGGAGGAGACGAGCCTCACCCAATTGAATGAATGTAATTAAGCAACAAGCTACTAAATTCCTGACCAGAAACAAGTATGCCCTAGAGGATTTTGAGCGCGTTGTGTGAGATAGGTAAATAAGGAAGACATAGTAAAGTGACCTGTAAGAGAAATGCCACGTGCGAGTCAGGTGATGATCAATGGCACGTTTTGCTCTCTGCTCCCCTTCTGCACTTGATCTTCCATATCACGTCGTCAGATTCCTTCGTTTCCGACCAACCACATAGTTGGTGGAACATGTCAACATTTGTGGCCTTCTAGTAGTCCAAGAACACTCGACTGGACAAGCAAGACATCTGGGGCTCAGCAGACTCGTGATGGTCGAGGGAGGGTGAGTAAGACATCAATCTTAATATAGAAGCAGTATGCTCGCTAACAGGTGATGTGCGATTTCTTATGTACTCTGTGCTACTAGTCATGACTTTCTGGCATAATCCTTAGCCGACAGCATCTGTGGAGATAAAGATCAACATGTTTGTTTCTATCCGTGACGGTGGTTCCAGGAACGTCCCGATACCCGAGAACACCCATCACAAAGTTAACCCTCAGGTTCAGACTCGACCTTCTCAATAGGCTTGAGTCGAGACTTACACCTAAAATGTGACACACATGGTCACCAGACACGCAGATCTACGTGGACAAAATAAGAGTACGCGTTTGCCACGACGGGATCCGCAGTTCGATGGCGTCGGGCTCTTTTACTGGTTGCAACTCGGTTCGGACCTGAAGACAGCAGCGGAGACTGGGACCGAACCATCTGACTGATCTTCCGGAGCCGATCCCATTGGCTTCTGCTCATATCTTTTCTCCTACAGATTTGCGATAACGCTCAAATCTCGGCTCGCTTCCGCGCTTCAGCAACGGCGTAAATTTATGCCACTGAGGTATAGACAAAGCGATTCTGTAGGAAAAGCCGATGCTGCTTTTTGAATAGGCATAGCACTCCTGTGGAATCGTTCCCTTCACCGTTGCTGCGTGGGTTGAGTCTTCATAGGTGTCAAGCGCATCCACAGTCCACGACAGCACTTTCCCCGTTTGGGCCAAGTGCCTGTGCCGGGTAAGCATTCAGGAACCGTCTTCTGGGCGGACGCGCAAGCCATCTCATCGCCTCTCATCACCTCTCATCAAGCTTTGTGGTCGACGCATGGCCCCATCCCTCGTGGACTTGCTGTCGCTCAGAACCAACCGCTTGCCAACACGCCGTCATCCAAGACAGCCGCTCCACTCCCTCCTCCAATGAAATGTACCAAGCCCACTGCCCAGGCTATGCATCCTTGGCCACACTCAGTGGAAGCGCTCTTGCGCCAGCCTGAGGAAGAATTTATAGATATTTGCTGTTGCCTTCGCTAGCCAGCCCCTGAGTGTCCATGTCAACCATGGTCATGATTCAGTCCCCTATATCCAGTCTGTAATCCCGTTTCACCTACATACACTCGTTGTCAACCTCCGTTGCAGCTTTCTTTCATTTCAAATACTCCAGTCACTCGCTCAGACCGTTCATTCGTTAATCTTTGCCATGAAGTCATACATGTTATGGGCATTAACTGCCCTTGCTGCCACAGTGCCTCTCAGTGCAGCTCAGACATACACCGACTGCAACCCCTTGAACAGTAAGTAAAGGCATATATTATCGGAGAGTAGAATAATTGACTCATATTCTTAGAAACCTGCACACCCGACAAGGGTCTCAACCAGTGGTCCCTGAGCACCAACTTCACTGATGGCTCGTCTTGGCGTGATAGATGGAATGTAACCGCCGATACCGTGAACAGCACCTCCAAAGGTGCCGAGTTCAAGATCAGCCAGGAGGGCGATGCCCCTACCATTGAGTCCAACTTCTACATCTTCTTCGGCTATGTGGAGGTCAAATTTCGTGCTGCCAATGGTACCGGTATCATCAGCACCAGTGTGATGGAGTCTGACGACCTGGATGAAATTGACTGGGTACGGTCCGCCCAAAATTCGTAGTGATATTCATGCTAACCCCACACAGGAACAAGTCAGTACATATGACTCGGAAATCCAAACAAATTACTTTGGCAAAGGCAACACCACGTCCTACGACCGTGCCACCACCGTGAACGTCACCACACCCGAAGAGACCTACCACACCTATGGAGTCAACTGGACATCCAGCAAGACGGAGTGGATACTTGACGGCACTGTCGTCCGTACGCTCGAGTATGCCGACGCTCTCAATGGCAAGAACTACCCCCAGACCCCCATGACCATCCGTATCGGTATCTGGGCCGGTGGTGACCCCGACAATTCCGAGGGAACCATCGAATGGGCTGGTGGTGAGACCGACTACGACGACGGCCCGTTCATCATGTATTTGGAGTCGGTCAACATCATTAACTACACCCCCGCTGAGTACTACAAGTACACGGACAAGACTGGCGACTACACAAGTATCAAGGCCTACAACACCACCACATCGTCCAAGTCGACCAATTCGTCCAGTAGCTCGTCCTCGTCCTCGGCCTCTTCCTCTTCAAGCTCGAGCTCCATCTCTACATCCAGCAGTGGTGCTAGTGGTCTATCCTACAGCGGGGTCTTGATGACGATCCTTGGGTTGGGCACATTCGCGGGATTGCTTCTTTAGACAATACCATGAATGGCTGTGCCATTTGTACTGATTCATCGCAACTGTATAAACCAGCTTATTCTGTAGTACATTCGATAAAGGAGTTCTGTATGGCGTCGGCGGACATGACTTAACATGTACTTTATTTTTCATTGTAGGATCAGGACCAGTCGCGGGCGCTTGCGCCCGTCAGAAATTCATCTGAAACAACGGGCGCTGGTTTGGGGCCGGCGACAAATGCTTGATTGGGGGCGCATGAGTCAGGAATACGGCTCGGAGATAAGGGTAGCGTGTAGCGAATTAGTTGGATGATGTCAGATTCAGTAGTAGGAGGTAACTACATGACCCGAGTCTCGGAAATACGTTTCGATCCCTGTCCCAGCGCCCTGTTTGAGACGAATGTGCATACCGGGCCTGTTTCCCTTTATACCCAGTTGCTATTCGGTACCTTTCGCGATTGGCACATTGATTAGACACACCACATTATCGCACTGATTCTTACCTGTACACCATGCAGAAGTTCATGAACAACATTCCTCTCGTCAAACAACCATGTCGCGTGATCTTACTGTAGGATACGGAGCACCAGAATTGTTTCAGGGCGGTTGCACGGTGGGCTAACCTCCCAAATATTACATTACTTGATTGCAATTCGATGTCCTGCTTGCCCTAAACAGTCATATTAGCGCGATCTTGGCACATACTCCCAAGGAATTAGGGATATTTCGCCAAAAAGTGTTATCATCTACCTGTCCTGATGACAGAGTGAGGGTGGCCGAGCTCTCCTATTAAGGCAGAGATTTCTTCATAGGTGATTGATAAATCTACACTCAGTCACCTCACTGCATTGGATACCATGACTGCAGTGGCTACACCCAAGGAGGATGTTTTTGTCTGCTGAAGTAACGTAACATTTACAGTGGCTTGTACCTTGCTGTTGGCTGCCACTTGACCAGAGTAAACCTGGATTTAAACTGTTCAATCAAACAAATGATTGGTCTCTGATGGCTCATGAAAATTCTACATGCAAGGGTTCGGTAGCCAAAGAATTAAGCATCTGCACTCCCAGAACTTGGTTTTCGGCATGCAGGGGTGGAGAGGCGAACAACCAATCCGCTCCCGCGAAGCAATGCTTCAGAAGTTTAACAACTTCTTCAAGCTGCTCTGGAGTAGACGACGCCAAAAAATTCGAGCACCACCTTACAATTGAAGTCGCATTCTCAGTATTCCAATGTTACCAGCACGGCATTCCAGAATGATCGTCATTATACCTACCAATCCGTGTCTTTCACAAATCAGAGAATGCTAGTATATAGAGTAACTACAACCCCAGGGTCCTCAATTCCTGAAGACACTTATCTCCGTGTTATACTGATAACCTTATTATCTACTATCGCCATGCATCTAACGTCCCTTCTCCTCCTTATCCCCGCCGTCGCAGCTAGCTGCTTCCACAACACCCCTCTCGCCCGGCGTGCAACCGCCCCCAGCTTCGGGTATACTGCCACGCGAGGCCCATTGAACTGGTATGGGCTCGACCCGAATGCCAATGCCGCTTGCGCAACAGGGACACACCAGTCCCCAATCATGATCGGCAGCACTCAGATCTCGAAAGTCGATAACAGCACCATCACCCTCTTTATCCCTACGGTTTCCGATCTCGAGTTCGAGAACCTCGGCACCACTATCGAAGTGCCCTTGACGAATGGCACGCTCGTCGTGAGGAACAATACTTACACCCTGGCTCAGTTCCACTTCCATACCCCTTCCGAGCACCGTATCGATGAGGAGCATTTCCCCATGGAAGCCCATTTTGTGTTTTCGGATGAGGGTACAGCATGAACCATCTTTCTGCGCTCACTTTTCTTGATTGCTGATTTAGAACTCTAAAAATAGATGGAAACATCGCCGTGGTGGGTTACCTCATCCAACTCACCTCCACAAAGGATCACAGCACACCCCTGCTGAACACCATATTCGAGGACGTCGATGAGATCTCCGAGCCGGGAAGCTCCACCGAGCTCGGATTGCTGGACTTCAGCAGTGTCACGAGACATTTCACGAACAACGATATCTACACATACTCTGGGTCGTTGACTACCCGCCCTGCACCGAGGGTGTAGCGTGGTATGTCAGTGGATTGCCGTTGGTGTTGGATGTGGATACGTACAACCAAGTGAAGAAGGTGTTGAAGTTCAATTCACGCTATACGCAGAACTTTTTGGGACAGGAAAATTTGTTGCAGCTTGCGGCGGATGAGTTGAATGGTGTTACTGCTTAAAGGGCCGATGGAATTGACTAGTTTAGGGTTTAGGTTAGTGTTGGAAGAGAATATGTGGGACTCGAGGATGTCAATGCAAGGGCGTGAGGCTTGGATCTAATTATAACGCTAGGAGAGGGATGACATCAATCATGTATCAGTTAGATATATGAGGCTGTTAAAGGGCTCGTCTGACAGTCGTAAATGCAGCTAAACGGTCATTTCGCTGTCAGCTGATGCGTTGACTTTCCTGCATGGGTTACCGTAGAATTTACTAGTGCTGACGCTGTCCCGCACATCCTGCCGGCGATGCCCGACTCACGCACCACGGAAGCGATTCCTAGACAAGCAGAGGAGTCGTAGTAGTCCCTCAGAGACAAAGAATAGAATAAATACACTCTGTTATTCCGGCTGACGACATACCGCACATTCAGGTCAGCAGAAACTAACTATAAATAACCTTGAGGATTCCCAGCAACAAGAACTGCGACACTCACTTCCATCCAGTCATCTACTACCTACCTACAACAAGCACATCCAACACACCACAGCAGTATGAGCGCAAACCGTGGCGCCAAAATCGTCCTTAACTGGTACATCTCTTCCCATCCCCCCTTGATACCCCACCACGACTAACAAACCAACAGGCTCGAGCGCTCCCGCGCCCAACGCATCGCCTGGCTAATGGAGGAGCTACACCTCGACTACTCCATCCAGCCCTTCAAGCGCAACCCAACAGGCACTGCACCAGCAGAACTGAAGAAAATCCACCCACTGGGAAAGTCACCCACCATTTCCATCCAGCCGCCCTCTCCCACCTCCAAACCGATTATACTGGCCGAGACGACCCCAATCATGAGTTACCTAGTCGAGCATTTCGCCGACGAAGCCACCGGCGCCAAACTCATTCCCAGGAAATACGAGCCCGGAAAGGAGCGAGAGCTAGGCGGCGAAACAGAGGCATGGATGCGGTATCAATATTACAACAGCTATGTGGAGGGTAGTTTGATGAGTGTTTTGCAGGTAAAATTGGTTTTTGATGGTGAGCAAGCAGATTCCCCAACTCCACAATTCCCCCTGTAATTGGTGGTATACTGATAAATAATAGCGTTGCAAAATGCTCCCATCCCATTCTTCCTCAAGCCCATCATAAATTTCATCGCATCGAAAGTCAACTCCGAGTTCCTGGACCAGGAGTTCAAGACTCATTATGGGTTCCTGGAAGAACAGCTTGCCACGGCTCCTGACGGGGGACCGTATATTTGTGGGAAAGATCTCAGTCTTGCGGACATTCAGTTGAGCTTGCCGGTGTTTATGGGGTTGATGTTGGGGGCTATATCGAAGAGTGAATATCCGCTGTTACATGGGTATGCAGAGAGACTGAAGCGGGAGCAGGGGTATAGGAGGGTGGTGGAGAGAGCAGCAGAGGTTGGGGAGGGGGCTATGTTGGAGTAGATTGAGAGATCATGGTGTTTAGGGCTTGGGGGTTTCATGTTTCTTTATGAAAGTGGTGTTGCGGGGTGCTATCTAGGCGGGTTTGGATGGCTTGAACTATGTCAATGGATATCTCTTCTCAACTTGTTAGCAGTTTGTACTTTGGATATCTAAATAATTTCATTGGCAAGTGCCTGTCGATTGTATAGTGTGGATGGTGCATGTACGGGCTTTACGTTGTTTAGAGCAACGGGCTGTCATAGGCGAAAGACGGTTTAATTATGGGACCTCTGATATGATAGCTGGGATATTAAAGACTCGAAATTGCTAGCATTTATTCCTTTATCAGTATATGCCTAGCTAGTGCAGTGATCTGTACAGGCAGATTCAGACTAGTAATTACTCGTTAGATCCAGTGGAAAGATAGAAAAAAAAAAGTTCGAAAACAACATAAACAAAACTGTGAGTTATGATGACCTATTTGATAGAAAATTGTATCAGGGGGTGACTCTTAACGTCCTGAACGAATGGAGTGGGTTCCACAAACGCCCTCCCGACTATCTTGAAGCATGATTCCTCCCCTTCGTTTACAATATCCTTCTGGCCAATTTTACGAAGTACGAGTACTGCCGGAAGGCCGAGGGCAAGCACTAATACATCGCCATCCTTAACACGACAGTCCGTTAGCCCAATGCTCACAAGCATGGTGTCTGTTTGAGAAAGGACCAGAAAGATGCGCCTTCCGGAAAGCCTAGAAATATGAGGCATTGCATCCTGTTCCATCTCGCCGAGTAATTCCTTGAACATGCAGTCTTTATCTTCGCACGACCGGTATCTTCCAGAATCCTGGTAAGAGAATATGAGAGCAGATGTGCATTCTAACCACACAGAAAAAGCACTGTCAGTATGGGCGACTATGTCCTCAGCAGACACTGCAAGTCGAACTTCCCTCTCTTGTGGACTGCAATTTCCGACCGTCTGGTCTTAAATGGAGTAAGAGCGGGGGTGAATGGGCTGTCACAGTAAATGGATGATGCAAGCTGCCATAATATTGATACGTATTTAGTGTAGCTTGCAGGTACTATGCACGATTCTGTAACAGCATTATAGACACATCTTAATATGATCTCCCAGAGGCAAGTACTATGTGTGAATTAGGAATACGGAGTATAAGATATATATATTGCCTTATGCATAACCTTATACCCACGCTTAGGTAAGCGGCAATAGACGGTGCGTCAACGTTAATCAGAGCGGGCCCTTCAAGCGAGCCAATCATAGAGCCTCCAGGCGTCCACTCTTGCGCCTCGTACTCGTATTTGAATGTCAATATTGGCCGAGGACGGAGTATCTAGCGGAAGCAAGCTAGAAGTACTGTACGCGCCCGCGGATTCCGAGGCACCTTTGCAGTCAGGCCACAACAGCTTCAGAAATGACCCTACAACGAGGATAGAAACGTAAATTGCCATGACGCAGGTTTGACAAGGATTGTGCGAGAATACCAGGCTACATCAAAACATGGTCATCGGCGTATCCTGATGGGCATCCTTGAGGCGTGCGAGTCAGCTCCACTTTCAGCCCTACGCAGCATCAGGCGTGACGTCACAACTTCTCGTTCCTTATGATCTTTTAAATCCCCTGATCGACCACCATCTGTTTGTTCTTCATTGTCCAGACTCTGAAGTTTTTTCCTCCTTCTACTCTCCTCGAGACAGGCCTCATCCACCTCAAGAAAAACCTCCACCAATAAACTACATAATCCGCCATCATGCCCGGAAAAGTGTATGCACACCATTGTTACACATTCTGAAAAGACAGTCACTAACTAACATCTCTACAACAGCGGCTGCTGCGAAATCATCATCGCCTTCTTCCTCCCCTTTGTGGGTGTCTTCATGCGCACTGGATGCAGCTGTGATCTCCTCATCAACATCTGTCTGTGTATCCTGGGTTGGGTACCCGGTGTCATCCACGCCTAGTATGTGTTGCTGCCCTTTTCTCCCGCCTTACATTCAACTGGGAACACAAGCTGACGCGTGTCATAGCTACATCCTGGCCAACAAATAAACAACTCAATTGATAATATGGACATCTGTTTCTGATGTGTTGGTCGGTTCGGTGAAATTCGCAACCCGGGCTATCTCCATTACGGGCGCTCTCGGCGTATCGACGGGGCCATTCATGATTTGCGACTATTATTAATGTTTACTTTTTCTGCTTTTTTTGTATATGTATATATCCCACGGCAACAATTTTCATGACTGTTTGACTTTGTGTGAAATTTTTATCCGCCAGTGGTGGTCTATGCACCGGCCCAGACTTCGCTACGTAGGCAGCAATTTTCCCGTATATTAAAAGGCGGTGACTGGGCGGTGAGCGGAGTTTTTGCTCAGTGTTGCTGTGGCTACGTCATGTTTTTGTGGCTTGGATCTGCGCATCATAATTTGGGCGAGAACGAGAATAACAACGGTAAGAGGCTATTTTTGGGATTTGATAAAGTTTGGAGTGAGGCCTCGAGGTCATGTGAAATGCATCATGAAACATACGCAGTAGGTTAGGATTTTCGAGCCAAGTTTAATATGGCCCATAATCAGGACCGAAATCGGCTGCACAGTTTATGCACACACACGAGTCAGTCAGCATAAAGCTGCCACATCTTTCCCTATGTAGTCCAAGTGTCTGCTTCATGCTAACAACATTCTATGGATCGAACTGGTGGGATCCAAGACCGCAATTAGCTGCAAATAGCCCCCCAGATAGTCTCTCCAAGAGCAATTTCCACATACCATCTGCCAAGTCTTTCAGTCTTCCACGTTCCAGATATCTTCCTCTACACCATCTGTCCCACCGCTATCTATCCCCTTGTATTCGTCAATCGTCTTCGAATATCGCTTATCAACGAAGTCTTCCAGAAACAAACAGTATGATCCATCAGGCTCAATGATTATCTTCTTCACCAGTTCCGCGAACTCCCGACTTTTCACCCGGAGAGCAACCAGCGTCTTGATCATCTCGTCTTTGTATTTCGCCGCGGTTAGCTCCTCGCGCTGTTGATTATCATTGTTAGCAATTGGAAACGATACTATTCCAGTAAAACCTCAAAGAAACAATGGTATTACCTTATCGCGTATAGCATAGATCATACTAGAATAGACCGACTTCAAAGCTGGACATAATGCAGCAATTACGTGACTACTCAGAGGATCGAAGTGACCGATGGATTTTCCAGCCGCTGTTGCTTCATCGAGGCTTTGGAGTGCTTCTGAGGAGCGAGACTTGACGTCGTTCAAACGCTCGGGGGTGAAGTAGCGGACGGATTTGTCTAGCTGGAGGATTTTCAACCCGTTGTTAAGGATGGAGCCAAGGAAGGTGATGGTGCCTTGACCGCGGGGTTGGAGATAGTCTGTGCTTGGAGCTGGGTGGGCGTGGGTGGTGGAGGAAAGGGTTAGGATCGTAGAGAGAAAAGTGAGGGTGAGGATTGGGAAGCGCATTTTGGATGTACTCTGTCAATTGAATGAGAGGGGTAAACTAGGTGGCTGTGACGATATGGCTCTCATGGGGTCTATATAAGCTGTCATGTCCGTGTCAGTTCTCCGGCGATATGGTGCTCGAGTAGCAGTAAAGTTGAACACTGGACATAGTGGTGCGACAAGGGTAACCACAAGCAAACATACCCCATCCTGCAGAGGAACTCCAATGCAGGTCCAACGTACACATTGGGATACGTGATACTATGGTGATGCTATTCAAACCCAGGCCCTTGAATGGTATGTACTAGGGACTGTTCAGACGTCTATGTAGCATTTGCCCCAGATGTACAGGGGTCAGACGCACATCTACGCTGACTAGTCTGTATATAGGCATGAAATTCACAGGCTTGAGTAACACACCACCGCCCGGGCTTTCGCAACGGTCCGTTCGGACTTTCTGTGCAGAACATGGGTAACACATGGCAAGGCCGTGTATGAATCGGTCTTCTCTTCCTAGTCAGGTATAGTGACTGGTGCATTCGTCCTGCAAATTCTAGTATTGTGCAATATCTCCTTCATGCCAATAAGGATCCATGGAAAGCTCAGGCATCTACATTCGTGTCCAGTTGCCTCAGGCTATTTACAATGTTTTGGCCAAGTTTTCTACAAGAGCGGTGGATACCGTCGGATCTTTGAACGTAAAAAATAGACCCCACGCATAATGGGGGCGACTGCTATGTGTGACATAGAAGCTTGAGCAGGCCGTAGCGTGGGATAAGCGAACCCCAGCATGACCAGCCTGGAATAGCGAGTTCCAACGCAATAGACCAACGACGGAGTAAATTGTGATAAAATATCACTTACTTTGGAGTTATGGCTCGTTAGTCTCCAACTTAACCATCAGTTGATTGCAACAAGCAAGCTGCGAAAGTGTGAAACTTGGGTATCAGCACACCAAATCAAAATCACCCAAAGTGTGTGGGTGGTTCACCAACAACCCAAACAGCTAAAAAAAGAACCATGCATATCCGAGATTATGCATTACCCCTCATTCAAATCTTTATGAAGGTGCGCTCACTCCGGAAATTCCCTCTCCGGGGGGAGTGGAACTAACCTCCGGTATCAGATTGGAATTGAATTCGGGAAACCGTATTAATAACCGCCCGACGCTGATGGAAGAAAGGGTCTTTAGACTTGGCTCCAGCCCTACAGCCCTACAGCCCTATACAAGAGCTTGGCAAGCTTGGCAAGATGGAGAAAGTGGTTCTATATCCTTATTTTCTGTAGTGGCAGGATTTATGAAAGAATCTTCGCTCGACTGATGCAGGCGAAGCCTATATAATATACCTTCAATGGGAGGGTGAAACAATGCTGCTTGGAAAGGTAAGCCTGCAGGACGCCGTACGGTACCAGTACCGGAAGACTCGGGAAAAGATAAGAGATTGATCGGAGTACGCCGTAGGAAAGCGCGGTTAAAGGGGAAAGCAGCATGAGGAAGGTATCCAGGAGATCAGAGCGTACCAAGCATAGCGGTCGCTATGTTTTGTGTCACCTGGAAGCAATCGCATTTGATGCTCATGATGATTGGACACTCACCATCATGATCAGCGTGGGATCTGTAAAAGGCTGATCCCTCACAGCCTCGTAAGCCCGAGATGATGAATACTCCCGAACACGAAACCATGCCACCGATTCTGAATCGAGCGATGATAGCCGATCAAGCTTCCCAAATTACCAGTCTAGTCCGTCCCCTCATCGCACCGGTCGGGGGAGAAAAACCCTCCGCCCATCCGCCCACGTAGCAAACCTTGCAACGTATAAAGCCAAGCCATCCGTTCGCCACCATTATCTGATGATCTGATTACACCATATCTGATTATCTCGGCCTTTGATTATCTAATTGATTGATTGATAGATGTTCCTGGTCGGGAAGTCATCTCAATAATAAGCTGCCTTCAAATGGCATCTCGAACGCAATGGAGCAGAATGCTCATTTTCACTACCGTGCTGCTGGCAGTTTCGGCGTTTAATTATGGGTTCAGCGACCAGGCGTTTTCGTCCTGTCAAGCCATGGATTCGTTCGCTCGCCAATTTGGGGTTTATCATCCCAGCACGGGGAAATATAAGGTGAAGCCGTTGTTCACTTCGCTTTATAATAGTTTGAAGGCGGGAACGCAGATTGTCGGTGAGGATCGTACTTTCCAAAGCTATGGAGAACTTCGCTGATTTGTTTGCGAAAGGTGTCTTCCTAGGAGGTTATATTAGCAATACCTATGGTCGGAAATGGTGCATATTTAGCATGAATCTCTACGCACTAGGCAGTGCAGCAGTAGTGGTGAGCTCCAAAACAGACGCACAAATATTAACAGGTCGAGCATTACACTGTCAGTGTCCTCCTTGTTCCCGACCAGATACAAACCATCCACTAACTCCTACAGACATCTACCTAGGAATGCAACTAGCCGTAATCCCAACCACCCTCGCCGAACTCGCCCCCCGGAACGTCCGCGGCGCCATGGGCGTCCTATACTGGCTCAGCATCAAAATCGGAGGCCTAGTAGTAACCGGCATCGCACGAGGCACATCCGGCATCTCAACAAACGCCGCATGGCAAATCCCCTTCGGCTTGATTCTCGTGATTCCATTTATTTGCATCTGGCTCGTCTGGATAATACCCGAGTCTCCGCGATGGCTGCTCCTCCGCGACCGACAAGAAGAAGCACTGCAAGCGTTGAAACGATACCGATCGAAAACCACACCCCAACATGAGATACAAGAAGATCTCGACGAAATGGCGCAGAAGGTCACGGCCCAGCTGCAGAAGAAAAGCTTCAAGGATCTCTTTATCAAGGGAAATCGTGAACGTACGTTCGTTGTTGCCGCTGCGAACTTCTTTCAGCAGGCTTCGGGGCAGGCGTTTGCGAGTCAGTATGGGACGCTTTTCGTCAAGCAGTTGAAATCGGTCAATGCGTTTAGTGTTACGCTGGGTACTAATGCGACTGATATTGGGGCGTTGATTATTTCGACGGCGCTGAGTGATGTAGTGGGACGGAGGTGAGTTATCTTCTTAGAAATCATGTTTCAGTATTCACTAACACCAAATTCTAACCGCAGAATGCTCTTCCACATAAGCGGCTTCCTCGAAACGGCGGCCTTAATGACAATGGGCGGTCTCGGTACCGCAGACACTAGTAACACTGCTGCCAAAGAAGGCATCGTCGCTATGCTTCTTCTTTACAGCTTTGGTTGGTCTCTTGCCTGGGCGCCGTTGGTGTATGTGCTTGGTGCGGAGTTGCCTTCTGCGGGGTTGAGAGAAATGACTCTGCGGATCGCGTATACTGTGAAGCTGGTGACTGAGTATGCAACACCTTTCCCTACATATTCCGCCATAGATATTAGTATGAAAACTGACATGTGATAATAATTAGGTTCGCTGTGACATTTTCGTATCCTTACCTCGAAACCGCAGACGATCCCGGCCATGTGGACATTGGTGGTAAGCTGGGATTCATTTATGGGTCGCTGTCTGCTGTCTCAGTCATATTTGGGTACTTCTTCATCCCAGAAACGAGGAAGTTAGAGTTGGAGGATATCAATAAAAAGTATGAGTCGTCAACGGAGAGTGAAATGGAGCAGAAGGTTGAGTATCAGGTTGGTTTGAGGGAGGTTCCACGGGCGGATGTACAAAACTGATATAAAAATACCCTCATGAATGTCATTTTGCAAATAGAAACGCTTGGCTCGGTTGTGTGTGTTTTTCCTAGATTACTCTAGATTCTATCTATCCTTGTGCGCCGATTCCTCTCCGTGTAAATGATGGTTAAAGCGCGCACTTTGCAGCGGTACCATGCATTTTACTTTACATATAAGGCCTGGTAGATGTATTTTCACCAACAAATGGGCCTATGGCGCAATTGGTAGCGCGTAGTAAGTTCACCTGCATCCAATCGGGTTGCAAAACATTCTCTAACAGATTTCCAACAGCGACTCCAGATCGTAAGGTTGTCCGATCGAGCCGGGCTGGGCTCATTATCTTTTTTTCGTTTTTTTGTCGTCTGCCGTCCGAACCCCAACACCGACCCATTTAATTCGCAGAATATGCTACCGAAGTGAAGGACGTGATGTGAGCTACAATGATTTATTTAAAAATTATACTCTTACTATTCTTCATAATTGTGCCGCCACGGTCATGTTCAAAAAGCGAGATACAGTCCGCAGAGGAGAGTGACACGGAGTACACGGTTCTTGACAGCGAAATCTACCAACAGGGATGGATTACATGATTTCCTTGTTCAGTATAGGAGAGTAAACATCGCAGTGTCAACTGTATATATCATAATAGAAATAATATGTCGTAGCATATTCTACTCACCTGTTCCAGGCACTGCCTCTACCGGTACCAAGTCGATTTGCGGACCCAAACGCACTTACATACAAAGCATCAGAATGATCACCCTCAAAGAAGACCCTCAGCTGCCAGTGCTTCGGTCCTCGACTTGCTGTTCGGGTCCAGGTAAGGTCTCTCGCCAATACCCACCGCCCGGTGTCCGAATCTCTCACCAAGGCCTTCATAATCGAAAGTGGCAGTGTGGAAAGCACTCCGGTTGTCCCAGATGGCTATCAAGTGTTAGTCCTAAAATAAGCAACACAACAAATGCCAACGACATACCAATATCATGCTCATTCCTCCATTTGAATCTGACCTGCAGATCATGACCCTCAATGATAATCGATTTGAACTTCTTCAACAACTCCTCCGACTCAATCTCGTTCAACTCATTGATATACTTCGGGAACGGCCCCAAAGCAAAGATACTCTTCCACCCCGTCACTGGGTTCGTCCGCACAACCGGATGAACAGCCACCAACTCATCCCCAACATTGAGCGGACTTCCTCGAGGCTGAGTGTATATCTTGTAATCCTTCGGATTTCTCTCCGCCGCCTTGATGAAGCCATCACCCACGAACGTCGCTGTCAATCCTTCGAAGAATTCTTGGTACTTCTTCGAGAACCGGTCGTAGAGCTCGTACCCAGATGCCCAGAGGGTGTCTCCACCGGTTTTGGGAAGCTGGGTTAGCCGGAGAGAGGTGTAGTCAGCTGGTGCCGGCTCGAACTGGATATCGGAGTGCCATTGGGCCGAGTCGTAGCTACGGCGGTTGGGTTGGCGATCGTGGGCGAACATCTTCTTGCGCGCGAGAGAGCTGATTGTGCTGATTTCGGCGTCTGCGGTGCCGAACTCGTTGGTGTTGTTCAGCAGCGGGTGGATGTGTAGGGTGGAGGTGGGGGGTTTGCCAGTTAGCTGCCCTAGTCGGTGGACCAATTCTTTCTGAAGGTCATCGGTGAGGTTTGTTTGGGCGCGGAAGAAGACGACACCGCGCTGAGATACTGTTGATCATGGTTAGGTGATGGGATATAGTTGGGGTAGATCGGGAGAGGTACTCGTGATGGCAAGGTCGCGCAGCAGCTCATCGGAGTTGGGAGCGTTCAGGAGATCATCGACAATGTTGACGGTGGGGTACTCGCGGCCAATGATTGGAGTTGTCTCTTCAAATGCAAACTCATCCAAAGCACCACTGGGCTTCAGTGGAGTGGGATACCGTGGTTGGTCAGTCGGGCCATCCGCACTGGATGCGGGGTGCGAGTGGATTGGGAGATCTGCAGAGATTCCAGGAGCCATGATATTTACAATGTAATTGAACTGATAGTTTCCAAGTGAATAGAATGCCTTGAGATTCTACTTTGGTTGGGACATTGACTGAGATATATAGAAACCGGGATGGGGTTGATAAGCACAACTCCCGGCCATCACGCAATTGCCGTCCCGGCTTGTGCAACAATTCTCCAACAAAAACGAGTTTCGTATCAGCATCGATGGCGAGATGCGAACCCCGCATCTGTCAGATGTCTTGCGCAATCCTGGCTATGAATGAGGGTTTCGCAATTGTCTCGACTATGATATTAGTGGCTAGAGACACGCGTAGCCACGTCCGTGCGGAGGAGATCGGGTGGCTATGGGGAGTTCTCAGGAATGTGCCGTCCGGGGGTCTCGCATTTCGGGTTTACGGGAGATTTTACCTACAAATTCCAGGCTATATGACTCTGTTTAGGTACGCTCTTGTCTAAATTCAAAAAATTTGTAAATACAGACGAGAAGTGATAGCTTCTTCTTATCAACCTCGACTTGAACCGCCTATTCTGTCTTTCCATCAATGTAATACCATGGAATTTAATGTTATTTCTCTTTGAGAAGGTATGAAGAAATATGAATGCACGAGATTGATCAAGTTTTTAGGATTTAAATGTTCTATCCCGTCCTCTCCAATCATCATAGTTTAAGTGTACCTAGAAGGTAGTCAAGTGTTAGTGGTCCAGAAGTACATAAAAAGGTCAAACAGAAGCAACCAACAGTAATTGCAAACACCCCCTGGTATGTCCTCACTTCCAGTAATACTTTTAGATGTATTGTATGGGTAATATCAGATCTACCATCAATTCCTACGAGCAATGAGCCTAATAAACCATAGCGTTGGTAAGGAAGCTCTCGTGCGGTTCTTAGAGACCTGTAGTACATCAATGTCTTGCTACACACATGCAGCTGGGCCTACATAATCATCATCTATAGAGGTAGTATGAAGTTAAGGCTTCCATGTGCGTCTTCTTCAAGGATCCAGAAAATCGATTTCGAGGTCCTCAACTGAACAATGAAAACTTGATAGGAGGATTTATATCGAGGCCTTCGATGCGAATATCCAGTCTTCCAGCCAAAGATTTCAAGGAAGACGGTTCACACCCACGGCATGAATAATTCGAGCAATGAGTCCACGCCGGCGACTTGAATGACTCTACCTTCAGAAGCAGACTTTCGTAGCGCAGACCCTGGAAAGGGGCTGCAAGAGTTGACGAAAGCAGATTATTTGCGTTCATCTCCAATGTAAGGGCCCCGTATAGTTTCGACCTGCATTCGAAGCTGCAGCCTCGAGTCCCCCTTAGAAGGTCTTCACGTACCTTATGGAGACGGGCGAGTATATTATTGATGGCCTCATTCCTATGTTCATTCATTGATGCTGCGACTGTATCAGTGACCAAGATCATCTGGGGGTTGTAAGTGCTTACTCATAATTTTCTCGGTGATTGGAAGCCCACGGCTAGTAATCGAGCCATCACAGTATGTCATAGCGTTCGATGTTGATGTCTTGAACTTTGAAGACAGTTTGAAGAACTGAGAGACCCAGACCCACAACATTAAGTCCCGGGAATATGTCAAGGGAATCTTTTCTTCCAGACCATTGATCCATAAATCTGTCAGAATAGACACGGCATCTTTACAGTCATAGTAGTTGATCAAAACAGCAATTTTAGCGAGCATTTCAAGAGATAATTTCCGAGGGATTTGGCTCTGTTGCCCGTGAATCGCGCGAAGCAAGATCAATAGCGCTTCAATATCCCAACTCTCGGCAGTGATCTCAACGGAACCTTTAGACAGGTAAGCCACACTCTCCTTCCAATCTCCAGTAAGTATGTTTCTAAAAACCGGGGACGCAAGTATCAAATGTTTCGCGGAGACTCGAATGTGGAAACATTTGTCATCTGATGTCTCGCTGAGATGCGCATCCTCAGTTGGCGTCTCGGAAGGCTGTTCTTCGGCAACTCGCTTCTCGTCAGGTTGCTCATCGGGCAGCCCTTCACATGCTCCAGAGAGTTTGAAAGAATTCATTTCTTCAGTCATGTCTTCGTAGTCGTCTGGCGCAAAGGGAGGATTGGCATTGCGCAAAACTATGGTCACCTCTCCTTCGGGGTCGATAATATGAGTTGGTTGATCCATTGTCTGCCGAGTGCTGAAGGATCCGGATTCAATCTGTAAAGCAAGTGGGCAAGGACATAAGGGAAAGTATGAGAGGATCAAATGTAGGACCGAGAATAAGCTCGAGGTAATTCAGGGTGTGCATGGATTAAATGTCAGCGCGGGAGTCGTTGATGGAATACTCTGTTGGCCAATACTAATGCAGGCATTATCCGACCGGGAATTCTCCGTTCCACTCATCCACTAAAGATCACTCAATAGCGGTAGGACAATTGAGAGAAATCAATTAGTTTGACCGCCCTGCAGCTAAACCTCAAAGCCTCCAAGGCTAGTAATGTTCTGGAATATCCCTGAAGTATGGGGTTGCCGATTTGGAGGCTCGCAGCTCAGATACCTCAGATCGAAACATCAAACATTCAGATCAGCGGATTGTTGTGGGACAGTCCTGATTCACTCCACTACCAAAACAACAACCGGTACTTGCCTCAATGCTATCGACATCCAAACTACTGAGTATTGTCAAAGTTAAATAAAAGCCTAGATGGGAAATTCTGTACTCAGGGAAGTTCCGGTCTCCATGAAGCGCTGTTGGTGTACAAATAAATACTATACAATCCCTTGCAACATTAACTAAACTCTATTACATGACGAGCGTATGCCGGAATCGGCACAGAATAAATTATATGAAGAACATTATCCAGTCATCGCTTTGGGTTTTCAACATCCCCATCTATAGCATGCGCTTACCACATCCTGCGTCGCGACATCTTATCACGGACCGACATCAAAGCCTTGAGGATAGTCGCATCATCCCTCGACTCAACGCTCCGTTGGAAACTCTTCGGCCACACATCCTTGTAGGTCAAGTTCGTGAACAGAGGCACGTCCACCTGGCAGATCGTTCCGTCAGCGGGCAATGTGCCATTGGTGAAGTAAGCCCGGACGGCCTTGGCAGTGCAAAGAGATGGCATAGACAGGGTAGTATGCTATCATCAGTAGGTTAGCTGCTTGCTCACTTTTGATATGATGAGAAGGGGAAGTATAAACATACACCGTATCCGTTCTGCTCGAGCAAGACACTTCCCTCAAAGGTCTCTGTCAGGTTCTTCGCTGCGGGAAGAGGAGTCGCTGGATCGTAAGTGTTGCTCAGAATCAACACCGGGTTGGCTGTCTTGACTTCAAAGTCACCGGAGTAGCGCTCCTTGGCGAACATCTTCGGATTCCACTGCGCGCATCTCATGTCGCCGTCCGAGCCATCACTTCCGATCTTGGTCAGAGCCTGTCTGGCTTTGACGTACGGGAGGACCTCTTTAATGGTGGCAGATCGATGCTTGTCGGAGCATGTAATGGCCGTGCCGACCTCATCGGAAGCCGAAGTCAAAGAAGCCGATTGACCGTAGGATTTGATGGTGTCGTATACTTCAGAGTTGCCAAGGATCGTTGTGTTGCGGGTTTGCACGTAGTAAAGAAGCTCAGAGGTCAAGGGCCAAGAGCTTGGCAGGTACATGGCCTCAAAAATGGTCGACTTGACGTCGCTCCAAGTTACGATTCCACCGGTTTCGGGAATGGCAATCGGGTTGTACTTGAGGTTTTCCAGCATCAGGTAAATTGCGGCTTCCAAGTTGGCGGCGCTGGTGTACTCCTTGGCGATAGGGCAGAGGTCCGGTGCGGCCATGCAGCCCGTGCAGAATCCTTCGAAAACTTTGTCGACGTCCACAACCGCTTGTGCGTTGCTTTTCGGAAGGAATTAGCTGTCTGAATCATACCAGATCGGGCAAACTTCAAGGGCCACTCACTATCCATAAAGAGCCTCTCTGGGGTTGTCCACTCCGTCAAGCGCGACATTCCCCATTCGATCCGGGAACATGGCTGCGAGAACAGCACCGATTGTAGTGCCGTATGAGAATCCTAAAGTGTAGATTGTCAGCAAAAGTATAAACTCGGTTCAGCCGTGATATTTACCCCAGTAGTTGACCAAACTATCCTTTCCACTGAGCGCATCAGCGACCTGCATGATGTCCCTTGCAGCAAAGCTAGTTCCAATAAGACTACCAGTTTGATTGTTCGTAGCATAGCATGCCTGTGCGATGTTTGCGTTCTGGGCCCAGATTTCTCCCAAAGCCGTGCTGGACGCTCTGCCGTCGTTAGGAGCTTGAAGGGCGACGAGTTCACGGGTGGCGTCATCGCTGTAGCAGGAGAACGGGATGGTGTTTCCAACGCCTCTATATAAAGGTACAACGTTAGTAGATGTTTCTAGCTCAAGAAAGAAGAGCGACAAACCGGTTGTTAAAAGCTATCAAATCATTGTGACCTCCAAGAATACTAGAGAACAATGTCAGTCAGCATAAGATGCGGTATCAAAGCAGAACTGCAACCTACGCCTGAAATTCCTCTCCATAAAGCCCAAGGCCCTCGAACGAATTGACACCAGGTCCTCCAAAGTTAAATATGATGGGCTCCGAGACTGGTTTCTTGGTCGCTGGCCACTTGGCGATGTCGAGAGTCAGTGTCTTGCTGGAATTTGACTCCGTGTAGTCGTATGGCACGTCTAGTGTTCCACAGATCAATGCCGGATAAGTGGTCAAGTTGCAAGATCCTTTCCATTGGATCTTGCCTAGCTCTGCTTGTGAAAGTGCAGCTAGTGAGGCTAGCGTTAGTAGCCTGGGAACGAGAGAAGTCTGCCTCGTCATGATGTCTAATGAGAGGATTTTAAGAAAGATAGAAGGGAATTGAGGAAAGCTTGCAGGTACAAGACAGGTTGAGAGCCGGTACTCCAACGTTCTTTATAAGCTCATTTCACGTAGACTGTAATCTCCCATGATCAAATCAAAACAATCGGAGTTAATTTTTCCAGGTTGAGGCTGAGTTCGGCCCCCAAATTGACAGCCTTGCGGCAGTCCCCATCATCGCAACTTTATTACCTAGTTAGGTCTGGCATGGTGTTGTAAATCTTCGACGCGTTCCACAAGTACTGGGGCTGAGGCAGGGCCCGGTCGGAGATCGGCAATCCATCTCAGGCTACTAAACCTTTAACGCGCTAGTGTGGAGATAATCATCCCTGCAACAGGCATAGCATCCCCGCATATTCTCTCCCGAACATCTCAATTGCCTGTTTGGGTTTAGTACCTCGCAAAGAATCAAAGAGCGCAGCCTACTCAATATGGCAATCCACCTTGTATCTAGCGGTGTGAGAATTGATGCTTGGTTCTCCTTATCACTTTCTACCAGTTTGAGATCTGTTCAGGGGATAAGTTCAGTTGATGGGAATCAAGAAAGAACAGGCAGAGTAATCTATGCATCATTAAGGCTAATCCAGCAATGGGCCGTTCTGAGTCTTCAAGTCCCCATTCTGGGGAGCGAGTACATTGCAGTCGATAAGAAATGAGACAAAGGCCCTCTTATTCGATGCATAAATTATTCAAAGTAGAGAATCAGTGTTGTTGAGTTGTTTGCCTTGCTAAGCCACAGATGGAAATTGAGCCATGCTGTGCTGAAGTAGGATAGTAACAGCATTGGAGACTGAAGATCCCACTTTACTTTTCGTCGTTCAAAATGCATCATATCCTATTGCATGATCTGTGATTCCATGGGCAGTACAATACTTGGTCTGCCACACCCCGTCCCGAGAGTATCGCAATCATTTACCCTTGATAATGTGGCGGAACTAATTATCCATTCAGCATGATGCAGCCCTGTCATACAGGGGGTGCTGCACCCCGCCAAGTTTAGCGACTAATTAAGTGCTTGTACTTCCCTTGTAACAAACCGAAAGCAAGTCTCATGCGCTAGACCCAATGTGGGCTTTGCATGTGTTTCATCTGAAATTTCTAGAAATCTCGCACATGTAGCCAAGCTTTATTTAGCTTTGGTAGGATTGGAAGACAGCTTACAACTGTTAATCATAATATATAGCTTTTCTAGGGTTCACTAGATATCTGTCATACAAGAGAACAATGCTGAAGCCCTCCACCAGGTCAAACTATCCGGATCGTCAGAAGATACCGTTCATTTCTCCGCTAAAGCAGGAGCATTCGTAGCACAATGCTTCTACCCAAGCTTAGACCAATTCCTCAAGCTTTCCATAGTAGTATGTTACTTAGTAATCTGATTGGGTGCAGATGATAGCAAACATCTCCCCCTTTCTTTTCTTTTCTTTCCCCCTGTCTTGTTTGTCTTTTCCGCTTAGGGATCGTCGCAAGAACGAAGAAAGCACCAATCATATGAATGTAAGATGATTCTCCTACATCCTCATCAACCTAAACTAAGTAGCGACATAGCAACCGACTTATCTGAGCTTCACGAGCAATAATACGCCAACTATACTCAAATTGAACCCCAACCGCGAGACCGCAAGATGAATCCACTTCACCCCCACCGACTATCCCCCGCGCTATACCCATACAATACGCGGGGCTTATAGCCACAGATGGCCGCTTTGATTCGCCCGTTCGGCTAACTCCTGGCCTTAACTACGCAGTGGTGGGTAACGTACTTATTGATGAACCATGAACTACTAGTAGTTGCTGAGGCCGTGTCGAATTACATGTAATTAAGTCCGGGCCGTGCGGGTCATTGGTTGCCATGATATTATCAATGTGATGGGAAGTATTAGGCTACATGGCGACCGTGGGGGTTGGCTAGTATGAAAGTAGGGAGGATGTGATACGAGAATGATGACTGGGTCAGGAAAATTTGTTTCGTTGAATGGAAAAGTGAGGTTCCATGTCATTAATACTATCAAGGATTTTGACTGGGTGAAGGTGAACAAGTACGCTGAGGAATGAAGGATTTAGTAGGTTGCAGTCGCGGTAGCCTGACGCCTTCACTTACTTATCGTTATGCTGTGATACCAGTCTCTCGGCGTATAGTATACTCAATTTCTTTTTCAATGTTAGTAGTATCTTGTAGGGTGGTTATCGTTTTCATTTGAGGACATTATCTAAGCTATACAACATGTTTCGGCAATGAAAAATCCAGCATCGGATAATCGCAAGATATTAAGAGAAACGCCTGTAACTTCAAATCCAGGAAGACCAGCATGAACGATCGCAAGCCATCAACACAAGCGCCTGTAGCTCCAGAAAGATGCAATAGCAAGAACATAAAACGAGAATACAAACGCCGGCCGGCTTTCCGCTACCCGATGCCACCTATGCACTCGGCAAAAAATGCGACACAGTAAGTAAGTGAATGGAGAGTTTTCCGCGCTCTGTGTTTTCTTTTAGCGAGGAGAAAAACACACTGACCCTTTCTTCGTTCATCCAGCCTTCAACTTACCCTTGTATCAAAATCTTTGCCTATCATCCTCACTCTTCATCGTCCTTTCCTACGGAACCAACCAAGGGGACCTCAAAGCAGCCCTTTAGGGTGTGCATGAGGTCCCCTTCACGAAGATCGACATAGATCGTGCTGATGAGCGAGCCGATGGTTTGTTTCTCGCTAGGGATAGTATGAGGAGGTAGGAAAGTTGGATGATCGACGACTCCCTTGTGCATAGGAACTTCGAGAGTCTTGCGTACATAATTGTACAGTTTGATGCAGGATGTGCAGAGATAGTCGGGTGTCGATGGGTCGAGGAAATACTTTTCACGCGTCATTTCATATTCATCGCACAACTTGGACTTGACCTCTTTCTGCCAGAGCAGCACCTTGCCCGGAATCTCCCCGATCTTGGATTCGTCACACTCATCCGTGATCAGGTTTATGAGCGTTCCGACTGCGTGGGTTGTTGATGTTGCCGCACGACTGGCGAGTCCGAGGTTGGAGTTCTTTGCCCAGTGTTGCATCAGGACGTTCCAGATCTTGACCTTGATATAAGCAGCACGTTTTTCGGGGACCAAGTCCATGCACATGACTCTCGTTGTTTCGTCCACAGAAGGTTTTGCGGATTCTTCGAACTCGAGCTGGAGTGTGCGCAGGTCGAGAGCCTGGCAGAGCACATAGATATGTGTTGCCATCATAAGCGATAGGATCTCAACGGTGTCACCTGCATAGCGGGCCGTGAGCAGAGCCAGTGAGTTGATTGACTGATTGTGCATTTCTGCTGATTGGACGAAATTGCTGACGGGGTGAGCCAGGTATGCCAGTTCGCTCATGTACGATGCCATGTTGATATCGATACCCTTGAAAGCGAAAGACAAGTTGGGATCGTCGGCACAGAGGTTAGGGGGCAGGCCCTTGCTGAACATTGGATTGAGCAGTTCCGAGCATTGGGCGAAGATCATCTTCCCGATCATTTGCATACAGGTCATGACTTTCTCCATTGCAGAAGTTATTGAAGCTGCTTGGTAGTTGCCTCCGTGATGCACCTCGCCATTCTCAGTATCCAACAAAGGATTGTCGGTGGTTGAGTTTAGTTCACATTCCACTTGGCGTGTTGCGAGAGCCAAGGATTCGATCTGGGGACCTATCCACTGCGGAGTGGTGCGGATTGCGTAGCGATCCTGAGCGAGGCCGACTTCTTCGGGAATCGAGTCACTGGCTAGTTTGGAGTCGCTGAGGATGCCGTACAGATTGCGTGCCACTTCCTTCTGTCCGGGGTGCGGACGAGCGTTGCTGATGAATGGATGGAAGTTACGACGCGTTCCCATCAACGCCTCCGTGCACATGGCGGTTACGACTTGAGCGAACAAGGCCAGCTGGTTGGCTTCGAAAAGCACGAGACTAGCGGCTCCAGCGCTGAAAGCAGTTCCATTGAGTAGTCCGAGACCCTCCTTTGGAAAGAAAGAAATAGGCTTCAGGCTTAGCTTTGCGAGAGCTTCGTCGGAAGGGAGGATCATGTTGTTGTGATTTGGTCCGCAGTCCACAAAGATGTCGGGATTGCCTTCAATTGCCCCAGCAATATATGCGAGAGGGGTTAGATCACCGGAAGCTGAAATGGAGCCTCTCAACGGAACCACAGGCGTGAAGTCAGCAGCGGCCATCTTGAGAATGTGATGAATGGCCACTGGTCGCACTGCCGAGTGCCCGTTGATTAGACTGTTGCATCGGATCAGCATGGCTGCCTTGACATATGAAGCGGGCATGGAGTGTTTCTTCAGGCGGTCCTGGATGGGCGTGCTTTCGAGCCCCTGCTCAGCAGGGAGAAGCACGCCGGCATTATGGTGCTGAACCAGTGCCTTTTGCAGCGCACGATAGTTGTCGGTTCGGGTGTCTGCACTGCCTCCGAAGCCGGTGTTGACGCCATAGACCGTATTACCCTCCTTGAGATGCTTGCTGAGAAATTCAACACTGGACTGCATTTTCGGGCGGATGGTACCGTTGTCACAAACGACCGGCGTCACCCCATGTCTAAGGTAGGATAATGAGTCAGCTTCAAAGTGCGGCCTGGGGGTTTCATCAAAGCTAACAACGTACTTAGAAACCGCCACGACTTCAGCCAGATCAAGTCGGCGACCGTTCACGCTGACAATCTTTCCGACTATCAAGATAAATTCCAGCTTGGAGGTTGCGTCCAGTACCGATTCCGTGAAATCATAAGGCTTATTTTTACCTGAACCAGCTTCGTCGACTGCTTTCTCTACCTTCATCAGTGCGGACAGCATGGCCTCGGCATGGGTTATGAGACTGCTGTTGTCAGGGGACAGATTGGGTGGAGTGTCAGCCATATTGACTAGACGACTCTATTGTAGCACTTCAATCGTTGTTACTAGCACTGTTGATACAAAAGCAATTTGATGGACAAAAGGTTCGAACTCAGCGTGTCCTTGTAAACGAAAAGTTTTGAAAGAGGTGCTTGTAGATGAAGTGTTGATGATGGGAAGGAGACGAAAGATATGATGAAAACAGACGCGAATCGATTCCAACATAGTGGACATGCTAAGCGAGATACATGGGGTTTGATATAGTGAATGCGCGCTCCCTACGCGTTCTCTACGCGCCCTCTGGCAATACAGTATCATGACCCAGTGTGCACTGCTGGTGCTTGTGGCCATGATGGCTGGCGAATGTCAGTAATTCCTTATCATCAGTAACGTCATCCTGTTTCCAGTTCACACTTTGCTTTTCCCCTACCATGTTGTGTTGTGAGTCCAATACCTCAAAATGACACAGGTCAGCAAATGGTCTTTGGTGGTTGCCGCCATCCAAATGGTGAGAGTACCTGTGATAACATCCCCAGGGGTTACTGGATCCTGCCGAAGCTCTCTGCGAGGGAGTGTGTGAACTGATCAAAGTTTAACATCACCTTTTCACACTGACGATGCACTGCTACTGTGAGTCTATGTATCCAGTGACCAAGGGTTAGTGACAAGATTCTAATAAGCTTCTCTCGAAGCTCTCGGCTATCAGTATGAGACTTTTCAAGACCTGGCAGCAGGGTGGTGGGAAAATGAGCCCGCCAATGGTATGACTGCCAGCCACATGGCTTCCCGCTTCAACAGGCACACCATCCTTATGTCATCTCTACAATCACGACTGGTTATTGCTGGATCGAAGAACGGATTCTGCAATTACCAAGTGAAAAGTGCCTTCTACGCAATCCAGATCCGGCTTTTGACCTGTTGTTTCATCTAGACTTCGTTTAGTCCATCGGGATCCTACCTCATCCCGAAGGGTTTGTTTTCCATCAATCAAATACCGTGTCTGGCTTCCCGCATTGCACCGTGCTTATTGTCTGTGGGCGGCGAAGTCAATTTGATATATGTAAACAAGCTGAGACTTGGGTCTACCGTATGTCTAGGTTCAAGATCCAAGAAGACGTTCTGAACCACTGATGTGCTTATCGAATGCACAGAAAGTATGCCCCCTTGCCAGCAATTTCTCTCTTTTGTGCATCACAGTTGCTAGTTGGTGTCAAACTTGGGAGTTGGGGCAGTAGAGGAGTTCACTGTTTCTCTTCCTCTGTCGTCCATGACTGGTATGCCAGTTATCTTTCGACTAGGTCAGAGCGGTATCTAATTCGATATTTGAAGTCAAAGGTCAGATTGAGAAACATAGGACAAACGTTGTCTGGGACTTACAGTAAATCGAGTTACCCTGTTGCTGAGGGTAGATAGCTTTATATCACTGGTTGTGACGATAGGCTAGACGCCGTCTCTTTCTCACTTACCCATGAATGCCTTCTCTGTACTTTGTACTCTCCAGCTTGAACCACGTTCGAAAGATGGTCCTCGTTGGGGTTAAATGTTGGGTGTGCAGAAAGATAGCATGCCTCAAGCTCATACAACAAGATCTGCACATTGCTACAGTCTGACCCTGTAGAGAGAATGAGAGCGGCATCAGATGCGAAGTACCTCCGAAGGGAAACGATACAGCCCAAGGCAAAGACATAGAACAAAAAATGTCACAATTTTGACTTCATCATAAGGAATCACCCTAGCAATTGCTCATGCAATACCGCGAGTCGGAACGGCCAGAAGGTAGACGAATTCGTTATGGCTGGTATACATGAATGTATGAACATACAGCGTACGCAAAGAGAAGAACAATGGCAAAACTACAAGCAACCAGACTTACGCGTCTGCAATGGACCCTGGTCCCTTCCAGGGACATGGCGCTTTCAGTTTGTGCACGACCTGGACCCTCCTGCCAAGCAAACCCTCGTAGCATGGACTACGGCAAGTATTTCCCGTCCTTGGAGATGAATATCTCCGTCGCGGTAAAATGACCTATGAGCACCGGATCTCAGCACACCTGCGTGTTTGCGACACATATGCAGGGCCATCACATACATGAATCGTTCCAGTCCTCTTCTCTCCTTTGCATACTTGGCAAAACAGGAGAAAATACACTGTCTCATACTAAGCCAGTGACATAGGCTGATTGAGCCTATACAGAGCGACTCCTATTTTTTCATTGATGGACAAAAGAAAGGTCCGTCGGTGTGTGTCATTATCAAATTGGGCTGCATGCGGGATTTAGCCCCAGGGGCGGTTACTGTAGTGGCCGCGTCATCTGGAAGACCAAGCCGTATTAGAGTCTGGTATGATCGATTGTGCTGCTAAGGGACGCCATTCCCCAGCCTTCTTGTGACGAGGACGCTTGCCATTGACAGATGCACGGGCCAATTGACAGGAAAAGGAGAAGCGCGGAAAACCCGGATCAGACACATAACAACTGAAGGGCGGAAAAGGGCCCGTAGCGTTTTGATGGTGACAGAAATAGAGACACTAGTATGGCACGGATTGATCTCTAAACCTAATGAAAATAACATGAATCTCAGGATTATACCCATATCGACTGTATCGCATCCTTCTCGTTTTGGCCCCCTTGACTCGCAATCATCGGGAGTCCACGAGTCCGCTGCGGGACGCCGGCTCGCTCCCAATCCTTTGCCCCGGGGGTCAAATGAGCAGTCCTCTATGGCAGTGGGAACCACGCCGGTAGAGCCAAATATTGAGAGTCGAGAGTCAGTTATCTGATTTCGTCAAGCCTGCCGATCGCGCAGAAACTGGTAGCGACCTAGGACCGGTAGACCGCCAGTTAGGAGGGGACTGCGAGGGTGCGAAGATAAAGTGAAACATCCCGATCGGATAAATGGGCCGTGCAGACGGGGGACCAATCAGCTTACGCAGCCCATGGGATCTGCATAGGGCCACGCCAGCTGCTCCAACGCGCTATCAAATCGAAGGCTTGAAACGAACAGATACCATAATCCGACAGCCGTTTGTTTCATTCAGAGTAGCTCGCTAGCATGGTGACGACTGGTCCAGGCCCCATTTGTCGTCATCTTGGGCCATTCCATCCATCACCTTCAACTCTACCATGCAGGAAACCATGGATAGCCTAGCAAAACCCCGGCATGGACAGATGCCAGAGAAGACTTCCACCCTACTCTAGGGTCCCCTCAGGGTCCCATTCCTGTTACTCCCCCTATTCTTGGGTCCACCTTGTGGGCTCCCCCAACTTTGACGGGGAAAGCTCTATTCCGAGTTCGGCTACAACGTTCCCAGCGAGGGCATCATGTAGGACCTCATTATAACGACTTTTTCTGATGGATAGGAAGTACAGGTAGAGGAATGACTTTCCCCCACAGTGAATATCATGTTGTCCTGATCATAGCTTGCATGATGATCTGTAAGCGGAAGAGGATTATGCTGCACGTAGAGGACACTGACCACAACTTCTGTTCCTCGAGATGGACCCACCCAAATAACGTAGAGTCAAGGACCCGCCATCGTTGGGCCCCCAAGAACACACCAGAGCTGACTAGCCTTCCGCTTAGTTAGCACTACGACCTGTCGACTGTCAGTGTCGAGAGTCGAGACTGGGCTGACCCACCAACTTGGAACCGCCACAGCGGCAGGGGACAGCTTGATCGAGGACGTCAGCTCCCTGGCACGCTGGTTGCCATTGGATAGAGATTATCAACCAGTTGAATTCATCCACCGACGATCTGAGGCACTTTTTGAGGCTTTCCCAGTGAGTCCACTGAGTTTGGGTGGACGATGGGTAGAGAGACAACCAGACGAAGCATTACCAAGGGACTCATGACGGAACCGCAAATAGACCACCAACAACAGCCGCAGCCAGGATCAAGCCACCTCCAAGAGGCAGGGGGGCCAAGGAGAGGGACAGTCGAGTCATCTATTCTGAATAGGCGATGAAGAGATGAAACGCTGGAGTGTCGGCTGGCCTGTGACTGCTTCCAGGGCGAGCCGCGCACGTGGGGCCGCCACAGACAGCCAGCCAGACTTCTTCCCTTCTCTTCCTATCCATCAATAGCATCCTCTACCTACATACTCCCTTCTCACAGATCCAACTACCGGCTTCATGCTTAGCCGACCCACAGAAGCCCAGCAGGTACGTTCAAACCCTATTTTGCATCAGCCCTGCCCCTGAGCCACTCTACCACCCCCCACAAGCGCCGGGTCTGCCGATCCGTGCGGTTCTTGCATGTCCAGCATAACCTGATCTATTGCTGACAGTCGACGTCTCAGATGCAGGCGAGCCGAATTCGGTGACAACAGTGCATGACGAATGCTTGGTTCTTTCCACGCATCTCACCAGATGGATGGAGGTCATCATCGCTGGGTCACTGCCGACCCAGCGCTTGGAGAGCGCCTTATAAAAGCCTCCCTTGCCCCAGCCAGGATCATTCCTCATTCAGCTCAAATTCTCTTTCCTTTGATCTCAACTACCATTCCTTAAGAAGCTGTGCTTCGTACCTTCATTTCGCCTTACTTTTTTTCTGCTTACTACTACAACTCCATCACTCTCTATTCTTTCAATATGAAGTTCACCGGAATCGCTTTCGCCGGTCTTATCGGTTACGCTGCCGCCCTGCCGGCCATGGGCGCCCAGCAAGACTCTGCTCCCAACGGTGTTCAGGCCACCGGAGCTCCCTCCTTCCAGGGTGCTGCCCCCTCCGGCTCCCCTCTTCCCCTTCCCTCGGGTGCTCCTCAGGGCCAGGGCTTCGGAGGCCAGGGCTTCGGCAACTCTAACGGTCAGGGCCAGGCTCCCACCGTGAGCTTGAGCGATGCTCCTCAGCCTCCTCCCACTGGCTCCGCTGCCCCTGCTCCTTCTGGAGCTCCTCGTGGCCACAAGAGGCGTCAGCTCGAGATCCCGGCTTCCGTCTCCAACGTCCCCGCCCCGACCGGCTCCGCTGCTGCTGGAGGTGACTTCGGTGGTGCTCCTTCGGGTCCCGCTCCCTCTGGTGCCGCTCCCTCTGGCGTCGCTGGTGGTGACGGCCCCTCTCCTTCTGGTTCTTTCGGTGGCCAGGGCGGCCAGTCTGGCTCTTTCGGCGGCAACGGCGCCGCTCCCTCTGGCATTGCTGGCGGCAATGGCCCCTCTCCTTCCGGCTCTTTCGGTGGTGCCGCTCCCTCCGGTGTTGCTGGTAGCAATGGCCCCTCTCCCTCCGGCTCTTTTGGCGGCCAGCAGGGTCAGCAGGGCCAGAGCGGCTTCGGCGGCCAGGACTCCCAGTCCCAGGGCCAGTCCCAGGACTCCAAGTCTCAGAGCTCTAAGTCCCAGAACTCCAGGTCTGAGGGCTCTCAGTCTCAGGACTCCCAGTCCCAGGGCTTCCAGTCCCAGGGATCTGACTCTGAGGGATCTCAGGGCTCTTTCGAGCAGGGCTCCTCCTCTGAGCAGGGCTCTGGCTCTAGCTCTTTCGGTGGTAACGGTGCTGCTCCCTCCGGTGTTGCTGGTGGCAACGGCCCCTCTCCTTCCGGCTCTTTCGGCGGCGCTGCTCCCTCTGGCGTCGCTGGCGGCAACGGCCCCTCTCCTTCCGGCTCTTTCGGCGGTGCTGCTCCCTCCGGTGTTGCTGGCGGCAACGGTCCCTCTCCCTCTGGCTCCTTCGGCGGTAACGGCGCTGCTCCCTCTGGCGTCGCTGGTGGAAACGGCCCCTCTCCTTCCGGCTCCTTCGGTGGTAACGGTGCTGCTCCTTCTGGTGCTGCCGGTGGTGCTCCCGCTGCCTCGGGCGCCCCCGCCGCCGCTCCCTCGGGTGCTTCTTACTAAGTCCATGCGAAAGTCTTGGACTTCGATCGACAATAAACACCTTCCATATCATCTGACGCTGATGCAATAGTTCCACCGAGGACATCGACAATGCCATTGTGTCGGCGTGGACCGGAACAACAACAACTGGATGAAGGTGTGATGGATTGGACGCTTGTGTACATTAATCACTCAATAACCAGTCATTCCTTTGACCAGATCTGGTAGAAAGACAGAATTCGGCTGAAACCTTCTCTGAATGTAGTCCATCGCGTAGCACTATTATGTCTCACTTGCTCTACTATCATCGCTAATTCTTGGGATTGATCGTCTCACTTCCCCATGGAATATATACTACCTGGCTCATTTGATGAGCCCCACTCCTGTTCTTGATATATACCATGTAACTTCCAAATTCTGACGGCGTAAATTCTCCTAGACTATTTGAAGTAAAATAATAGCCATATGCTCACAAATCCAGGCAACGATATCAGATCATGGCAATAGCATCATTCAGGCTGATGTATTACGCCAATTAGTAGTAGTAGTAGTAGTAGTAGTAGTAGTAGTAGTAGTAGTAGTAGTAGTAGTAGTAGTAGTAGTAGTAGTAGCAGTAGTAGTAGTAGTAGTAGTAGTAGTAGTAGCAGCAGCACGCATCTTCAATATCAAAATAAATAAGCTCATTCTTTTTGGTGTCCACTATAAAGCGGTAGTACTGTATCGAACCTCCAACACAGATCTATAGCACGACCTCCCCGCCACTGAAAATATATACATGACACACCAGTCATGACCCCAAGTAAAATACTACTGCTAGTAGTAGTACTAAATCTTCCTTACCTGCCCCCCATCTACTCCTTCCACACGCCCATCATGACTACTAGTATCCCCCTTAGACCCCAAATCACTCTCACTCCTCCCAACTTCCACCCCCTCATCCTGAACCACTTTTGGCCTGCACGGAAAACAATCAATCAGCTCAATCCCCCCAGCAAACAGAATACCAACATACCTTTTCTCCCCCTCCCAAATCTGCAACCTCCACGTCGCCACCGTCGAAATAATCAAAATCACGGACATAATCGTCACCGTAATAAACCCCTTCCGGTACTGCGGTGCATCCACCTGCTGCCACACCACCAGCGGCAACCAGGCTTGAAACACATACGCCATTTCGTTCATGCTGCCGACGACTAGCGCGCGCTCTTCGTTGTCGTCGGTGCAGATCTCGTGGGCCCATCTTTACATTTTATTAGGTTAGTTTGGGGGATAGAGGGATGAACGGGGGGGAGGGGGTGGCGTACGCCATGCATAGTCCGCTCAGGCCGTAGCCTGCGCCAGCGAGGATGTAGCAGGTCCATTTCCAGCCTGTAGGGATGTTCCAGATTGCGAGGGAGACGTAGCAGATTATGTTTATGCACTGGATTTTGGTGAGTTAGTGGTGAGTGGGGTGTGAGGGGGAAGGGTGGGCGTGGGCGTACCGCTCCGATGATGATGCAGGGCCAGCGGCGGCCTTGGAGGATTGTGTCGGAAGTCCCTGGTCAGATATTTAGTATGGTGGTGCTTGGGGTGGGGCAAGGGTGCATACATGCGTAGATGAGGGTTGTGACGACCTGCACCGCGTTTGTGGTGGTCGGGTAGGCGTTGATTTGGCCAACGGAGTATTTGGGGTTGGTGGAGTCTTTGAGGTATCTGTGAAGATAGATTTAGTTGTAGGTCGGTGTGTCTTGAGGTGTGGAACGTACTGTTGAAAGACAGGTTGACTGCCTGCTGCCCCGTTGTTAAATGTGCTAGGCGTTGGTTAGCTTGGCATGTTCATTGACGGAGACGGGGTTGCGAACACACATGTATACGATTGTGAGCAAGTAGATGCGCCAAGAAGAGAAGATCTTCTTCAGTTTCGACTTGGTATATGGCTCTCTGTTCTTCCGTCCTTCAAATTGCATCCGTTTCTGCGCCAGCTTTACTTCCTGCTCGCTCAGGTAAAACGGACTCGAGATTTCAGGAACATCCGGCAAAATGAAGAAGCCGCTAAGAGCCACTGGAATTGATATAATTCCATCGATCATGAAGAGCCTATTTTGTTAGTTGCTTGAAACTCGTGGATTGATCGGAACATACCATTGCCAGCCCTTCAATCCTCCCCGTCCTCCAAGATGATACACTGCGTCCATCAGGTACCCAGAGAACATACTCGCAATGCCACTGCTGGTGTGAAAGATACATGATCGCTTTGCGAGTTCATCTTTTCGATACCACGATCCGATGATGTACTGCATTCCGGGGTAGAAACTACTCTCGGCAAGGCCTGGTTGCGTTAGTTAAAGATAGAATGGGGAGGGAGGTCTCATACCGATGAAAAAGCGCAGGACATAAAAGTGCGTCGCATTGGTACTCCGCGACAAGGCGAACGTAAGGACTGTCCATAGCAACTAGACATGATCAGCTTGGATTTCTTATGTCAATGGGCCAAGCACACCTCCATGGCCGGAATCCAGTATCTGGGCCGTATGCGTGTCAGAAGCATGTTACTTGGGATTTCACCAATCACATAGCCCACTGTCCAGCACGCCTGCATGTAGTTGAGCTGGTTGCCGTATAAGCCAAGGTCTTCCTTCCTGTAGCTTGTCAATGAGAGTTGAGTATGGTTGAGTTGTGGGACACGAACATTCCAGAAACGAAGGCATTGTTTATGTTGACTTGGTCAAGATACTTGATAAAGTAGCCTTTTTTATTTTCAATATTAGCAGAATGTTTGGAGGTAGCTGGAGCAATGGAGCTGTCGCCTACCTAGCGATGCGAACGTCAGGATAGCTGTGTCCAGCTTGAAGAGCAGTCTACGCTCCTCGGGAGACTTGTCGAATGTATCCCAGATGTAGCTAACCCATCTCCGCTTGGGTTTTAGTTGGACAATTCCACTGGATGTGTCAACTGCTCTTTCTTCAACCGTAGTTGGCGATGGAGCCATGGTTACTCCGGTCTTGATTTAGATTCACGAAGACCGGAAGAGTAGGCGGAGGCAGAGCAGGACAGAGAGAGTACAGTAAATTTTTGACAGTCCGCTGCATTGCATATAGATTCACATGATAGCCGCACATATTTATCCCTGTTTCAAGCTTGGTAGCAAGGCTTGATGCAGATGGTTTGGACGCCATATCTGATGGGCGGAGGACCATCCAGACCAATGCATCATCATCCACCGCATTCACGCAATATCTGCGGGGTTGATCCTGTCAGATGCAATGATGAGAAGGAAAGATAACGATCGTGTCTGCCGGTGTGCGGGGGTATTGAATCATGTCGGGTCCGCGAAGGATGAGTGGTTGCTCATGCACGCTCCGGAGCTCGTCATCCAGATCTCGGATGATGTGCCCTGTGCATGGACGTGCGATGCCGGCCGGCTATTATAACTAATGCCCTGATGACGGTGCCGATCTCGCCTGATAAACTTGTATTTGGTGCTCTAATGTGATAGCAATGTCTGTGTCTAATTGTGCCATCTACACTAAAATGCGAACTGGTCTATAGCTTGTCTAGCTGCATACCTCCAACACCGGAAGCTCCCCGATGCCGCTGTCTCGTCTCCGGCCAGTCCCCAGTAGCACCTTGACTCTCTCCCTCTGCTCGGCTTTCGCCAGATGCCAACTGTCTGAGTGGGCTTCGATCGCGGAGAGACCATGCTTAGCTCTGTATCCATTGATCCACTCCAACAGGTCAATCACGTAAAATTCTTCAATATCCTTCAGAGAGTGGAAGCGCTTGCCACTGCCCTTCTCTTCGATTTTACGGGTGTATTCGTCTTTCATTGCACTCTCCGCTGGTAGCTCCGCAATCCCGGCGAAAACGTTCGCTACAGCTATTGCTTGAAATTCAAACAGCGTAAACGTCGCTGTGTAGTATGGGACTCCCACAAATGCCAGGGTTGGATCCGGGATGTAGAAGATGTCTTTGTGCAAGTTATGCACCTGCGTCCCGTCAGTCACTAAGACTGTATCACTTGCTCGCTCCGCTGGTGTTGTATCGTCGTGATATTCCGGCAGAAAAGGCAGCGTGATATGGTATCCGGTACAGATAATGATCGCATCAATTCCACAAAGCGTCTGCCCTGACTTCAGGTGTACCTTGATCGGCAAAGCCTCATCATCTGTAGCAGCCTTTGCCTCGATTTCGAATCGTTCTATCTCACTGATTCTTGTACCATTCTCCGGAAGGACACTGGCAGAGATATCGAATTCACCGTTCCGCGTGCTTTGGTAGACGTTCTTGGCCAAGGGACCGATTTCTCGAGCAAGATCCGTTGAGGATACCCCGCCTCCAATGAGCAAGACGTTCTGAACATTGTTATTATTTCCTCAGGTCCTGGGTATTGAGGACAAGATAAGTTTCGTACCTTGCCAGCGTAAGGGTTCGGGCTTCTGTACCCTTTCGAGTGAGTTATGCGCGACGGCCACTGTGCTTTCGCTTTGGACAGCCCAGGTGTATCTGGAACCCGAGGCGCATGATAGTGGCCTGAAGCGACTATTACCGCATCGAATTTCTATTCACACAAGAGTCAGTAGTGTCTTCATCCTGAAGTAATTTGCCTTACAGCAGTTTCCTCCTGTTCCTCAAGCGTTCCCGATTGTGTGGTTTCCTTTAAGGTCGTCCACGTAACGTCCCACTTGCGATCAACCTTGCGCAACCTGGTCACTCGAGCTCCGTATATTGTAACGCTTTCGGCACCTGCTTTCTTCGACGTATCCTGGATGTACTCCTTCATTACCGTATGGCTGACAAACTCCGGTGTTCCTTTCGGCCAGGCATTGAGTTTGACCCGCATCAGCGATGTGGCCACATTGTTTTTGAGTCCATCATAGCATGGTCTAATATTGTAAGCAGTCGTGCGGAGAAACAGATAAAGATACGCACCCTGGTGGAGCGTGCTCCAATGATAATGCATCAGCATGTCTACGGTCCTCCTCTCGATGTCTCTCTGAGATGGATGGCTTTATGGCCGGGTAATTAGGTTCGAGTGGTTTTCTTTCATCGTGAAGCCTGGGTCGGTCGTTAGATCCCGGATGCTCGACAAAACCACAGCACAAGGAGGGATTACCAAACGCCACCTGCTGCATGATTCCGTTCAAAGACAGTGACGTCGATCCCGTGCGCAAGAAGGTGGGCCGCGGAGACAACACCACTAATGCCAGCACCGATCACGGCCACTTGCTGGATTTCACAAGTCATGATGGTTGTTGGTTATACCGTCCCACTCAAAGCACAATGGTAAAGCATAAGAGACATCTAGTGAGATCGAGCCGTCTGATATGTCCCTAATGGATTGCGAAGAAACATGGCGCCAGATGATATCGTTATGTTAGTCAAGTGTGGTGTAATAGCAACGCTACTAGGCGAGGACCAGCCTGCAGCCTGTCATATCTGAGACAGCACGAAACGAGCCACTAGCGATAACTCAGTTCCAAAGCGGACCACCAAGCGAGGAGGAACCTGCAGTGTGTGGTCCTTCTGTTGCTTATCAATAGTCATGAAGAGGGGATGAGGCCATCGGATCCCTGAATGATGCTCTCCGGAGACCCCGTTAATGGATGGCCAGGCTTGTCCACTGGGGTAAACGGAGATAAGAAGTCATCGACGGGGAGCATACTCAGCAGAAAAGAGGGGTTCAGGCGAGGAGATGCCGCGACAGCCGTTTAATCTGCCATTCTCTGGGTGGTGGGATGCAGAAGGCGCAATGATGGATGGTGATGATGTGATCGGATCCCGTACCACGACAATGATGGTGAGGGGAAATAATCTTGGTACGCGATGAACTCCGCATAGAAATATCTCGCTTGAGCGCTGTAGAACCAGATAAGACAGATTCTATAGTCAGAATTCATAGCTCAATTGATCATCATGGTTCCAGCTCCTATTGACCCCAGAATAGTTGATGTTGCGGAACCTTTGAAGCAAACGCTTCCCCTTCCACCAGCATCCCGAAAGCGCCTCGAGAAGGCGGGAGTAGACCTGTCTGAGGGATACCCTTACAGGCCGTCTCGTCCTTTGTATCTAGACGACGTCTACAAGATCCGCGATTATGACCGGCCCCATGTGGATCCAGGCACCCGTGCGGACCCAGAAAAGAAAGCGCTATTGTCGGCAGCAAAAGAGGTCATCCATCTGACCAGACACATTGGCACGGAAATCGTGGGACTGCAATTGAAAGACCTAACGGACCAGCAGAAGGATGAGCTGGGCTTGCTGATCGCTGAACGTAGTGTTGTCTTCTTCAGAGACCAGGACATCTCTCCCCAGCAGCAGAAGGAGCTTGGCGAATGGTTTGGCGAGGTCGAGGTCCATGTAAGCCCACTATGCCTCTCCATGTCAGTAACTAGCAGACTCGCTGACTGATGGTCTCGTCCTTGTCCAGCCACAAGTTCCCCAAGTGCCTGGCGTCGCGGGGGTGACGGTCATTTGGCCAGCTCTGCAGGCAACGGAGTCTCCTGCCAACTTCCGCCGCCCTGGAGGAGCCTCACGTTGGCACACTGATCTTGTACACGAACGTCAACCTGCAGGTGTTACCCATTTACATAATGACACCATCCCCAGCATTGGCGGAGACACGCTCTGGGCCAGTGGCTATGCGGCTTATGAGAAGCTGTCGCCTGCTTTTCGTAAGATAATCGATGGTAAAACTGCCATCTACCGATCCGCCCACCCGTACCTTGATCGCAACCACCCCGAAGAAGGCCCAAAGTACGTCGAACGTGAGCATCCCCTTGTTCGCGTTCACCCTGCCACGGGTTGGAAAGCGCTGTGGGTGAACCGAGCCATGACCGACCGCATTGTTGGTCTCGACAAGGCGGAGAGTGATGTTATCCTGGGGTATTTGTGCGACGTATATGAAAAGAACATTGACATCCAGGTTCGCTTCAAATGGAGTCCTGGAACAAGCGCGCTATGGGATAACCGGTCAGTTACTTTGCAACTAATAAGGCCTTGAATGCATCTGACGTATGGCAGTATTACCATCCACAACGCCAGCTGGGACTATGAAGGTTCCGAGCCTAGACATGGTACCAGAGTGACAGCCCTTGCGGAGAAGCCATTCTTTGATCCCAATGCTCCGACTCGAAGGGAAGCTCTGGGACTGCTTGATCGTGCTGAGAAGGAGGAATTGGCTCGCGCGAACTGAGATTTGCAATAGCAACTGTCGACCATAATCAAATATGTGGCTTTGGGCAATTGGACGCGAAACTGTTTGCTACGTTTGTGATCCACCGCGTGACCTCGACTCACATGATAGCATTTACCAGTCGTAATAGTATTTACGAAGTCAAAATATCTGTCACATCAAATGGTGTATTAAGCCTCATTGCAATCTTCAAGTGTGCTTCGGTTCCAGCCAACAGATTTTCTAGAAGTTTATGAGTTGGGCGCAATACATACTCTAGATTGCCGTCATCATAGATTGATTGTTGGCGAACTCTGCAAAGTGCTACTTTAAAGTGGGCAACTGTTGCTCGCAGTGGAGTGAAGCCCCAGCTTTTGACTTTTACGAGATAGACCTGTCTACTACGAATCGCCTAAAGGTGACATAAAGGAGCTCAGCGGTGAACACCTGACTTACTGTGTATGCCAACACTCCTGCGCCCAACTTCAATCGGTCGCGCGCTGCGTTATTGATGGCTCCGTGATGTAGGTAACCGATTCCTATTGTCGGGGGCTAGTTCGTGCCATTGTCCAGTAGTCCGAGCTATTTATAGTCGCAAATCATAATTTTGTGTAGTGGATCTCACTTCCGTTGGAGAATATACATCCAGTGGAAAACCTCAGGCGCGTAAGCAAATGACGAAGTCTCTCCTTGGGGTGCTTTGAAAGGTGTCCGGGAAACAACAGTCCAGTGTTGGGCCATATGAGACAGGTTATCGAAGCGCATGGTCGAGTAGGAAAGAGTGACCCAGAGGGCCCCTTTCTGCACCAAGGGTGCCAAGTGTAGCGCCAATAGCTCTACAGGCGACAACTCTATCGCCCCATGTTTATCCACAATCTCTTGTACCATCGGGCATGTACTCGATGCGTCGGCGGGCGAAGGGAAGGTAACGGGCGTTGATGTTGCAATCGCATCGCTTGTGCTTTTGTCCAGAACCACATCGAAGGGCGAGAAAGAAGCTAATCTAGAGACATCAGCCCAGGACCGCAAGTTAGCTTGCACCCAGCCCATCGCATGTGATGGATCCCTATTGCTCTCGGTCTCTTGTCCAAGGCGAACGGCTTCGGCGGAAAAGTCAACGTTCTGTCGAGAAGATGAGTAAGTATTGTCCCAATGGCTCTACTGCGCCATCACGTCAAGCACATACCACGATTCCATTTCCGGCCCAATTGCGCTTCATGAATTCATCGCAAAGTTTAATTCCTAGCTTCGAGATGCCTGGCCCCAGATGGAGCACTCTGGGGTTCGTGGCCGAGCGGCTCTCCAGGTGAGAAACTACCGCATCGATGAGCATTTCTCCCGAATTCAGCCACTCCCCGACATCCCGACCAGTGGCAAACTTCGTATCCCAGAAGGTTGGGTCATCATAGTCGGGGGTGCCTGCTATTTTTGTGTGAGTTCTCACATTTGGCGGGGCAGCCATGATGTGCGAGAAGGGAAGATTGACGGTCGGCCAAACTTTGTTTCAAAACGCGGATTGCGGTCACGTGAAGGCTATCTTATCGGCGGTTTGGCGGAGGCCCACCAGGCCAGTGATGGACTTGATATTCGAACATTGAGCATTGAAGATGCCTAATGGGCGTTGGTTTGTGCCTTCTCACAGACCACACTGTACTATATGCAGCAATTACGATAGATGCAAGGAACCATTGTTTTACACCCAGAAAGGATGGTAGATATTGAAGTGGACCCCTGTATTTGCAGCTAATCCAGATTTCTGAGTTTACTTCGTCCCATTACTGATATTCGAGTGCATGGCTTCGATCACTGTCAATATGAGGCTGCTTAAACTCTCCTTTGTGACTTACCTCGTCGTTGCTTGTCTGCTGGTCGCACGCAAGCGTACTCACAATACTGCAAAGTGTGGTCCAGTCGCTCATTCAACATGAATACATCCATACACTTCTATCGCATATACATTATATGTCTTGCACACGATCAAAATACTGTATTGATGTGCGAGAGCTTAGAACTGCCAGACGACATCTATGGAAAGTGAAAGAAACTATAGCTTGCCCCCTTAATTCGTAGGTCCAAGTCTCCTCAACATTTTGCGGCGCTTAGAAATGCCGCCACATGGATAAGCCTTTTTTGTGGGAGTGAATTCCAGCCGCTTACTTCCTTTCTGATGAATCCGAGGAGGTAATTCTAGCTGAGAGCCGTTTGCTAAGTAACATACAGCCAAATGACAGCATAAATTACACACGGGAATCCGATTCCCATCCTTGCATGACTGAAGACGTCAGCGTGCAATGGGATTGCAATTGCGGGGAAGGAGCTGAAATGGAGTAATTACACCACTTGCATGTTGTTAATTCCGCCGACGCAGTTGCCATACATGGTCCCATTCAAAGTGATCGTCGTGCGCTTTGTACATCTACACAATAGGAAAGGGTCTACACTGGGAGCTTCCCTCATCAGGCCATCTGCACGCGCGGAGGTCGTCAATTTGTCTACATTTATCGCGGAAGAACATACCCTACCGTAGGCCAGATGCAAGCATTGCTGCCATGGCATGGTCAAACTTACGGCCTGACTCTGTTCATGGTACTCAACGGCTCTCATGAAACCGGCAAGTGAATCTACCGATGTCTACAGAATCAACTTGTCGGTGTCATATATTAAACTCAATCAGACGATTATGGTTTCTTTCGTCAGTGCCAGTCAGCAACCATAAAGTCCCTAACTTGGTATAGACTGATCTGTAGAGCTACAAGACTGTTCTTCACGGTACTTCTTGCTTGGGCTGCAGCAGCGAGGCCCTAAATTACTGACAACGCCACCCTCATCCCAGCCCATATGGAGAATATCCTATCACGACGAAGAGCGCCCAGTCTGCGGTAGATGTACCTGTGATGTACTCGATCGCTTGGTCGGTATTGCATGCCGTACTTGGTGATAGCTCACGCCCGTTCCAGGGGCGAGAGAGCGCCAACACCGGGCAGGCCCAACGATGAGCTCCAATCACCACCCTCCAGAATGTAACCTACGAGACACGGATCAACAAAGACAGGGATGACGAGAGGTCGAGCCAGCTGTTACTGTGTTGCAGCTTCTCATCTGGTGACTACCCCGCATCCGGGTTACGAGGAAGAGCATATAAACCTTGTGTCACCCGGCCAGACAATGGAGGGTGATACCTTCAAACTCGCCTGTGTTCTCATCAATATCAGGATCAAGATCTTGTTCTCTCATTGTCTCTTGCTGTAACTACTTTTCCACTCAAGACACTACAAGCATATCAACTATTCAAGATGTCGACCCCTGCTATCCAAGGTCTCTCGTCTGTGGGCTCGTCTGTCGGTGCTTACTCCAGACAGCAGCTGGCCACTTTGAGAAACAGATTCTTGACTACAGGTAGGTCTTCCATCATTGCAGATGGAGTATGGTAAGAAGAAAAGCATCCTAATAGCCCATTTAGAGAAGCGCAGGAGGAGGGCACAGCTCATCTCGACCTCGTTTAGCGTTCACAAGCCGGTCTGGATTGCTGCAGGGGGCGCAGCCTACACGACGATGGGCGCGGTTTATCTGACGCTACGCTACATGCGTCGCTTGAAATAAATCCCCCCCTCTCCGTGAGCGAGCGAGTCTGGCTACCGCAAGCTATGCAACTGGAATAGAGGAGGGGGATTTGTCTGAGACAGCGATCTACATCCTCATTATTATTACCGACCATTCATTTCACATCATTTTCTTTATCTATTTTTTGGGGGGGATCACCCTCTGGGGTCAGGTACTTTGGACGGACGGGATGGGATATGCAACAAGGAGGGATCATGACATGACGGAGTTTTACGCGTTTTGGGTTGCACTGGGCCAATATCATCATGTATTTAACAAACACACAAACATACACACACCAAGGAATGACCATAAATACAAGAACAAATACAACAGCTTGATGCATTATTAGTGAGGGGCAGACATTCTAATCCCTGTCGTGTCTTTTCATTAGTCTACCTGGTCAGGGGTGGCACTCGTGTGATCATCCACCCTCTCTCTCTCTCTCTCTCTCTCTCTCTCTCTCTGTGTGTGTGTCCTTTGGCTGGCTGCCTGCCGTGTGTATCAATACCAGCTGCACAATAATGCAGCACACGCGACAGGGATTTGCCGTAAATAGGTAGTAGTCAGTAACCAGCGCAGTCAGTCCATTAGTACAGTAAGTAATCTACCTCAAACCCATTGGATCACACCACGCTGCGTCAGCGGCTGCCCTCAAGCCATACCATACCACAGTACTACCTATGAAGTACATTCATTCTGTCGGCGTGGTCTGATCACATTCATCTACTCACTTATCCCCTACTTTACGATGTTGAGTCTTTTCATCGCGAATATTTACCTAGCTACCCTCTTATCAACGATAACCACTAGTATGTCCATACTACAAACCCCACAACAGGAGCTTAAGCACCCACTACGGACCTTCATGGGTACCTAGTAGCAGTACCCGTCATGGCAAAAGTGGGCCATAACAACTACCCCAGATTCTCAACCACCGTTTTTAAGTTTCCTTTCGTCGCCATCCTCCGACCCATCCGGTCAAGTTAACTACAGTACTAGTCGGTTACTAGGGATGACATCCGTGAGGACGACACAGTGTCATGGAGGGGTTGATCATCCTATCATTGGATGGTAAAGCAGCGGTGGCTTTGTCTAGCGATGCAGTAAAGTTCGCCTACCCCGCCCGGCGTGACCAGTCAGAATGTTTGGAATGGCTGTGAAGGTGTCGTTGCATGATCAACCCCCGGATCCTTGGCACCCCCGCACCATCCTTTCAACTCACTGGAATGTTGGTTGAATGCTGAGTGAGCTGAGCTGAGCTGGACTAGACTGCACTGGACTGTTGCCTTGAGTGCTGCTTGGGTGGGTGGCCATGTCAGTCGGTACTGCAGAGGTACTTCGTGGGTACTTCAGGTGGAGTTCGGCTAGGGGGAGGGGCCGGTATCTACCTAATTTCGATGCATGTTTGCCACGGCCTGTTCAACTGCTGGGGTCTGGATTTAGTGGATGATGTTGTCGGCTACGCTTTGGTGTATATATCTGCTTAGTGCTGATCATTTGTTCTGTAGACTACCAGGTCGTGGCGGTTGCTGGGGCCGTAACTGCCCATAGATAATGAAAATATCATGGGAGAAGCCAATAAAAGGTAGTAGTAGATAACTGACCCGAACAGTTGCAACCCCCGACCGATGGACACTCTTGTGTCTAACAAGTTTCACAGGCGTCATGAGCACGCGTGGAAGTCTATAGATATGTAAGTCCTTATGTAAACATTTAGTAGCTGTAATCACAACAACAAGGCCTGCTGGCCCAATGGTAAGGCGCTTGACTACGGATCAAGAGATTGCAGGTTCGAGTCCTGCGTAGGTCATTCTTTTTGCTCTTTTTCCTTTTTTCCCTTCCCGCTTCTCATCGATCGGGGGCTCCGCTCAACAAGCAGCCATAGACGCGGTCGCATCTCTGCTTCATCAAGATTATTACATTGATTTGTTGATGATTTGCCTGCTTTTGTCTGAATACTCACCTATTTCAGGATAAACCGCTGATGAATGGGTAATGACCCAGTCTGGAGAATGCTCGTCTCGATTAAAACAACCACGGTCCTGTCACCATCGGACTACGTATCTCGACTACCTATTACCATTAAGTAGACTTCCCTCCACAGCCAATGTGGCTTGAATGTTCATCGCGATTATCCACCCTTGCAGTAATCTCGGCCGAGCTCCTTGTCCGATACGCTTTAGCTCCGTGGGAGCTTGCTTGCCTTCTATCGTACACATTGGAACAACAAAATCAGTCCACAATATAATTGCAGAGAAGATCTTAGCAGCATGGCTAGGAAACCCCTCACCAATGTCAATGTTGCAACCATGAAACAGCCAGCCAATGATGACCCTATTCAGACACCAGAGAACTTGGTCGAGTCGAGTGCGTTTTTGAACAATCATTGTCTGGATTAATCAATATCTATAGCTACATATGGCCGAACAGGAAGAAGATATTGAGAAATCTATATGTCGAATGAATTCATAGACATCAGAAGTATGATAGTCCGTCAAATCCAGGAAGTTCCCAGGATTAAATGCTGGTAAGCGCTACTGATGAAGCATTTGGCACGTCTCAACACTGGCTCGGATGCAAATGATCTGCAATAGAATCAGATAATCCAGAATGCCCTCAACTGACCTTTTGTCATGGCGGCCCTAATAAGTAGAGACTCACCCTCGCTTGGGATTGTCAGTGACTAGAACAATGTGTACACCCGTTCTGTATTGCTATCTGTCCCGGTATCCGGCTTTGCATTCGATCTACACAGCAAAAATCTAAGCAGGATGTTTTTGAACGGCTTACTACGCGGCGCACCGTCTAGATCATTGGGGATAGTATGCCTGCGTCTGTAATGCTGAGGGAAGTACGGGTGGGATTGACGGAGGTGAGATGAAAGACAATGGAAGGTATCCGAGCTAGCTGGGATAAGACATAAAACTGCACTCAGACACAAGAGGTACATCTTAAGCCCGAGCACATGGATCTCCACACTCCACTCAAGGGAACAAGTCGGGGTAAACATCCCTCCTCAATCCTCAGGATCATCGTCTAGGAAACAAGTCCGAGTTGAATCGGAGAATTATCCGCAGACTACATCTTCATAAATATACTATACTATCCTTCATAGTAAACCTCCACAATCCCATTCCTACTCTCAGCCTTTGCCTACAACAGCATCATCACTACTAACTACTTACTACCAAGCAAACAACATGACCAAACCCATAATCCTCCACCTCGGCGACCCCATCGCCTACAACCACGACCTCTACAACGACCCCCTCTCCACCCGCTTCACCATCATCCGCGACACCTCCCCAACCCGCGAAGCCTTCATCGAGGCGCTGAAAACCAACAAGTAAGACCTCTTCCTCTTTTATTCATCTCCACACCCACACTAAGAAATAACCCAGATACGGCCCCTTCGTCGCCATCTTCCGCCCACACTTCTCCTCCGGCACGACCATGTCCCCCTGGGACGCCGACCTGGTCTCCCTCCTTCCTCCCAGCGTCAAAATCTTCGCCTCAGCGGGAGCAGGCTACAACGACATCTCCGTCCCCTCGCTCACCGCGCGCGGAATATACTACACCAACGGGGCGGGCGCCTCCGACGAAGCCGTCGCCGACACAACACTATACATGATCCTGAGCGTGTTTAGAAACTTCACTGCATCGCAGATCGCGGCGCGGTCGGGCGATACGGAGAGGTTTCTAGAATGTCATCGGAATCTGGCGGGCGTGTCGACGAATCCGAGGGGGAAGGTTCTGGGATTGATTGGACTGGGGAGGATTGGGAGTGAGGTGGTGAGGAAGGTGAGGGGTGGGTTAGGGATGGAGGTTGTTTATTATGATGCGGTACGGTTGAGTGAGGAGAGGGAGAGGGAGTTGGGGGTGAGATGGGGCGGGGGGATTAGGGGGGTGTTGGAGGGGGCGGATTGTGTGTCGGTGCATTGTCCGTTGACTGAGGGGACCAGGGGGTTGATCGATAAGGAGAAGATTGGGTGGATGAGGGATGGGGTGAGGGTTGTTAATGTGGCCAGGGGGGGTGTGGTGGTTGAGGAGGATTTGGTGCAGGGGTTGAGGAGTGGGAAGGTGGCTGCTGCGGCGTTGGATGTTCATGAGTTTGAGCCCGTTGTGGATGGTAGACTGAGGGAGATGGAGAATGTTACGCTTACGACGCATGTTGGGGGTGGGGCGGTTGAGACGAGGATTGGGTTTGAGAGGTTGGCGATGGAGAATATTTTGAGGGTAGTCGGGGATGATGGGGAGGTTGTCGGGGAGCCGGTCACGGCTGTTAATGGGAGGGAGGTGAGGGAGGTGTGGGAGAGGATGGGCAAGGGGGAGTGAGTGATATTGTGGGAGGATGGATATGGATTGAATAGAATAGTATATGATGAGTGGTGTAGCTGCTAGTTCAGATAGCTCCCCCCTGTCTCCTCGTGGATCAAATCGAACATCGGCTTCGCGCTGAAATACCCTGCCCTGGGTGTGCCCACCGACTTGTATGTGAATGCTGCATCTGCCTCGTCTACCTTGACGGTCTGTCCGCCCCGGCCTGCGGCTGCGGCGTCGGCCATCAGCTGCACGTAGCAGCATTTCTCCAGACTGACGAACCAGAACACCGTCTCCTCGATGGTTTGTCCTACGGTTAGGAGTCCGTGGTTCTGCAGCAGTGCGGCTTTCTTGTTGCCGAGGGCTTGAGCAATGCTCTTCCCTTCTTCTTCGGCCAGCACGATGCCGTTGAACTGGTTGTACAAGACGATATCCTGCGCTAGTTAGTCGAGAGTTCCATTGCTGGAGGGAGGCACTGACATTGTAGAATGCGCACGCATCCTGCGTGATGATATCCAGCGGCCGTCCGAGGGTACAAAAAGCCCGTCCGTGAATGCTGTGGCTGTGAGCAGCGCAGAGCACGTCCGGACGAGCAGCATGGATGGCCGAGTGAATCATAAAGGCAGCAGCATTGAGCAGCCGGACGGGTCCGCCGCCAATGATTTCCCCGGCATGGCTCACATGGATCAAGTCGGATGACTTAATCTGCGAGAATGCTACGCCAAAGGGGTTCACCCAGAAGGTGGTTGGGTCGACGGGGTCACGGAGAGTAATGTGTCCTGCCACGCCTGCAACAGGAGTTAGTATTATGTGCCAATCGGAAAGTAAGTAGTAGGGATGGTGATGATGGCACACCTTCATCGTACCCATTCTTGCCGAAAATGCGAAACGCCGCTGCCAGTCGACCCTTAAGGTACTCGCGCTCCTTGTACTTGTCTTCGAAGACTGGGGGCTGGGGGAATTTCTGGGGGGTGTTCTTCACTTTGGCGGCTTCGGCAGCCGCTTCTTGGGTGGAATGGGCTTGGACGGGAACGGGAGAGAAGATGGTTGTTTCGGTGGCGGTGGGAGGGGCCATGATGGATGTGGGCATAAGATTGAATCAATTTGGGCGGATGACAATTAATGCAGGGGTCTGATGATGAAGAGGGGAGGAAGAGGATGAGGGGAGGAGATGAAGAGGAGATATGCTTATCTGGCGGGCGCGGGGTTGAACCAAAACAGGGCAATCAAGGTTACCCGACGGATCTGAACCGAGGTTGCACCGCATGGCAATGGGATCTCGACCGAGTTTGCTTCATGGCTACTCCGGAAGTACCTGGATTTGGAAACACCTGGCTTGCGATGGATCTACGAATGTGATCGGTTATACAGCCGGTGGAAATATCTATTCACTACCCTGCTGGAGGATGGTCTACTGGTATATACACTCGGAGCCGGGTGTTGGATAGACAAGTCGCGCGAGAAAACAGACACATTGACACCGTGATGCCAAGTCTACAGTGGTAGCCGGGCTATTGCCACTCGCTGGGCGTCCTCCATCAGTGTCTCATACAGCTTCTGGTCCTCGGCACTCATCCCCCGCTCTTGTGTCGAAGGCGACGCTCCCAGTATGGGCTTATCATCTGCCTTGCATACTACACCAGGAGGCGGAAGCTCGCCGGTCTGAAAATATTGTCGGATCTTCTTATGAACACACACGGACGGTGCCGCCAATGTTGAGTGCTAGAAAGTCAGATCGCCTGATCACGCTCAACATGTGAGGTGACTTACGCCTTCGGAATCCTGCTTCAGAAGCACCGAGCCGGGGAAGTTTTCGGACATCTTGCGCGCACTGCAAAAGATTAGCCCTGATGACAGGTTGCTGAGAAAGTATGAAAACTACCTGCGCAGAGGCGTCACGGGGTCGAGCGTATTGCTCACAAACAGCAGTGGATGGGAGGTGTTGGCTGCAAATGGCCCTGGAAAAAAATCAGCAATGAACAATCCAGATCAATGAGACACTACCTGTAAGCTTCCACTTCGGCTTGAGCTTCCACCCTACGCAGCTCATCAGAAGACTGGCCCAGTAATCCCCAAGCATGGCACTATCTTCCTGCAACGACGCCCAGGAGCGCTTGAACTCTTCTTCGTCGGCATCCTGCAAATACTCCGCATCGGCACAAAGAATGGCTGTGCTCGAATACGCCTCATTGTGCCCCGACACTTGACACTCAGCAGACCACGGCCCAGCTTGAAGGCATTGATCGGAAGGGCATGATGGGGAGCGGCCCCCAACTTTGAAGTCGGCAAGGGCGGCACCACTGCCCTGAGATAATCCGGTCGCTATTTCTGCCAGCTGAGGAAACCCGTAAAGTGGTTGATACAAAGCGATTCGCAAGATGATCTTCAGGTCACTCCATGTCACAACTTCCGGACCTCGTGTGGCTGATGCGGGAACCGGTAATGAGCGATTGTAGAGAGCCTCTTCCAGTGCCAAATACGCTTTCTTGATGGCGGCCGGTCCGCCTTGGACATAGAAGGGGCAGACATCCCCTCCAGCCGCATGACAGTATCGCGTGAATTGGTCGAAAATGGCGTCAGCGTCTTCGACAGCATTGGGCCCTTCCCCGAAGTAGTACTTATCGACATCTACCACAGCATCAAGCACAGCCCGATGGATACGATCGGGAAACATAGTTGCAAACGTGGAACCTAGAACGGTTCCGTACGACCGACCCCAGTACAGGAGCTTCTCCCGTCCCTGCTGCCATCGTGTTCGCGCTACTATACTCTGTCCCGGATCATAGCCATGCATATGGTCCTGTTGGCGTTGCTCCAGCAAACCTTGCTCTGCACGCCATTCACCGTGTCGTTCAACAATCTCTAGCATATCTCTAGCCACAGGGGGCGTGTTGAGATGTTCGCCCAAAGCCTCCTCTCCATCTCTCGGAGGAGTGGACAAATTGGCAGCGCATCCAGTATTGAGGGCAGTCGAGCGAGCCCAGTTATGCCAGAATGCGTTCTCTGCGCTACCGAGTGTGCCTTCGGCTGCCACTTGCAGTTCCCAGTTTCGCTGGGCGAAGAGATGGGGGAAGCAGCTGAACCCTGGAGTCGTGTTGTTGACCCCCCGGGGATCAAATCCGATGACGTCAAAATACTTGTCCCGCGAAGCGCTTTCTGGGTCGACAATACCTGGGTCGTTCTCCGAGTCTATGGTCTTTTGCAGGGCTTTGCCGCTGACAAGCACCTGGGCGACGCCTGAGCCACCCGGGCCACCTGAGACGCAATTAGTAAGGGCAAAATGACATAGACATCATGAAACGTACCTGGGTTTGTCAAAACCGCGCCACCATAGCGGGAATCTGTCACCGGAACCTTGGCTGGAAGACGAGTAATGGCGATCGCGAAGCGCCGTCCTTGACCATCAGATCGGTTGTAGTCCATGGGGACTTCAAGACGGGCGCATTGGAACCCATCGAAGCAGTCATGGTACACAAGTGATTGCGAAGGAGTTATCTTTACCGGTTAGACACCTCTGGCGACAAATGCAAAGTCTCTCACCTGATCCCAGCTAAACTCCGACTGGATGATAATCTCAGTATGCGCTCCAGTATAGAGACGTGACGTCCACCACGCAATACCCGCCAAAGCTACTACAGCGATTCCCATGCCATGGAGTACATTCCGCCATGCTCCATGTTTTGCAGGATGTACGTGAGCCGGAAAGGACCCGTATTCAGAGGATTTTAAGGGTTCCATGTATTCTCAGACTAGACAATCCACAGCATCCACTTTATCAGTGTACGCACGCGAGGGGATAGTCAAGGGCGCCCCACGAGTTAAATGCAGAACAAGCCATGGTCTACCCAAGATACGGGCGGGCTGACAGGTCATTCACCTGGAGCTGAATATGAAGGCCGGCAGTATCTGCATAACCATGACGACGAATTAAGAATAAGAGATTTGCAATGAGCCCGAAGTGGGGGTTGAATAGCCACGGGGCTCAACTCACCAGGATAAGCCGCGCATGCCGAGATTGAGAGGGAAGATCGCGGTCGGAAAAACTAAACACAGGCCAGATGGCGGATCAGCGCTGGTGGCCTGTGATCCCTTGCATTTTCTTGGGCTGTGTTCGGCCTTCCTCTAATTGCCTAGTAGCAAACTCTTCGGGGACTAGCATGGATCAACCGGGAGGTTATTGGCTGGTGCCCTTATCACACTCCGCGTACCCAATGCAAGACCAGCATCCATGATAGAAGTGGCTAAAAGCATCTGGGAACAGTGGGTCTGTCATCGCAGCCAGAGATATAACCCACTTCTTCATATAGCCTTCAAATGTCCCGACAGTCGATAAAGCTGATGTTGGTCCTTGTGCTTTGGCGCTGACCCTTCCGTCAACTAGTATCCCGAACCTTGTATGTGGCCGATCTGCCCGATTCACACAATGAGTATTGATAATGTATTATGTACTACGGTTCGCATGTCCGAAATAATGCCAGTCAAGCCTTTGGGACTCAATAGTCCTCGCTGGAAAAGGTTGATTTCCTTGCCCCATATGGGCTCGTTCGACGGAGGGGTTTCACGGACTCCGTAGTATTCGTTATGTGAAAGGCAGACTGACTGAGTCGAGCAATTTACCGACATCAGTCTTGTATCAAAGCAACTAATGGGCAGAAAGGCCATTCATTCCCCGCTCTGTTGTCCAGAAGTGAGGGACCAAGATGTGTGCCATCTTCTGCTTCACACACTCGCAGCCAAGGGAGCCAGTGTAAGGGGTACCGTGCCGCACCATATGTATTCGCTGTATTTCTGCCTGGTCATTCTTTTGTATCGTCGGAAATTGGCAGAGTATGTGGCCTGGTCATGACAAATGCCAAAGAGCGTTTGGTCTGCCTGTTCCTTTCGGGATGAACGGCGGAGTGTACGCTGAAGCTAAAATCTCAAGTTAGCGCTTGACGCTCACTAGCAGGGGAGCCAGTTCCTTTCCTAGCGTTCCCTCTTTTCCGTCAGATAGAACTAAAGTCCTAGGGATTGTGTCAATCATTCAAGAAGAGACAAAGTTAAGCGCATATGGTAATGCTTGCCAAACAGGGCACGAGCTTGAATAAGCTAGAGCCAAAGCTTAGGCAGATTCGCGCCTAATGTGGTTCAGCGTAGTTTCTGGTGCTGTCAAGGGTCGAAGCAGGAGACAAGTAAATGCAGCTGCAGCATCATCCCCATCCCCCAGACTCCTCGAGCCAATGTTGAGACGCGTCCCGCATGCATCACGTGCGGGGAACAGTTCCCCATCCCCATCCCAGTTTCCGGAAAGGGTAAAGTTCCAGCCTCGGTTCTCCGCAGCGCATCTCAACATTCAGGCCCCTCTCCATCGGCCCTGGGCACCAAATGGAGAGACTTACTGACACTGACTCACGATTAATACTCCGATACTCCGGTAATTGCGAGCAATCCAGCACTATCCTGACAGCTGCCTCTTCGCCGATCGACCGAAGTGGACGTGCGTGGCAGAGGATCATTATTGCCATCCCCCGCAGGATCCATTGTGACTAATGCAGCTTCTTATCAATAAGTGCCCACCGATGGTCACATTCTTCGTCCACTGCCGTTGTCGGTGCTGAATCCGACGAAATGTTTGCCCGTTTTCGCGACCAGGTTTGGTCCTATAGTCGTCGATCTTCACCCGGATCGGCACCGTCGGTGGCTCCTCTGCGCCCTTGCTGGCCAAGGCAGGCAAGTTCGCACCGCCGAGGTCATGGATTGGCATTCCTCCCCCCCACCAGCCCATAAGTCACGTTAGCTGATGTCTTCGTCACGGCGATCTCTTCGGCTGTCCACCAGGTCTGTCTCTCTCCATTTATCCATCCGCTCTCCCAGTATCGGCCACAGCCAGTTGAAGGTGTGTCAATGCTTGTGCGTGGTATTACTGACGCCATTTTGATCACGATCCCCGTCTTTCTGCTGACCGCTTGCATTGGAGAGCGCCAGGGATGGAGATAAGTGAGTCCGATCTGTTGCACTAATGAGCTTGATCACTCGACCTTGATTCGATTCCGGCTATCTCGATCTTCGTCTGCGCCTCGGAAAAGCATACATACCTGATGTGGCCCGCCCACCTGAATTCTGCTCTCGAGTACTCACATCCACACAATGGCTGGCTGGAGCGGAATTTTCCGCCCGTCCAGGAGACCGGAAAATGTCCCTAGTTCCTTCACGACTGATGATGAAAAGCACAATACCATCGATGTCACCATTCATGAATCGAGTGCCGCATTTCCAGATGCAACTGGGGCATCAAAGATTCAAGCTGCCGAAGCTGTCAGCGGGCGCAAAGGCAGGTATCTGTTGTATGCGGGGTATGTATGTCATATCTTTATTATATTATAAGTGCTGATCACTTCCAGACTGGCGATGATGATGGTCATCTAGTAAGTTATCATCTCTCTACAGCGGCAGCTCCTTCTGATCGCTGTCTGCGTCTCAGTGAATTAGACAACTCAACCGTGGGGACCTACCGTAACTTTGCGACATCTGATTTTGACGCTCTTGCTGAGCTGGCTACCTTGAACACCGCAGCGAGCATTATTTCTGCCATCTCTAAGCCCCCAATCGCCAAGATCTCTGACGTCCTTGGACGGGGTGAGGCCTATGTATTCGCCGTCACATGCTACGTGGTATCCTACATTCTATGCGCCTCTTCCAAAACCTTCAGCACCTACGCAGGCGGATACGTTCTCTATTCTATCGGGCAGGCAGGTACATCCTTTCTGAATGCTACGATTGTCTCGGATCTATCATCCATGCGATGGAGAGGTTTCGCCTATAATATTCTCTACCTCCCATTCCTCGTCATTCCCTGGGTGTCCGCGTTCATTGTCCAGAGCGTTGTTGATGGCATTGGCTGGCGTTGGGGGATTGGCATGTTCGCCATCTTGATGCCTTTCGGTGCCGGTTTCATCATCACCACCCTTCTTGTCTTCCAGCAGCGGGCCAAGCGGTCAGGTCTCGTACTCAATGAACAGCTTAATCTACATGGTTTCTTCTCCCGCATCGACCTAGGTGGCCTCTTTATTCTAAGTGCTGGCTTCGCCTTGGTTCTGATTCCCATTACACTGGCTGCCACCTCTGCTGGCCGATGGAAGACCCCCTGGGTCGATGCATTGATTGCTGTGGGTGTCGTGATTCTGGCTTGCCTTTACCCATATGAGAAATACGTTGCCCGGCATCCTGTGGTGCCTGTGCGCTACTTCCGTAACCTTTCAATTTTGCTTCCAGTGGTTTTGGTATGCATCGACAACATCAGCTTTGGCGCCACACATACATATTTGTATGTTTGGTCCGAGGTGTCGCATAACTTTTCGCCACGCAATGCGCAGTTCCTCTACTACACCAACGGGGTTATGCAAGCCCTCGTGGGCATGGGGACGGGCTTACTGATGTACCGCCTACGTTCCTACAAATGGATTTTCGTCATCGGTGCGGTCGTTCGCATGGTTGGATACGGCGTTATGGTTCGCCTCCGCACAAACGAAAGCTCTGTGGCCGAGTTGTTCATCGTGCAACTGGTCCAGGGCATTGGTAGTGGTATCATCGAGACGGTCGGCATTGTTGCAGCACAGATCACGGTATCGCACGCTGAACTAGCGCAGGTCACCTCGTTGGTCCTGCTGGCCGCATATTTAGGCAACGGGATAGGCTCTGCGATTGCAGGAGGAATATACTCGGGACAGTTGCGTCAACAACTGCGGTTACATCTGGGGTCTGGTGTGAGTGAGTCTACGGTGGATCGGCTGTACAACTCGATCTCCGGTACTCTTCCAACATGGGGGTCAGCCGAGCGGACAGCGATTGACAGAGCTGTAAGTAATCTGCCTCGCCTTGCCAGCTAAACACTAACGCGCCGCTTAGTATTCAGATGTGATGGGGTACGTATGTCACGCGCTTCCAAGCGAATATTGAACTGACAAATTTAGGTCGATCACTATTGCAGCTCTGGCATTTTCTGCCCCTATCGTAATTCTCTCGCTATTTTTGCCCAACAAACAGCTAGGGTATGATGACCCATAGCTTCCGGTTTCTCTTTCATTGCTGATAAGTCGCTAGGGACGGACATAATCTTGTCCAAGGCCAACAGCCTCCCGAGCGCTCTGAATCCACACTGGTGGACGAGAGAAGAGCGCATGGAAGGAATTTGGATCTTTATGAGACATAAGCTTGGAGGAAGTTGTGGTGATATTATTATACATTATGACACTAATGACTGGTAACCGGGTATCCAAATATAAATGCTTATATACAAATTTTCAGAAGATGATAGTCTCACCTGCCGGGAGATCCCAGCGAGCAGACGAACTCACGCTTCGGCGTAGAGTCCAAGGCGTTTTTGACCAAATTCCAGACGTTCAGATCGTATGCCTCACCGATATGACCGACAGGGTCTAGAGGACAAGTGTCTTGCACCCATTCATTGGTCACCCCATCTTCATGCACGAAGGAGGTGGTGGTTGGGGTGACCAATTCGTCGGACCGCGATGCAATCACCGTTAGATTATTTCCCGGCTGCACGATAGGCTCGCCATCGTTCAAGCGGTCAATCGCTGCTCCATCCGGACCCAGATCATCACAGGCGGCGCAGCCCACGGTATCCAGGACGTCGCCTATCAGATCGCGCGATAGATTTCCCAGAACATATGCGATGTCATAGATCCCCGCCAAGTTGGTGCCTCTGGTGGGAGGTGCAATGGCCACCAGCTTATCCAGCATCTCCGAGATACCATCCTCGAACTTAGGGACGTAGAGGGTCTGGAAGGCGCCTTCGGAGTGACCGACAAGGTCAATCTTGTCGGCGCCCGTCTTTTCTTTCACCTCGCGGATGTACGCGGCGATTTCCGTGGCCGATTCGGCGATGGCCTTGAGGCCGCCGACAAAGGGGAAGCCTTCATATGCACCGTAGGTTTTGGCGTAAGTGCAATAGCCTTGGGTCTGTAGCCAACCTTGCAGGTAATTCAAGTCTTCGTAGTAGGTGGCGCCTAGCCCATGTAGGAGCACAACTGGATTCGGGTGTTCGGTGCTATTGCAGGAGAAGTCGTTGATGCTGTAGCCTAAGGCGGGTAGGATGGCGCTGGATGCCAGGGCCAGCGATGATAGACGCATTTTGGCAGAAATTGACAATTAGAGGTTCGGAGAATTAACCAACGGCAGGTGTAGAGTGACGGAGAATGCCATTCGAGCTGGCAGTCACCAGAAATTTATCGTGAATCCTGAGGTGGGCCTTCATCGTATTCCAGGAGATATTAATCTGATCTGTACCAGATCCAGCATGTGAATTCGTGCACCGCTGATCACTTTAATTAAAAGTGGATGGAATACTTAGTTGCCATTGGCACCAAATTGAGACTATTGGGAGCGTGTGAGACCGAGTGGATCGCTGACTCGTCGCTGACTCGTCTAGTGTTGCTTGGAATGTTCCCTGACCCGCTTCAGCTTCATTTTCACCCCTTCCCGAACACTTGGTTCACCAGAGTCAACGCAGTCACGGATAGCAAGATCAGTCGCGGATAGCCACCGCAGTGACGGATCATCGTCACTGCGGCCTGTCACTACGCTTATACAACTTCACGTTGACTCGTGATAGTATGGAGTGAAGATGCCTGAATTCAGTGACGGATGGGCTGCTCTGCAAAGGTATAAAAATCTCTGTTCTTGCCTCTCTCTTTCCTCTTTCTTCCTCATCTCTATCATCTCATATCATCCTCATCTCAGGATATGTCCACTGATACTATCATTTATGCCTCAAGATACCCTCGATCTAGGGCTTTAATCGCTATTATGTGGAAATTATCATGACCCACACCATTCAGCCTCTCCCTATATAATACAAAGACTACTACGACTCACCGATACTTCATATCTATACTATATGAGAGCTTCCGCGAGCATCAACAACTATCCACTCTCCTAAGCAAGTCCGACTCTTGATGCTCTTATATATCTTACAGAGTTTTCACTGGTTCGTCGGAACTAAGCTTGTGTTCGTCTTGTAGACACCAAGTTGGATGACGATCATAGTAGGCATCTCCACCTCGCAGATTGAAGAAGAGAAGCCGCTTTTACCACTGCACGAACTAACATATGCCTTGGTAGTCACAAGCAAATTCTACGGATATCATGTACACTCGAAGGTCGAACCGCGTGTCCTGATCATGTCTTCAAGCAGCAGCGAAGACTACTTTCTTGACGTGCCCCAAACGACTCGGGGCCTCTGAGCAAAGACGACATCGACATCGTCTTCGGTATAGCGTCAGCCAGGATGAGCTTCTGCGGACTAGCTGCCATTGCCCAAGCAAATGACACTGGCAGCTCACTCTTTATAAAAGCACACGCTTTCCAAGAAGGCCGTAAAAAGCAAGAGAGCGAGCTATGGTACAATCCTTCGACCACACCATTACTTTCATTGAGCTGTCGTTCAGAGCTCCACGAGCGGTACATCACCTCGTGTGTCACCTCAACTGACTTCACTTTACCTGGTATGTCTGTACCAATGAACGGGTTGGGCGCAGCCAAAGAAAAAAAAGCGATATAATAACTGTGGCATACTGCCTTTGTGACCCCTTCGAAAGTCCTGTCTAAAGATACTCAACCTACTAGGTCAAGCATTGCCCTCGGCACATCTTGGGGATTTCAAGCTCCCTTCATTCATCCAGGGCCATGCATTATATCCCCGTTAGTTCCAGGACGATACGATACACCGAAAGTAAATGTGCCATACGACAAGGCATGATGGCAACAGATGTGGCCATCAACTGTGCCAATTTACCAGCAATCGGTCAGCTTATATACAAAGGACCAGGATCCAGAGCCGGGGATTCGTGAGCACGTCGACTTAATGTTGGACAACAGCCCCATCCGCAGTGCAAAATCCCCATTGCAAGAATCCAGAAAGACCGAGCTCTCTACCCGTACCAATTGTACGGAGCCACCTGGTTACTCTGTAAAGAGACGACCACTCATCAAAGGGGGGGTTTCCTCGCTGATGATACTGGTTATGGAAAGGTTTTTGCCTCTCTGGCCATCCCGCCCCTGCCGTGCATGTAGCTAATGCAAATGCCACTGTGCTAGACATTAATGACGATATTGAGCGCCCTTACTGCGCGATGGGTCGTAATGTCATACTATTGGATCTATTCTTATCGGATACCTCGATGCAATGGTTTTACTCATAAACCATTCCAATGCACCCGAGCTCACGGTGTCAGAGAAGAAGACGATAGCGAACAATACTGCGTCAACCCTCTAAGAACGAGCTCAGCCTTGGCGCCCTAGAACGAAGCACAGTTCCAATTTTCATCAGGGTCCGACCGATGAATTCTGAGCGTTGTTCATTGTCTGAATGCTTCCTGGCAACCCTTCACTATGGCAGATGATAGGTTTGGAGACCCAGTCATCAAGGATATAAATACGAATGCGAAATGCTGGCGCTTGCTAGAATATGAAGAGCACTTGGACCAACCGACAGGCGTATTTTCACCGACGGAACCATGGGTTTTGTTGCATGATGGCGACGCAGCAATTCTCTGGCATGACCGTCCAGGTTGCAGAAAGCATGCATTCTACCCTAGAAAACTTGACGCGCTTTTGCCTACGGCATTCATTTGCAAGCAAAGAACGCAACGGGGTAGCATTCATGGACAGAGCATCGGAACTAGAAATATAAGGCTGCGTGTGCATTCTCAATCGAAGGGCATGCATAAGCTCCTATATTTACAGCCCAGCCTATGGGGCCGTTCATGGACAAAATCGAGGCAGTACATACAACAAAGTGTGTATGAGGTTGAAAGCTTGGGCAGCAGACTGCAATGGAGAAAGAACCGGTCAGGTCTTGCTTCGCTTGTCCTTGGGGAACAATCGCGGAGATCATTCATTACGGTACCTATCTATCAATTTTCAAAATCGAAAGTTGAAACTGCCCAAATGGCGGCGTGGATCGCCTGGGGGCCAACAGTTCTATATTGCTCTCTGATACAACCTATGCGTGGGCTTCTTTCTCCAAGGCTGCGGTCTTCTGTCTTCGCATAAACTTCTCCCGTTTCAGCTACAACAATTTTGCCTCTGAAGAGCACCTTCAGGCTCTCTCTTAGCTCAAATTCGGCAGTAACTGTCTGGTTCTGGGTCCGGACCTTGATTTTCTCTCCCTCACGCTCGATGGAAGGGACTCAGATGGGTAGCAGAGAGTCTCAATCTGCCAGCAAGGTGGCTGGATCCCCCAGACTCGAGTACCATTATGCTTGAGAGTCCATGCTGAGCCAGTTCAAAGTCGCTGGGATGATTGAGAGTACCACTTCTTTCCAAAATGGTCTGTCGACACGATTTGGACATACCTCTCTACATGCAGCCCTGGTTACCGCATGTAGAGGCCCCCTAAGGGAGATGGTCGTCCACAACCTTATGAGTTAAGGAAAGCTGAATAATGGCACTGCGATCTATATACTGGGTCTGGGTCTTGTCGGTTCACGAGAACCTGCAGAGTTGTGACGCGTGTGTAGCGAGCCAACGCTAACTCCTCGCTATACCTATTGCAATACTCACCTGCAGAGTCGTCTGAGGACCATGGGTACATGGTCTGATATAACCTACGTATGGAATACCTTAGGGTACCCTTTCCCAGTTGGTGCCCATGGGGTGCTTCTGGGCGAAGGTTTGAAACGGATGGTCTCAAGACAGTCTCCCAATGATCTCACTACCAAAACGGGACTTCAGGGGCGGTATGATGCACAAGAGACGCGTCCGAACAAATCAGTTCTCGGAAACTATTGGTGGTGCGGTAGCACTGCCTCCAACCACACAAACGCTCTCCATCCGCCGGCTAACGTCGAATGAGACACTCGTCACCTTTGTGCAGCTTGCCTCAGGGGTGAAAGAGAAGCATCTACGTCAACAAAAACAGCTCTGATAGCCATATATATTTTTCGATTTCCCATACGACTATTTATGCTATTCAGCCGATTCTCGCTGATATCGAAGACTGTGGGGAGTGCATAATATTCTCATAATACTCGTGCTGCTCCTCTTCGCCTTACGCCTACAGGATTAGGCTCCGGACGAAGATGGCGGTCGCAATGGCCGGAACGACTACATGGTGGTTGTAGCTATGAAGTACCCGAAAACCATTCGTGTTACATTTGACGTCCAAACAAATGATTCAGGATAAGACGCAAGTGGAAGCTCTGTCTTAGAAGACAGGCTCTAGCAATGACAGACTCTTCTGCAGCGAAACTACCCAAAGAGCTGAAGAATGATTTGGCAACTGAGTGTATTCGATCTGTATCTGTCTCTCACGGATTGACTCTATCTTTGGCATCGATGGCTTATTATAGGATAGTGCTCCCATTGAGCGAAGCCGGGAGATCCAGGCCACCATCTACATACCATCAAAATTTTGCTACAGAATCACCGACTCAGAGTCGATATTTGGCATTGGAAGCTTTTCGATAGATTCCATGTTGTTCTGCTCCCACTGCACGAGCGGGGCGCCCGCTTGACGGTCGCGCAGAAATCAGTATGTATGGGTAGGCTCGTTTAGAAGCCGATATGCTGACGTTTCATTAGCGCCACACTGCCCATTACGAAACGTTCCTGGCTAGACATCGTAAGCTTCCTGGCGTCAATGTCGAGAAGCTTTCTCTTATGCCTGGTGATCCTGGCTATGTCTTGTGGGCATGCGAACGGTCACTGAGGGATGGCGTTTCCGAGGCGGTTGCCCTCCAGTTCGAGGGTGATGAGTTGGCTAGACTGGTTGACCAACGCCTACATTCGAGGCTGAGAGGCCACATTCACCTCACGCCCTGGAGTTACGTTGACAACCTCCATTCTTTGGCTACTATCCAAGAAGTGAACGCTACGACTTTGATTCCAACTGTAATGAAGCTACCAGGGCTATGGAGCTGTGAGCATCGATAGAATCTGCAGCAGCTGATACGGTCGCCGTTATTCGATCGCCAATAGGGAGAACCTCAAAGATAATCATCAACCGCGAGTACCTTGAAGTCCGCAGTCTCCAGTCCCAGGTCTAGGAACTACCATGATCATTATCAAACTGCAACCATCCCCGTTCGACAAGGTTGTTGAGTATCCTCAGAATCGGGCTATACCTCAGAGTATGCGTCAGTTTCATGTAAACAACAAAGGGCTTGGAAGCTAAGCTCCCTTTGGAACATGTGTTCCACTCAGTCGCCTTCTAAGGCGCACTAGGACTATCTCACAAACCCGGTACTGCCGGTGGTCAACCTGATTTGTGGAGATTAAGGTGGTTCGAGCTCACTTGACAATACGCGGCCTCGTTTGTTTTGGAAGATAAACTGAATACAAACGTGTGCATTAAGTGCCGTCGCCCTTGCGTGGTTTGATGATTGCATGACGATGCCCGGAACAAAACACTATACTTCTCCAGCAGAGCTTGGATACGAACAGTTATGCAAATAGAGCATATATAAAGGAAATGCGAATGGGTCGCTGCATTGAACCTTTTAAGGTGGCTGTTGCAGATATAAGAGTTAGTTCATATATGATCCATCGTTGAATGAGAGTTGCGGAAACGGAGGCCTGTGAGAAACTGTCGACGCAGTTCCACAGACCAGTCAGAAATGGGCAATCGCAGGTCACTGTATCAGTGCCCCAAGTGCATATCTCTTCGCCACAAAACACGTTTTTCAATTGCCAAAACGAAAAGGTGTCCAGTTCTAGCCTCGCTACTTCATCTCTACAGGCTATCCGCGGCGACTAATGGCCAGCTACAGGCTGTTCTCGAACTACATTTTCTATCATCCTGGACATAGAACATGAGGCCATTGAGTCACCCAAGGAAGACATAACAAAACCGAAGAGACTGTTCACCGGTTACTAATGACGGCTACCAACTTTCTCACCAACTGCATCTTCTTATGTTCAGAGCACGTATTGCAAACGGATCTAGAGACCACTCACCCTCGGAATACTAAGCATTGTCCAAGTGACAGATTTTTACGCTGGATATTTTACGACCGTCTCAACACCACATCTTCTACCATCAAGGCATGTGCTGCTAATGACTCTGAAGGCCACAGAGTCTGTGTGCTGTCCCGCGATATAGCATGACCGAACATGCCCTGTACCGTCAGCATTTCACTAGTTCTGTGTTCGTTCCAGGTTATTTACAGAAAAATCTGGGTATAACATATTGCCCAAGCATTTCAGCAACGCGGTTGTGGGATTACCTAATGCCAGCTACTGGCTATCGGGTGTCTCATTTGCATTTTCTACCATCAAGGCACATCCTCAGCAGCTCCATGGGACACATGCATAAGTGGCAATTTTCCATCGTTTTCTTGCGAAATATTCCTCAGAAATTTCGCCGTTGTCTTTTCTTTCGGTCATTTTGTGGAGGTGGTTGTCCGCTATATGGGTCACCGACTATAGCACTGTCGAAACAATGCAACCCATATATATGACTCCTATATCTTCCCTTCGTTAGTGGTGGTGGATGAAGAAGATACTATGGATATGCCGGTTGGCCATCGTCCGCTCGAAGATGCGGTGACAACGCCCATAGTTCGTCGCTGAAAGTCAAGATTCGAACACCAGTTTTGACTGAATGCTTGCCAGAGCCGTGGTGCATGGCTCATGACGAGGATGATGCGCCCTACATCTAACATACCCCAGGATGGTCTTTTTCATTCTAAACTACGGAGGTTGAGAGATGCGACCATTAAGAATCTAACAACGCCAATGACAGGGCCGGCCCAGATGTAATTCAAGCTAGGGCCATACATGCCGACCGGACGGAAGATGTCGATCCAAACCAGCGCGAAAATGGAGCTGTGGTTTATGATATAATTGCAGCAATCTCGCTCAGCAGTTCTTCTTCGTCTCAGAAAAGGTGTTGACCCTTATGCGGTGGCCGGAGGATCGTGATAATGGCAGCGCAATGACTCCATGCCACTCCTGGATGTGCCATGGGGTCGAAATTTACTACCCAATTCCTTTTAAGGAGACAGGGTGGGGATGATATCTACTATGGCAGGGCTAGCTGCCATACATACCCAGTGAGCAAGACACGAATTATCATTCTTGGTTAGAGGAGAAGCCATACTACCCGTCTCCTTCATGCCTTCGTCGCAAGCAAGATGAGATATCGAACGAGAGAAGACATCGAATGAAGACTCTGGAATCTTCCCTGGGTCTTATCTGGAGGCTGCTGTTAGAGAAGATGTCGACTTTGTGATCCAGACGGCAGAACACTTTCCTTGGTCTTGCCCTGTCGCAAAGTCGATATGGACACACTTGCGAGAGGCTGTCCGCTTCTAAGATTTAAGGGAAGGAGCAGATGATGTTACTACTGCCGCTGTTCTATCCCAGTACTGTTGCAGCTCTTGGACAGGTTACAAGCTGATCGCCTGTCGATGCTGGATAAAGATACAGCTGATGCGAAGTCTTTCTTCGAGCGAGCTTGAAGATGGGATTCAAGACTGCATTCAACTGCTGTAACTTTAATCACAGGTATATCATTCGACACCCTGTCAGCTGGGAAAGCTTTGCTACTCCATATTCGAAGCCGGGCAGTACATCCTAGGAACTAGAGGGTTCTCATGCTCCCCGACCATCCTTTTGGTATGCGTCGGGAGCGATTATTAACGTGCGTGAACAGGAGGACATAACCCTCCGGGACTCATATCTGAAGCAGACGTACCGTTCAACGCTTCATCAATCAGCTTAGGGAACCTTGTTATTCTTTTTTCGAAGCTAAGGAGTACTATCAATCTAAGCTTCATTTCGTCAGCAACCACCTTCGCTTTCAACTGGTATGAGTCGTTGGCAACTAACATTATGCGTGAATCAGGAGGACATAACCCTCCGGAACTCATCGCTAACGCGGACGTATCATCCCCACTTCCTGTCTGCTCAGGACGTCTTGAATTCACTTCTATATAATCTATGCGAGACATGTCGAACCCTGGACGGATGTCATACCCAATCACTATTCCATTCTTTAGAGGAGCGACCGTCTATGCGTGAATCAGGAGGACATAATCCTCCGTCCGGCTCAAGGAAACCCTGGACAGTCTCTGCGTCTACCAACAACCCAGTCCTTTTGCCAGGGCGTTGCATGATGAAATCATACCAGAAAACGTATCTCCCGTCGAATGGTGAGATCTACGGGGTCCTCCAATCACCATTGATCTGGAGAAAAAACAGAGCTTATAACCTAGTGAACGGAACTGGCCGTTTGTTGGATGTTTTACAGAAGGCGGAATGCTCATTACATTGTTTACTATTCACGGCTTCCGGGCAGAGCGTGCTGCGTCTGCGAACACATCTTTAGAGGCACGATGCATCGAGCAGCGTGTTAACCTGCATCATTTTATCCATCTATACGTGATAGATATCCCTCTCACTGCAATATCCTAAACGCCGCGGGCATTTCACCTTTATGATAAAGTATAACCACACGAAGCCACTTGATCCTTCACATGTTCTATTTCATATCCGACCAAGGGGAAAGTTCCGAAGTGGGCACATACTCCCAACGCCTACCTACCGGCTTCTCGATCCTCCTACCTACTAAGGAGACAGACGCATCTGAGAAACCTTGAATCCTCCAGCAGTACTCGCTCACATCTTCCCATCCCTGGATCTTCCGTTCAAGCACAACAACACACACGGCAGATGGGACCACGAGCCTCTATACAACCCTGACATATATACGGATGATTTGACGAAGAAAAGCCACGATCACATCATCCGAGAAGATTACGTACGCTCCGCGGTCAAGAAGTAGAGATAGCGTGCCGTGTTATTGTAACGGGACGACGTGGAACTTGGACAGAATTGCCGAATGCTACTTCAGCGCCGAAAAGGTCGAACCATGGCATTAACATCGTATGCCTTGCATGCATGAAGAAGAGAGCAAACAAACAGGGCAAGAAAACCAAGACGAATCCTAGGAACAACACATGGCGTCTGAAGATGATCCTAGTGTGCCTGTGCTTGAACAGGGCGCTCGAGGTCATTGAAATCCTACTGGTAAAAATAAGAGAGGAGTATCGATCAGTAAGCCGCGAAAACGAACATCATCGACCCATGCAGGTTCACGAAGCGGACAAGAGGAAGGGGGCACGGGGGGAGAGATAGTTCCCCTTGAAAATGAAGATCTTTATCCAAAAAAAAAAAAAAAAAAAAAAAAAAAAAAAAAAAAAAAAAAAAAAAAGAATGATGTGGGGGTTACCCACCGCGGTGAGTGACTTTGCTGGGTGATAGTGGTGGCATTGGTTATCATACTGACCCATCTGACATGGGAGGGGGAGGGGGTTGGCTTTGTACTTACATACATACACTGAATGTCCATCTCGGGGATGCATCATGCTATATGGGCCATGATTGATGATGATGACGAGTTGGAATGGTCTCATCGTCTTAAGACTTACATCTTCGTTATTTTCTGACGATGGTATTGATAAATAAATAGTGATCTTAAGAAGGATGGGTATCTGATCGCACTTCTGTTTAGTAGTTGGTATCTACAAAATTCATTTTCTATGAGGACAGATAGATGAAGAACGATTTGTACATGGTCTACTTCTTAGGAAAGGAAATTCATTCCTCGTAATTCTCTCGGTGCATTCAGTACTTAGGAGGATTCAGGGAACAAGAGTAGTAGTTATGGAGTGCAAGGGGCTAATGTGTTGCAGTTGGTTTATCTGGTCTGGAGAAGATATCTTGCGCGGGGTGCAGACCATGGTTTTGTTTTCATTTGATTTGCTAGTGTCATTTGTGGTCGTGGGGAGTTTGGACTACCTAGGACAACCATCATTCTACTGAGTGCTTGATCTAGATGAATCAGGGGTGTATCGTAGTGAATTATTAGGTAAACCATCGAATTGAGACATCATGTCAATTATATCCTGAAACTATTTTATCTATCCACCGAACCAAGGTATATTCATCAAGGCTAGACATTGCCCTGCAATGACCCGAAATAAAAAGAAGAGAGAGAGAGAGAGAGAGAGAGAGAGAGAGCAGTGAATCAATCAATCAATAGTCATATCTATGCAAAGCCGGCTCAAATGCAACACAAATCCCGAAATACATGATTCAACGCATCGTAACAATAAATATATTCGATACCGCTCGGTGTATATGGTAAATTATCAGATGGCAAACAATCTAAAAACTGAACAAACCACTGCGACGCTTGCCGAAGGGATAGACGATCAAGGCAGACACGAACAATCCCACCGTAATGCCAATGGCAACCTGGATCATACCAAAACCCAGACTGGCAATCGATGAGTCCGAAGTGCTGTCGGTCGCCGTCGTGTTTCCCGATCGCAGGTTGTCGCGCACCTCGTCGGCATACTGGATACCCGCCAGCAAGGAACCACTGGATGCCAAGCCAGACGGCACGAGCACGAAAATACCCGGAAGAATGGCGGTGGCGGCATGTCCGTGCCACAGCCGACTGTACAAATTACCCAACAGACCGATGGTGAATGCACCGACCGTGTTGGCGACCTCGGAGTTGGAGCCCAGCTTGAGGGTGCTGAAGTAGTTGGTCACGTAGCCGCAGACCGCAATGACGATCATCACGGGCACTTGCTTCCACTTGCCCTGATTGATGATGGCTAAGAAAACCACATAGATCGGAACGAAAATAAAATGCTGAATATACTTGCTGGCCCATACGTCCTCGTTTTTACAGGTTGTGGACGAGGCAGCGTCGCCGTCAATCAGCCCATAGATGGTGGTGCCGACCGTGATGCCATAACCGAGGAACATGGAGTAGATAATGGAATAGACCATGCGGATTGAACCGGCAATCATCTGGTGTGACTGCAGTTCCAGACTGCTGCACAGTACCATGAAACCCGGCAGAATCAAAGCGATCGAGGACTGAGCCAAGGCCGAGAAGCAGAACAGGCGCTCGTGCGTCCCATCCACGGTGGCATAGATGGAACCAAAAGCTCGCGCAAGGAACGAGGTCAGAATGGCCGCCGTGACTTCAAACACGTTCGAGTACAGCACCGACCGGGGCGCCAGCACATGTTGCATGAAGCCGACGAGGCATCCGAGGAAGAAGATGATGGGCATATCAATGGGGCGGGCGTCGAAGGCGAAGGGACCGACGGCAACACTTGCCAGTCCGTAGGTAACCACCAGGATCCACTTGTTGAAACGGGGAGGTCGCTTCATGATCAGATCAAGCTCCTGGATGGCCTCCTCCACCCCGATCATGTCGTGAACGACGTTCTTGTAGACATTGTGTGTTTCTGCCAAGCGACCCAGATCGACTCCCTGCACGACACGGACCAGCTTGACCTCGGCCGTACGCGTGGCCGGATCGTCAAAGGACATGATCATGCACCCGGGGAGGTACAGGAACTGCCCTTCGACTTCCAGAACACGAGCCGTCATCTGCATGTACTCTTCCAGACGATGAGTGGGGGCACCATAGCGCATGAGCGCCCGGCAGAGCTGCATGATGTATCGTTGGCGGGCCAGAATCTCGGCAATGTGCACCGTAACACGGATCTCGTCCTCGAGGCGGGTCTTGCGCTTCTTCTTGCCTTTCTTGTTGGGAATGTTGACCAACGTGTCTGCCGATGCAGGCAAACTCGCCCGGCTGAGGTTCATCGACGCCTCCACCAGGGAAGCGGTGGACTGATGACTAGACTTCTTGTACCACTTGACCTTCTCTTTCTTGGGCGTCGCCGTTCCGGAGGAGAAGGTGCCCGCGGAAAAGTCTCTCCTGGGCGTTGCGGTGCCGGAGGATGCCACGGACTCGTTATCTGAGGAGTCCGTCATGGACATGTTGTCCCGGTTGGCCTGCTGCTGTGCGTGTAACTTGAGCAGCTGCGAGAGAATACCACCCCCGCCGCGACCACCAGGAGTGCCAGCTCCGTACCACGAGTCCGGACGACCGAGCCCATCGGGAGTCTCCTGGCCCGACTTTGCATACGCCGACTTGGGCTTGCGGCGTTGATGCATGTTGTGCTGGGTCATGCTGCGAACCAGGCGATGGGCTTCGGCACTCGGCGGGGGAGGCGCTTCGTCATTGCGGCCATGAGGATCGAGAGGCTCCTTCTCTTCGCCCCTACGGCGGGGGGGATAGCCGCCCTCCAGATCATCGGGCAACATGGCGGCTCCCAAATCGCCGACATCATCCAAGGGTCGACCGAGACGTTCACCCAAGAGCACGGTCTTTTGGCGAATCAATTTGCTGGCGTTCTTCCAGCGGTCCTTGGCGGAGACGGGTTGTTGCGGTTCATCTTTGTCGAGGGAGGTGTCTCGGGATTCATCGGCGGTGGGCGAGGAGCGTTTTTCCGGGTGGTCGCCTTTTCGCTCTTCCGGGTCATTTTCCTGCGCGTGATCGCGTTCGAAATAGTCGGCCAGATCCGTCGATTCCGCGGTCGTCGGGACGAAGGAATGCACTGAGCGCAGGGAGTATTCGGAATCCCCGCGCGGCATGGGCGGGCGTTGGGGCACCGTCTCATTATTATGGTTACTGACGGAGCGAAATCGAACGCGCGCGGGTCTGGTGGTTTCATTGGGGGCACCCTCTTCTGTTGCAGCAGCAGGAGGTTCGCCTTCGGGGTGGGAGGGGGCGGATGGTTCGCCAGAATTGCGCGGGACGAGGGTGTCGTCGTTCCCGTCGTTTCCATCCCAGCTGTTCTGGCGGCCTAGAAGTTCATAGGAGGCATCGTCATGGCGTGGTGACTCCGACATTGGAACAGTCCGAGCAGCCAGCTGCGCGGACAATCAGGAAACTGTCAAGCCACGAAAGGTGTGAGGGGTGAAAAATGTGAGGAGGAAATCAAATGGGCGAGGAATGCGTGATATGTAGCTGAAAAGCTGGGGGGGAAACGGCGAACAAAGAAAGGAAAAAAGGGCAGTCCGGATAGAGTCGGCAATATAAAGCACCCCAGCGAATGAGAAGAGGCAGACGGGGAGAACCCGATGAATAAGAGTGCAAGTGTCAAAAGACGGGTAAACGTGATGGGGACGGGATTGATAGAATATGGATGGAGGGACTGGAGAATTACTCGGAATGGCAGGAGGGAAAAAGCGACGAGAGTCAAAAAGGCGAAAAAAAATAAAAGGTGGATAAGAAAAGCGTGGGTGGGTGGAGAGCAAGCGTGGGAATCCCAACGGGCGTCTACAGGCAAAGTCCACGGGGGGGGCCCCCGACCAAAAATAAGTCGCAGTCTAGACCAGCACCAGCTGCTGCGGAATTAGGGAAGAATGCAGAGTCGGAGATACCACAATAAAGTCCACAGCAAACACCCACCAGTCGGGATCGGAAAGGCACGACACGGGAAGAAAAGAAACAATCCACGAGCAGTCTGGGAGGAGAGAAGAGGGACCCGTCGGGATAGTGGTTTTAAGCAGGGCCGGGACAGGATGGGATGGAGGAGAAGCATGACTTCATGGCACATTGGGGAGGGCGGGCGTGATTGGTGATGAAGGACAAGCCGGCCTGGATCCCGGAGAAATTGAATGCAGGATCGGCGCTGCACGATGAAACCAACTGACAGCTCACCGGCCAATGTTGCAGAACGATTCCCATCCCTTCATCCCAACTTGATACTGGATCCTGCTGGTCATCGTCATCGCTGCTCTCCTTGCAGCACAGAGTGAATTGAATCTGCTCCCAATTCACAATTTCACTTCCACCTCACATGTTGTATGAGACTGCCATAGACCAACTGAGGGACTGTTCAGGGAATGAATGGGAATGAATGGGTCCAGACACGTTGTGGTACCTGAGAAAGAAGAAAAACCGGGTTGGCCACCCAATCCCACCCAATTTTCCCCCCGGGCCGACCAAAAGGAAAGTTTTCACCATTGCAAACCATTTTAGTTTTTTACTTTATCCGGTCCGCCATTGGTTTGGGCCCCATCCAATGCCAACCAGTCAAATTGTGTGTGGTGGAGTCCATGGCGTGGTGGTGGTGGCAACTCGCCAATCATGGCGGCCCAAGGGACAACCAGTCGAGGTTTCCAGACTCTGGGTGGAGTTCGGGTCAGGGGGATGTCCCGATTGCAACATGACTGCTGCTCCAGAATGTTTTATCTCCCCTTCGCTGCTGCTATACTTGGTTCCCGTGCATCGTCCATCTTGCATGGTGTACGTACACCAGATGGCGCATTGCGCGCTTCTCGGCCTTAAACTCCTAATTGGTGGTCATTGCTAGCCACGACTTCGCCAATATCGATCCATAGATATAGATAGATCGGACCCAATCGTACTATCTGTTGTGTATCCACTCGGTTCGCTTGCACGGCCACTTCTATTTGCACTCATGAAATCGCTTCATGGTCCATGGCCGCATCGCTATGGAAAGAACCCAGGCAGCGTCTCGGCCTTCCCGGATCAAATGATCCGTAGTGACACCAAGAGACACGCTCACTGCAGAGATTCTCCCGATTGACAAAAGTGTCAACAACCACGGCTGAGTAGAGCTGCCTGGCCATGATTGTAACCTGCAGTCTCCATCACAAAGTTTATCTCCATTCCGCAGTCGTCTCAGCCTCATGCTGCTGAAACTGTGTTGTTTCCGAGGTTGGGGCACCAAGGTCCAGGTGAGAGCCCTTCTTCCTGTAGACGTCCTCGATCGCATTGACTAACAACGCCGCCGGTAGATCCTACAAGCTCAATTGGGTATGTGGTATTCCGATTGGTGCCACCCTCCTGGCTGACTGTCAAGGCGGGCTGATGGCCGAGCTGCGGCGCGATAATACAGCGACATTTCACTTTGCAGAAGGCAACGTGGACTCCGCTCCCGGTCCAAGAACTGCGGGATACTATGATGACCCCTATTATAGCTGTTATCGCCTTTCCCTCCCTCTTTCTTCACCAGAGTCTGGGGATCGGATGTCATTGCTGAACGCATATGCCTGATTGTACGATGTCATCGCCGACGCCGCCGCCTTTGATGGCATCCTGGCTTCTCCTATGGGGGCATTCTGGCGGCCGGACTTTTGATCCCATCATGCCAAACTGTATCCGCGCTAGCCACCGCTGGTCCGCTGTGCCATCTTCATCAATGCCCTTCCGCCCTTCCGAATGGACCCCGAGGGAAGATCCAGTGGTCGACCTGGACATGGAAGGGTATATCAACATCCCAACTGTGGACATCGGAGGTGTGCAGGATACGTTGCTCAAGTACTCCATCGCGTTGTACCGATTGTGCGATCCCACCCAGTCAGCGTGGGTAGTACATAGCAGGGGGCATGATGTCCCACGGGACAAGAGAAACCTCTCCACCCTAGCAGCAGCATTCAGAAGGCTAGCAATCCCAGTGTTGGCCATTTGGTGACACCCACCTTCCTGGCATCCGCGGTTGCCTGATCTTTGTGGAAGCTCCCCGGATGACGCAGTCTACACCTTTTTTTTTAAGTTCATGCAAGCCACCCAGACATCCCTTGTAACGTCTCGGGGGATTCCCACGTAGTACACAAGCATGCAGTCAGAGACGGCTATCAGTGCTTATTACAACACCGCGTATAGCTGCGCAGCGCAGTGCTGGTTCTTGTTCCCGTGCATGGCGTGCCGCCGTTGCTTCCCACTCGGCCCGCCATGACTGCTGTCCCGGCCGCCGATCCTCCCATTCCCGACCGCCATCGGTTTCTGCCCCTCCCACGCATCACCCCCACAGCCAACATGACCTGTCAATAGTCCTTGATCAATATATGCTTCGATGCCCAACCCCATCGTTGGGATGGGATTCCGTGGTCCTGGGGATGCACCGAATGTGGGAAGTCTGTGGACGGATGATGGTCGAGGGACGGGGGGCCTGGAGCGCGATCTCGGCTTCTAGATGGAATTATTCGGCATACTTCCATCCCGACCATGCCAGACATGGCACGGTACGTAGATTGACTTCCAGTCCTGCTAACTATTTGTATCAATCGTGTTTTCAGATCAATGTTCACGCGGGGCGTTTTCTTACGGAAGACATGTCGCTCTTTGATGCACCATTCTTCAAATTGACGGGGAATGCAGTCACGGATGGTACATCCGCCGTCAACTACATATGTCCTTGACATAATTCAGTCCTCCTGGCTCAAAAAGTAGCTATCACGGATTGATTGCATGTTCAAATATGGAAGGGGCTTCCGCAGCAGCTAGCGTCTGTGCTGTCGTACAACTCACCGGCAGCGTCGTGAAAATATGTGGTGGCTATCTACAAGAGATGAAGAATGCTCGGGAGGATATCGTTGCTTTACAGCGATCGATTACGGGCCTTGAAGCGGCTGTTAAGAAACTCTTTGAGTTACTTCATGGCCTCATGCCACAAAGCTTCCCACTCCCTCCTTGCTAGTCAATTATGTCACCGACTCTTTCTGAACTTGGGGCCCTAGAAAATCAAGGTTGATCCTGGGAGAGGAAAGGGTATGATGAGAAGACTCGGACTTCCAGCATACAAATGGCCTTTGAAACACACAGAGGTGTACAGAATCATCCATGGTCTCGGGAAGTATAAACCATCTTCAACTTGTCTTTGCAGATTGACAGAATGTAGGTCTCTCAGTCAGAATCATCAAGAATGCTTTGCTTATTTCTACTCATGGCTCTCCTGGCCGGTGTGACTTGGTGTACAGATCTCATCTACTAGTACTTGGGTCTTGGCAGATTGGTGATCGCCGCTGGTGCTGAATAGACTTATATATGGATCAACATGAAGATGATTTTCATCCGGCTACCCAAACAGAGCCCCCTCATCATATCACAAAATTTGCCATGTCACTACAATGTAAATGCATATACTAGCTAAATGCTATGGCTGGGGCAGGAGAAATCGACTATCTCCCGCAACAGTGGCAAAATCCTTGAAAGAGGCCAAGCTCTTAGAAGCAAGCTTCTTCTTTCCGAGAGGCGGGGGATGCCGTAGTATCTGTCTCTGGAATTCTATCATAGGGGGCTTGCAGTGACTGCTTAAAGACCATATAAAATTCAGGTTAATTAATACTACTTTTGAAAATATACTAGTATCCAGCTCCAGTAACTAGACTATCTGATTTTGGTATACTACTGCCACAGGCATTTTACAGTCAAGTTTTGAAGATTGTTGAGAGGGAGTTTGATCAGTAGTTTTCTCTCCTGACAGTTAAGTTACTTGTATGTAGCTCTAATATTCATACTTTGTAGCTCTGAGGCTCTACAATAAAGGATCTAAATAGTATTTTAGAGCTACTCAGGCTTTGTTTTATTGGGGGTGTTCTCACCAAATAGCCAGTTACTTATGTCTAATTATATTAACGAGACTATAAAGTTCTGTTATTACTTTACAGATGAACTACGTATAGTAAACTCTTCTTAGAGTCTATTCTGACTGATCTCAGTTGATGATTTTCTTGCCTGACAGCAAGATGCTTGCTTTTAGCTTTCATAATTATCATATGTCGACGAACTAATCGCTAGACCAATGGAAAAGATATTCAACAGTTCTGATTAGCCGGGCGAAGGAGAGATATGTAGTAGATTCTGGTTTATGGAACTGCATGGTCTGAGCCAGGTTGACCACGCTAGGAATCGAACCCGACCGGGCTTATAGCCAGTTCACGCACTAACCGCTAGACCAAAAATTAATTAAGTTGCTTCCAGTTAGTTAGGCGACGGATAGATATGTGTCCCAAAATAATATAATCCTGGAATATACAACATATCTTACAAGACTATACTAGCTGGATTTCAAATTGGAAATACTATTCTTCGAGTATATTATAGAAATTATTTAAGTCTAGTTTAGTCAGTAATATTCCACCACGACAGCTGACAACTGGCATGACGACAAGACTATGCGACTTTGGAAACTACCACGGGTGCTTCGAAAAGAATATATATTTCCCGAGCGAGTGCCGCACCCAACCGCCGATTATTTTTAAAACATACATTTTAATCACTCTGACACCGTTAATATGAAGTAAATTAACTACTAACACACCCATTACTCCAATGCCGTATCTTTTCACAATTAGTCCATTTCACAGGTGCCTGTTTATATGGCTGAGGTGGGACCAAAGCAGGTATGGGCGGCTGCTCGGGAGGGTCTGCCACATCTTATATAGCTTCTTCTGAAGAATCCACGTCGTCTAGCTCTCTTTGACTGCCATATTCACAGGGATAGGTGGGATTTGGGACTGTTGCTCTCATATTTCTTAGAACTGGCTATGACTGCTCCCATGGCTGCTCCCTGGAGGAGTAGGTAGGGGGTTTGAGATGAATATCGAGGTTGGAAAGTATGGAATTAGGATCTAGAGGTACAAATCCAGTAGCTCTAATGATGTTTTGTACATTGATAGTTTTGGATGCTTCTGCGACCATAACTGGATAGACTGATAAAATCAAATTAAGTTGATATGATTACAATTCATCAAATAAGTTTGCTGTCAGCACATTGCCTCAAGGTCATCGCTATTCAGCACCCAAAATACCCTGAGGCCTTCGACAGAGAAGCTTCGTAAATAACAAATGGAACAAGATAAAGAAAAGAATGAGCAACGCCTTATACCCAAAAGTTCAACCCTACTGATCCACCTCATAAACAAGCTTGAAACCGCTGACTTCCTTTCTCCGAATCATCTCCAATCCTTCCAGAATGCCGGGAAAGCCGCCCGACATGACCTTGGCAGGGTGGTTCTTGAGGTTGCCCTCGAGCAGATGCTTCTGAGCGCCGGCGTAGAGCTCGTCAGCAAAGATACGCGCATCGGGGTCCGCGTCCCGCCCGTAGGGGGCCGTCCAGGTACTGCCGCGACCCTTGACGGTGGAGCCCAGGATCCAGTCGGGCTTGACAACCTTGCGGGTGGCCTGGGCCTCGGGGTACGGGTCCAGCGCGGTGTAGCGACCGCCCGCGCGGCCAATGGCTTCGTAACACAGCTTCATGGACGAAGTGACGGTGATGCAGTCGATGGCGTAGGCCAGAGCGTTCTTGGTGTACGCCTTGATGTCCTTGGCGCAGTCGGCGGACCGGTAGTCAAACGTCTTCTCGGCACCGTAGGAGAGGACCAGCTTCTCGTGCGACGGCGAGCAGGTGGCGATGGGCCGGAAACCTGCCAATTTGAGCAGCTGCAGGGCCATGGTGCCCGTCGAAGTGCTACCACCGTTGACGAGCACGTAGGGCGCTTTGGCGGCCGAGTTGGGTGCGGTCAATGATCCAGGCAACTTCATGGAGCGGAACAGGGCAATGCCTGCAGACGACAGCGATGTGCCTATACAAGCGGCATCGGTGAAGGACATGTCATCCGGCAGACGCAGAGCCTGGGTGGCCACGGTCGAGGCGTACTGGCAGAAGCCGCCGCCGCTCGGCCTGTTACGGTCCATGCTGTCGGCGGTGCCTAGTACCCGGTCGCCCACCTTGAGGTCTTGCCTGGTGACACCGCTGCCAATGGCCACGACGACGCCGGCAAAGTCGAAGCCGAGAATGGCATTGGGCACAGCGAAGCCCTTGGCCATCTTGGAGTCGACGGGGTTGAGGGCCAGCGCGGCCGTCTTGACGAGCACGGAATCCGGCTCCAGGTCGATCACAGGCACATCGTGCGAGATGCGGAGAGTGCCCTCTTCGTCAGCAGCAATGATGGCGGTCTGCGTCTTGGGAATGGGGGCGATCATTATGAAGGATGGTGGTGGTGGTGCAGGCGATGCTGTTTCGTAACGGTGATAGTGGTGGTGTTGCTGTTGTTTACCTCGTCGTTGTTGATTAACCAGGGAGAGGAAGAAAAGGATGATCGGAAATGACAGGAGGAGAGACGGAAAGTATGGGAATGGGATGTAGTCGTCGTAAACCAGCGACAGCATTAAACTCGTAATTAATGTCTTAACAACAACAATATCGACATGTCTTTTGACGCGGTGGTTGTCGACTGTAAGATCTATATACACTGGCGCGATCTCGTCCAAGTGTGGCGCAAGGCGGACTGAGATGGGAAAGAAAGGCAACCTCTTCTCTCTTCTGGGGGTTGGTTTGCGAAATTCCCATCACCGTTCCATCCAGCCGTCGCACACGGGAGGCTTTAGTCGGGGCAAACTATCCCACATTCCCAGTATGGCAAGAGAAGAGATGGCCGCACGCCTTGGCAAGGAAAACGGACGAAGTTGTTGTCTCAAAGAAGAAACCAGCATGGCAGGGCCGGTAAATACATCCAGATCGGGTATACAAGAGGGAAGCTAGAATAAAACAGGGGCGAAGAATCGGTGGAGGGTGGTAGATGGACCGCTCGCGTGGAGGCGTTTAATTTCTGACGCAGAGTCTTAAAATCAGCACTTGTAAAGACCTCATTCCCCGAGGATTTGGCCCCCAGAATCCCGTAGGATTTGGCCTGAGGAATCCCGTAGGATTTGCCCTAAAGGTTCCCCGTAAGCTTTGGCGGCAAGAATCTCGTATTGGGCGGCTAGACTGCACAAGTCTTCTTTGTGACTAATTGGTTTGTCGTCAGGGATGCTAGTATCCTTGCGGCGTTTCTATTATCGACATTGGCTTGGCCCGGTGCCGAGCACGGATCGGATCTACCCACGATGCTTAATCGTACATACTACATGTCTCGCCAAGACTGCATCTCAACCACCAGCACGATGCTGCTGCAGGACAAACGCTGGCGGCATAGAGTCCCCCAACAATTGTACATGCAGCGCATCTGAAACTCCAACAATAGCCATCTAGCTCATCCATGTGCGGCTCTATCTTCAGAAACACTGACAGGGGCACGTTTGTGAGGGATCATTGTTGGCCCCCACCCTACACCTTCCATCTTTCGGCTAGATTTTTCCACACTTTAATCTAGTCTGCCCCATATGGTCTTGTCCACTGCAACCAAAATACGAAGTAAGTGACATCCTTTCTCGTGGCTTATCTATCAAGGTCCGCTTCAACATCCAACCCTATTCGCTCGCCTTGCCCGTGTCTCATCCGAAACCCCACTATCGTCAGTTCCACGAGGCAAATGTCAGAGCTAGCAGCTCATGGTGCGACTGGACTCGGAAAGGCTGACAAGCCTAACGCAGGCTTGCCTCGTGTTCCTCTGGCTCCATCGCCGACCCGCAGGGACTCCACAATCCAATCCGACGCCCATGTGTCACCTGCAAATCACCCTGCGGGTCGCTGAACAGTGAAGAATCGGATTAGGAAGCTCTGAAAGAAGGAGTAGTCTTGAGGAGGCTTCACAAATCAGAACTAGCAGATTACCCGTTGAGCCGAAAATCCATGGCTCAGCAGGATCAGTGGGGCGTGCAGGCACGGTTACCGGAATAATAGAGGATCTGTGGATACTGAATCCATGTAGCATCGTGGTCAGTAGTTCCTGAGTCAGTTCTTTCCTCATCGGGATACCACTTCTACAGTCTCACCACAAGGCGTTCGCATGGAAGGTCATGCAAGGGTTCTCATCGAGGCGAGAGCATAGTAGGTTCGCTCGAACGGAGACCAGATCTGAAGCTGTCAGGTATAAACATAAAACCCAGCCCTCATGGCATCTCAGCTCGTCCATCCATCTTGATCCTCAGCGCTTGCGGCTTCAGCTCTCTTTTCCCCTCGCTTCATTGTCTGGTCTGATACCTGTACCAAGTCTCATCAGGTCTATCAAGTCTGACCCAGTCTTTACCCAGTCTTTTTGTTTAATTTTATAGTGCACCAAGTCTTACCAAGTCTCTTTGTGCCTTTTAATTCGAGTCTAGCTACTCGAACGTCTTTAATTCTCTCCTATTCTATTTACCAGACAAGTGGAGCACCAAACATCAAATTTTCATCACCTCCGCCAAAATGTCTTCTTCACCCAAAGAGCCCATTGCCATTGTTGGCAGCGCCTGTCGATTCCCTGGAGATGCTACATCTCCTTCCAAGCTATGGGAACTGCTCAAGGAGCCCCGCGAGGTGGCCCGGCCTATCGACCGTTTCGCGGCCTCGAGCTTCTACCACCAAGATGGTCACTACCACGGCGCCAGCAACGTCCGCGACGCTTACCTCCTCTCCGAAGACCCCCGCTACTTCGATGCCCAGTTCTTCAACATCCCCCCTGGTGAGGCCGACTCCATCGACCCTCAGCAGCGCACAGTCCTCGAGACTGTGTACGAAGCCGTTGAATCCTCTGGCCTGGTGCTTGAGGACATGCGCGGCTCAGACACGGCCGTCTACGTTGGTGTCATGTGTGACGACTACGGCAACATTTGCTACGTCGACCAGGAGGCGGTCCCAACGTACGCTGCCACCGGCACGGCCCGTAGCATTCTGTCCAACCGTGTCTCCTTCACCTTCGACTGGCGGGGTCCGTCCATGACCATTGACACGGCCTGCTCGTCGTCCCTGGTCGCTATCCACCAGGCCGTGCAGGTTCTGCGCAGCGGAAACTCCAACGTCGCCGTGGCCGCCGGTGCCAACTTGATTTTCAGCCCGAGTATGTGTCTCCTCACCATTCCCCTTGCTACCGAAATGCTCTAGAAAGTTTGCTAATCTTTGGACCCAAAGACATGTTCATCGCTGAGTCGAACTTGAACATGCTTTCCCCTACGGGCAAGTCCCAGATGTGGGACGCCAACGCCAACGGTTACGCCCGTGGAGAGGGTATCGCCGCTGTCATCATGAAGCGTCTGTCCGACGCCATCCGCGACGGTGACCACATTGAGTGCGTCATCCGCGAGACGGGCTGCAACCAGGACGGTCACACGCCCGGTATCACCATGCCGAGCCAGGAGGCTCAGACCAAGCTGATTCACGACACATACCGTCGTGCCGGCTTGGACCTGAGCAAGCCCGAGGACCGTCCTCAGTACTTCGAGGCTCACGGCACTGGTACCAAGGCTGGTGACGGTGTCGAGTCCAAGGCCATCTACCGCGCCTTCTTCCCTGAGGGCCAGACCACTGACGAGCGTCTGTGGGTTGGCTCCATCAAAACCATCATCGGACACACCGAGGGTACCGCCGGTATCGCCGGTGTCATGAAGGCCTCCCTGGCCATCCAGAACAAGACCATCCCGCCAAACTTGCACCTCAAGACCCTCAACCCGGAGATTGTCCCGTACTACGGCAAGCTGCAAATCGCCAAGACTGCGCAGGACTGGCCCGCGCTGCCCGCCGGCGCCGTTCGTCGTGCCTCCATCAACTCCTTCGGTTTCGGTGGCACCAACGCTCACGCCATTATTGAGGCGTACGAGCCTAAGGTCTCTCCCGTGCAGGCGCAGGCTGCGGCCAAGGCTGCTATTGCCTTGCCCCTCACCTTTTCCGCCACCACGGAGACGTCTCTCACCAACCTCATGGCCAAATACGTCGAGTACCTGACGGAGAACCCCGATGTCGACCTCACCAGTCTGGCCTTCACCCTGCACGACCGCCGTTCCACCTTTGCGTACCGCAGCCACATTGCTGGCCAGTCAGTTGAGGAGATCTTGCCCAAGCTACAGAAGGCGGTTGAGGAGCAGCAATCTGGCAACTCGGCCAGCGTCGTCCGCGGTACTTCGGCCAAGAAGCACCTGCTCGGTGTCTTCACCGGCCAGGGCGCTCAGTGGGCGACCATGGGTCGTGAGCTGATTCGCGCCTCAAAGTTCGCCCAGGACATCATTGGCAAGCTCGAGCAGTCCCTCGCCGAGCTCCCTGCCTCTGACCGCCCGTCCTGGTCTATCATGGAGCAGCTGATGGCGGACCCGGCTCAGTCTCGCATTGCTGAGGGTGAAGTGTCCCAGCCACTGTGCACTGCCGTTCAGGTCGTCCTGGTCGAGGTGCTTAAGCGGGCTGGCATCACTTTCGATGTCGTCGTCGGCCACTCCAGTGGTGAAATTGGTGCCGCGTACGCCGCCGGCTTCTTTAGCGCCACTGATGCCATCCGCATTGCCTTCTACCGTGGTCGCTACGCCTTCATGGCGAAGGGTCCTGAGGGCCAGAAGGGTGGTATGTTGGCTGCTGGTACCACTCTTGAGGATGCTCGCGAGCTGGTCGAGCTCCCCGCCTTTGAGGGTCGCGTCTCCGTCGCCGCATACAACTCCGACGCCAGCGTCACCCTCTCCGGTGACCTTGACGCCATTGACGAGGTCAAGGAGGTCCTGGACGACGAGCGCGTCTTCAACCGTAAGCTCAAGGTTGACACCGCGTACCACTCGCACCACATGCTCCCCTGCTCCGCCAAATACTATGAGGCTCTGGACAACTGCAAGGTACAGATCCTGAAGCCCTCTGGTGAGACCAAGTGGTACTCGTCTGTGTACGACGGCAAGCTCATGGAGCCTTGCGAGGAGCTCAAGCACACGTACTGGGTCGACAACATGGTCAACATTGTCCTGTTTGCTACCTCCCTCAAGTCTGCTCTCCACAATGCCGTGCCTCAACCCACTCAGGTCATTGAAGTCGGTCCCCACCCCGCCCTCAAAGGTCCGGCCTCCAACGTTATCGAGGAGGTGCTCAAGACCGCGCTGCCTTACACCGGCACCCTTGCTCGTGGCCAGAACGACCTCAATGCCGTGGCCTCCACCCTCGGATCCCTCTGGGCTCAGTTTGGCCGCAGCTCCGCCGACTGGAAGGGTTACTCGCAGGTCTTCTCCTCGAGCGTGCCTACCATTCT